CAAAACACTAATGTGCATTTACTGTTTGCATTAAGACATGATAATTGATAATATAGATCATGTAAGAAATGTGGCCTGCACTCGACATGTTTCAGGTTCCCAGTCTCCAGATTGATAGTTATGGCACATAGTACAACAGCATTAATTGCCATCTTTAACCCTCGCACCTGTAGGGGGAAGGGGGTCGGATGGACCTCCTCGATCGGCTCGATCCGACCCCCTCTCGATTTCTTTTTTCGCAAACTCGCGCAAAAAGAGGCCGATCACGACGAGGCGTTCAGTACCCTCGAGTTGATCAATGTTACGCCAACTCTGAAAATTTCATGACCCTGACCTAAATGACCTTTGACATATATCTCGAGACCAAGGTTGGCCGGAATCAAGATTCGGCATATGTCAGCTCACATTTTCCATGCGTTTCCAGCTTTTTGTGATTGCAAACGTTCAAACATGTGAAAAGATGTTGGTCCAATGCATTATGGTGGGTGACAAGGACACGTTGTCAATCAAGGTCATTGACCTTTGATGAACTTGCTTCACATTTTTTTTAGTTTTACACATTACTAAGGTTGTTTTTTGGAGCTGACTTCCAATTTAGCATCCATTTCAACATTTACAAAGTAGTTTTAATGCCTTCGTAACATGTTACAACGCCATTAGTGGTGGTTAACCCATAGATACTATGAATAGCCGGCAGGGTGCTTATTAATTGACCTGACCTAACCTGACCCGACCTGAATGCAAAAATACATCATCTGTGATCAAAACTTACATGAAGCTCGCGATCAGCAGCCCGACAAACCATAACAACCTTACTTTACGGAGTTCTGACAGGTCTCGATTTTCACGACTTTTGGGTCATTGACTTGACCTGGAAGGTCAACCAAGGACCAAGGATCTTAAACCCGGGTATCATCGACTTCCTGTCCTCACGGGCAGTACGCTCGTTTTTTTTTCTGCGAAGCTTTAACTCGATCAGGGGCCGAGCGGCAGAGGGCCCAACGGGGCGTAGGAAAGTGCCGCACACAGGCAAGGGTTAAAATTAACCCTCGCCGGCATAGGGGGGTTGATGCAACCCCCTAAGGTTTTTCGCGAATAACTCGCGTAAAAAGCGGCCGATCGCGACGAAACTTTCAGTACCCTCGCATTGATCAATTTTACACCTATCCTGATAATTTCATGACCCTGACCCAAATGACCTTTGACCTATGACCTACTTTCCGAGACCATGTTTGGCCGGAATCGCAATTCGGCGTATGTCGGCTCGCATTAGCCGCGCGTTTGCAAGCTTTTCGTGGTTTCAAACGTTCAAACATGTGATTTGATGTTGCTCCCATGCATTAGGGTGGACGTCAAGGTCACCTGAAGGTCACGTCAGGTCATTGACCTTTGGTGACCTCGGTTCACTTTTTCGAGTTTTACATGTTTCTAGGCTAGTTTTTGGAGCTGATTTCGAATTTCGCAACCGTTTGAACATTTACGAAGTAGTTTTGGTGCCTTCGTAACATGTTACGAAACTGTCAGAGGCGACTGACACGTATTACGAATACCCGTCACGACCCCTACCGGTTGACCTGACCTGACCCGACCTGGTCTAAATGCTTAAAGACATCATCTCTGATCAAAACTAACACGATATTCGTGATCAGCACCCCGGAAGACCCCATAGCAGCCACACTTTACGACTTTCTAACAGGTCCCGATTTTCCCGATTTTCGAGTCATTGACCTGACCTGAAGGTCACCCGATGACCTAGGACCTTAAAATTGGATATCATCGGCTTCCTCTCGTGACGAGCAGCACGCTCGTTTTTTTCCGCGAAGTTTAACTCGATCAGGGGCCAAACGCGAGGGGGAGGGTTGGGGGTCGTACCAACTTAAGATTCAATAGCAGCATAAACCATTGTTGCATCATACCCCCTTGTGCCGTCGAAGGACGCAAAATGGCCTGTGCCGGCGAGGGTTAACCCTCGCCGGCCGAGGGGGGGGGGGGGCGGGTGCCGCCCCCCCCCCCATAGGGTTTTTTCGCGATAGCTCCGAACACGCTGGCGATAGAGAGCTGAAACCTGGCATACCTGACCTTTGATCCAAGCCGCATCTTTTGACACCAACCGCATTTTTGGGTCAGGTCAGGTCACTGACCTATGACGTCATAAGTGAACCTCTGCACGGTCTTCAGATGTCGCAACTTCGCAACGCCCTCACTGCCAGAGGAGATGTCACAGGGAAATGAAACTTGCAGGATCTAGTATCCATTATGAGTCCCACAACTTGTATATCTCGGAATTTTCCTAAAGGTCATATGAGGTCAGGTCATTTTCGTGACCTCACCATTATAAGTCAATGGGGAAAAATGAAAACTGCTATTCTGGCGCCGGGAACGATCTCCAACTATCTCAAGCACACAGAATCGTGATTTTATGCACTCCTTGCAAGGTTAGATGCGTCACTTTTGCAATGTTGACCTTGCATGACGTCATTTATGACGTCATCAAGGTCATATTAGTTTTTCGTCAATAACTCTTGATCAAATTGAGCTAGCGAGTCGGGAAAGCCACCAATGGACTCAGGAAGACCTGCCAAATCGAATGATATGCGACATGACCTCTTTCGACCAACTTCGTGACCTGGGGGTGCTGACCTGACCTTGACCTGAGGTCAACACCCCAAGTTGACCTGACCCGGACAAAAAGTATATCATTCGACGCGCCTGAGCGAGACGAACACGATGCTGCCAAAATCGGCGCTCTGCGGTCGTTTTTTGCGAAGTTATTCACCAAAAACTGAACCGTACCTTGGGGCACTTGACCTGACCTCAGAGGTCACCGGTTGACCTAGGACCTTAAAATCGGGTACCAATCTCTGCGTCTCGTAACGGCGCACACGCTCGTTTTTTCCGCGACGCGCTAGCTCCACCAGGGGCGAAACGGCGAGGGGGGTCGTACCCGCCCCCCCCCCCCCCTCGGCCGGCGCGTATGTAGAAAACCGATAGGTCCGGCGAGGGTTAAGGCACAACACCAAAACAAATGAAAAGGAGAAAACGGCTGTATGACTTCAAAACCTGCAGGTTAAGAAAAGCAAAGGGTTTAACAGCACTCACATGTTATCAGCATGACTACACCCAAAAAATCCTTACAAGTTATCAAGGACAGTACAGCATGGCCAAAAGACAGCATTGACAGAGTGGTAAAACTGACTGAAATTAATCATTGATAGCTGATATTTTCAACTAATTCTTTTCAACATTACCTACCAATCTTCCTTCAAGCCTCTGATCAGTTGGTGTAAGATGATTAGATTCAATCATCTTGCATCTTATATCTTTATACTTTTATCTACCTAATTCTCAAAATCATTTTTCAATGGTTTATGCTGCAATTGAATCTAAGTTCCTTGAACTGATATGTTAAATTAAACAGCTTCACATGAAATCTAGCAGAGCACTTGCTTTTGACAGGTGTTGCACTTGCATCTGTTCATAATTTCATTTTCACAAGTTTTGATCTTATCTATAAAAAGCACCAACAATAGTTATAACTTTAATAGATAAGGAACTAGGCTCAAGTCCATGGGCCTTATCATTTCAAAGTTGATGAAGGGGCACTAAGCTACCTAAGTAGGTAAGTAGCTAGGTAGGTATCAGTTTCAAAACATCACAAAACTATGAAGGTGCTAACTGCTAAATAACTTACAGCAAATACTCTTTCTTCAAGACCAAAGACATGAGAATATCATCATACATGACTTTCAAATTTACTGCATGCATATAGAATAGATGTTCATTGAATGAACGTCACACTAAAAAACTAAATGCCAATGAACCTACCCAAATAAGCATAAACTATTGGACCCAAACAGCATGACATAAACTTCATGGATTGGATCTTCATGGATCCAATCCATGAAACAAGTTGACTGTACCAATGCCTGATATGCTTGACTCACTTTGACTTAAAACTACAGGATAGTAAAAAATCAAAAGCCTTTCTCTCACTTAAAAACAAATAAACAAAACTTCTTTAGATGATTGGATTGAATAGTGCGGCATCTTGTGATTGGCCCTGGCCCTCAGCAAATCAAGTCAGGAAATGTTGGTCCATGAACACATACTGATCTGCATCACATAACAGCAACATTAAGTAAAATCAAAAGAGCTTATTGGCTGAAAAGAATCTAAAACATTATGCTTAACCTTATTAAATGGGCAATCACTTAAATGATTCAAGTGATTGACCATAAATCTTATCTGGTGCTGCCTTGCTAAATAGGTGGTAAGCAGCCCTTGATTCCTTGCCTACAGCTCAATTTAATAAACAATGATATCATTCTTATTAAAGCAGCAATACAATAAACATTTTTGTGCCAGAATCCATCCTAACTATTGACAAAAACAGTCGTGGCAAACGTAGCGCACACAACATTTCCCAAAGCAAGGCCTTACGTCTACCCTTTTCAAGTGACTGACCTCATCCTTCAGGGTGTAGATATCTTCTTTGTCTATAGATTTTGACATACTTCTATTCATCACGCCCCTCCTCGACCCATTTCTAACATCATGATTTGTTGAAAACACTGGCTCAGCCATCTTGACTGCCCACAAAGTCACGTGACCTGCAGCCTATCAGCTGTTCTGGGATATATTCTGGAATGTTTATCCTTCCGATACTTCATGTGCATAAGTAAGTGAATGTTCTTTCAAATTATATATTTCATGTTTTTAAAAAACAAAACACATTTTTGAACGATGAACTAGGCATAATAGATCTTAAAAGCCTTTTAAAAGCCGAAAATCAATTAAATTTTTGGTAGTGCAAAATGGACTCTACTATGTTTTAAACGAAAAAAGAACAATATTATCAGTTGATTTTAACTTGAAGTGAGCATTTTTTTGAGATTTTACAAGATAGGATTTTTCTAAAGGAGTTTTTGCTCCGATTCTGAAAATTGAGAAAATGAAGCTAGTATAGTTCAATTTCACCTAAAAGCAGCACTTGCCACACCGAATTATCGAGACAAATGTGAATGATTGCATCAAGGCCCTAAATACATTGCATCTTCTTGTGTATGCATGCGATGTTTGTGTGAATATTGGAGATCTCTCGATTAGTTTTTCGTTATAACTGTATTTTGAAGGGATAAGCCTGCAATTCGGTTTTTAAAATCAGCAAGTTTTACGATACCGTGAGTTCTATCATCCATTTATCAGTGCCGTTTGAAACAAAGAATGTTGAGGTAGTGCGCCATAATATGCTCTGTTAAAAAGTGCTGACCTCCCACATGTGCTTAGGTTAGTAATATTTTACGTGTTCCATTTAAAAGCATGCAGGTATATTTTCACTTCATGTACATTTAAGTTATATTTTGTGGTGACTCTGTAAGTCTGTTTCAGTCGGGGGAGGTTTGGTCAATCGTTGTCATTTTTAGCACGTGCTATTTTTGTCACACGTGCTAAAAATGACAACGATTCTGCTATTTTTGACAACGATGAGGCCGATTTCACTCCTCAGCGAGGAAATGCAGATTTTGGAAAGATAAACACTGATTTTGGAAAAGAAGTGCTGCCACCTGGTGCAAGACGAAGAATCCAGCTTTAATATGCCTGTTATTTGTATGGTAGTTTGTTTTGTGGCCTGAAGTTGGAACTTAAAATTGAAGCATCCGAAAATGATCGATATTGATCGAAAACATGATGTTGATGAAAAAATAATATTTTAAGTTGAGAGAGGAGGCCATTTTATCCAGATGCAGTAGTTTACTTCTTGAAATTATTTTTGCTAATGACGGCTGCTAATTATCCCTCATTACATGGCAGTCGTCGTAAGCAAAAATAATTTCAAGAAGTAAACCACCGCATCTGGATAAAATGGCCTCCTCTCTCAACTTAACATATTATTTTTTTCATCAACATCATGATTTCGATCAATATCGATCATTTTCGGATGCTTCAATTTAAAGTTCCAACTTCGGGCCACAAAAAAGGGTATACTTCAACGTTGGACTACCATACAAACAACGGCCATATTAAAGCTGGTTTCTTCTTCTTGCACCAGGTGGCAGCACTTCTTTTCCAAAATCAGTGCTTGTATTTCCAAAATCGTGATTTCCTCGCTGAGGAGTGAAATCGGCTTCATCGTTGCTAAAAATAGCTGATAGCGTTGTCATTTTTAGCACATGGTTGCCAAAAATGGCATGTGCTAAAAATGACAACCATTGACCAAACCTCCCCCAACTGGTTTGGTTTTGTAAGTGCTGTGCTGATCAAACAAATGGTACAAAGATGAAACTGGGTCTCGTCGAGGGCCGTATAATAAATTTACCTTGACTGATATCAATCTGCAGCTTCATGATGATGATGACTGTGATATTTAAAATAAGTAAAGGTATATTTTACCTTAGAAAGGCCTCAATACCTTAGCACTGCTGACTGCTGCGGGCTGCCTCATGCCTGTGTGTCATGTGATTTGTGAATGAGTTGAGTTTGCTGTGTGCACCTATGTTTCAGCAGGATGTTGGTACCAGTACAGTGAATCATGCCATGCAATGCAGAAAACCTACTGCACTGTTTCTTCTGTTTCTTCTTCTTCTTCTTAGAACTTGTTAGTCACTACTGAACTGATTCATTTGGTAGGGTTGGATAAGATCTGCTGTAAGTGCCTAGGTAGTTGGCATGATGAAAAAATATTAGATCCTATGTAGTGTTAAGGTGAATTTTTTGTTTAATTTCTACTTGCATCCAACAAAGGTAACAAAAGTGACATTTTTTATACACCACCACCCATGAACAGGTGACCAGGAGGAGCGCCCCGGCCCTCAAACCCAGCGACAACAGAGCCCTTACGTTAACACCAGAAAAACTGAGGAGATAAATGTTGAGACACTCCCTGCTAAGAAGTGGAAATAAACCAAATATAAGCACAAAAGAGGGGCAAGGGATGTTTGTATGGTATAAGAAGAAGGCAGAAATAAGTCAATGTATTGTATTGTATTGTATTGTATTTACGATCATGGGCGATCCACACATGGCGTGGCGATTACTGCCCAGAGTCTGAGTCGGGTATAAGCATGCAGGAACAGAGACCAGTCGAACAACAACACACACACACACACATACACGCACACACAGGAAGACTCTATATGCTACGATTTCTAACATACCGTGTAGGTACTTATATATGTACATACAAGACGAGTGCCTAATTCAGGCCATCACGAAGGTCTATCGTTTTTCCACAGAGACTTGACAGCGCGTGCGAATTTAGAGGGTGGCAGCTGTGAGAGGTCGGGAGGTAGGTCGTTTAGGAGCTCGGCGGCACGGTAACTGAAACGCCGCTTACCGGTTTCTAGTCTGGGACGCTGGAGCTGGAGAAGGTTATCCTGACGTGTATTTCTATTCCTGGTTGAGGAGTCCCGGTTTTTGGCAAACATAGAGGCAAGTGCTACCGGTTCGCCGTAGTGTATCGCCTTACGTGCAGTGGCCATGGTTTGAAGTTTGTACATAAATTCGGGCGGCATCCAGTTGAGTTTCTCGCGCAGGTCAGTGACGTGGTCGAATTTGCGACGGCCAAAAACAATGGACTAATGGGTCATTGACTGAACTCTTGCTTAACATCCCACTACGATCCTGTATTGTAATGTTAACTTATCCAGTGGTGTGGAATTGTGCTGAGTTGGGTAGCACGAGTTCTTCCCCCAATTCCATGCCAGCTTGGCTTTGGGGCCGCAACAGATGGCTGAGGTCAAGTTTACCACTAGGGTGACAGCAGATTTGCTGTACCCATTCCACCCCATAAGATCTGCTGTAAGTGCCTAGGTAGTTGGCATAATGAAAAATATTAGATCCTATGTAGTGTTTAGTGGTGTCACCCAACTTGGCAAAAGTATGCACCCCTGCATTTATCTTCAGATTACCTGGAAATGATTGATTATTTTCTTTTACAGAAAGTAAACATGACATAACCTGCACTATTCAGCCATGAAGATTGACAGGACAAAGCTGCGTAAAAGCAGCTCACAAGTGGTATGTATTTATCTTCTACCTATCTGTTTTGATTCTTTACATTTGGCTGCTTTCTGATAATACCTACACCATTTGATTACCTATCGTTCTTGCATTATCCTCTATTTAATTATGTCATGTTGTGTTAGTATTCCCTATTGAGTCCTATGCTGAGTAAAAATTTCCTGGCTCTCTATATCACTGCAGTTATTTTCAACCATTTCATGCTTAATATTTTTTGTTTGTTCATTGTTTAAAGACTACCTACATCAAAAAAGCTTCAATTGTTATTTTGATTGTTTTTTTTTACATGTGTCTTGCACTGATAGAGCTGCATGCAGGATGTCTTTTCTTTCTGAAACATTATTCAACTATCTAAATAGTTAAGTGTACTGTTCAGTTACCATTAAATTAATATCATTTCCAAAAAGCATCTGTGGTTTTAATTTATTCTTGGTGCTAAAGCAATGAATGTCTAGTCACTGTGTATTATAATTATGAAGAGCAACCTTGGCTCAAACTTGGATGCTTCAGTCAGATATCAAAGGCTATGCAGCTTGAGCATCATCTAAGCCAGCCTGCAAATACCAATGCTTAATCTGCTTAATCACCTATGCCAAGTGTTCTTGAGTGCACATTCACTTCTTTATGACATTGTTTGCATTCTTTTGAAAGTTTTTTTTTATCCTGTCATTTGACACAATCTATGGCTTAGACAATATCATAAGTCATAACTCATAACAACGTCTTAGCAACCATGATGTCTTCCATATCATTTTTATAATCTGGTACCTGTTTGCACTTTGCAATATGTCAAACTTCACACCTATTTGTATCAGCTCTTAAATGCTATTTCTCATATGCAGCAGAATCCCATAACTTTATGGGTGGGAAGGAGGCAACCTCCTTGCAGTATAAAAGGGTCTGCATCTCATTAAATAGCTAAATACTGGACATCAATTTAAGCATGCAGTTTGATCCAGTTTGTCCCTTAATGGTTTCTGATTCAATTTAAACGTCCTTCAAATATTCATGCTTAACTGCTAGACATCTTTGAATTTTTCTTGGATATATTTCATTTGTAGACCAACAAGGCACTGCTTTGATAAAAGCTGCGAAGCCAATATACCTATGTAAATATTAGATCAGTAATGTGTACCCTACCTGTGCCAGTTTTATGCATCATGTTCCAGAGCACCTTTGACCATGATTGCAGCAGCTGTGTTGTCTGATTGCTCTCTGTCTCCCCACAGCCGCCGGACTGTAAGGCGGTAATAGAGCGCCTGAAGAACTGTAGCGAGGCTGAGCTGCTCACTGAGCTGAAAAAGTTTGAGACATGGAACCTGGGCAAGTGCGAGCTGTTCCACTGGATCGAGCCTCTGGACGTGCTGGACACGGTGCTGGAGGAGGCGGCCTCCAGAGTCCGGCCGGACGGCTGGCTCCTGACCTGTGACATGCCCGACTATGCACCGGTGAGTGCACGCGACGCCGGCGACGCCACCCAGCACACTGTCCGGCTAACTACTGGTCGCTCTCAGTAATGAACCTTTCGCAGTAGGTTCAGCGGTGTCTAATGATGTCTTTATTGTTATCATTTATATTTTTCCGACGATGCGTATTGTAACAGCCTATAGAATTACCAGTTCTCTCTGCGCCTCTCTATAATGGCATGATAATTTCCACTGACGTAGCGTGTTCAGATCGAATAGCATATAGCTCTTAATGGTCACAGTATCTGTTGATCTGGCTGCGATCTAGTCTCGTGACTAATATCGGCAACTCCCGGGTACAATTTTACCAACTGGTGCTCCGGTCTCGCACTTCACGTGATAGTACCATTTGACTATTGTTCTCGGCAGTCTGATGCGTAGTGTGGCTGGTTTATAGCAGTATAGCAGGACGATGCTGCCGCTGGTATTGTTTTTTTATTGTAATTGATAGTATGCCAGTACAAATCTCAAACATCAATCAATCTGAAAGTTTGCTTGCTCTTGTAGAATATGCTAACATCGCGTACTACATACATAGGTGCTATCGGAAAATTATGTTTACACCTCTATTTTGACCTTACGTTTCCAGAAGCGAGAGCTACTCCTACAGACACTTCATTTCACCGCGCTCCTCATCGAACATTCATTTTCACGTCACCTGTACAACTCAGTGGAGCATCTCATCCAACTGCTGGAGGCCTCCGATATGCAGGTGACTCATACAACCGGCGCTCCACCTGGCGAAGCATGGATACTTGTTGAGTATGGAAGGAGCCTGAATTGACAAAGCCTGATGTTTTGCTCCTTTTAATATACTGTCTTTGTTTGGTTAACACTTCAACCTGTTCATTGTTCAGTCTGTTTTAGTAGATTTTCATTTGTCTAGCTTGAGCTCGTTTAGATCGACGTGATATCCGAACCGGGCAATTTCTTCCGCTCCATAGAATATGTGCTTTTCTGACTGGGCAGTTGCTTCTGCTTCACAGGTGGTTCTTCATGTTCTCAACCTCATCTACATGTTCAGCAAGAGGAGTAACTTCATCTCTCGACTGAGCTCTGACCGGCGGGAGGCGCTGGTCGTGCGCCTGTACCACCTGGCCGAGGTAGGTCGGGTCCACAGAGTGAAGTGGCGCATATCACCGAACCCACAGTTACCGTGGAGTATTCTACCCACCGAGCTGGTAACAGGCGGGATGGGCTGTGTGATTGGGGACGTGTTTTGTGCCTGAATGTGTCTAATGATACCCAGTGGCGCGGAACGAAGCTACTGGGGCTGCTGTAATTGCATCATAGTTGCTGACTGGCGACTGCACACACGTGACGCTGTGGTCACGTGTAGTATGTCGCACCAGGTGGAATCATTACAGGAGCTTAGCCAAAAACGCAGTTTGGCAAAAATTACCACACAAGGCCGCTGGTGACCTAGAGACTATTAATCGTCAGGGTCTTCCGCGTACGATGCGCATAATTGTGCTCAAATGAGCGCGTACCTGTAATGCGATAGGTACTCGCCGGCCTGTGCGTCTAATAGTTACACTCGGCACGTCACCGGTAAAGACCGTTCCAGAGCTCCATAGAAGAGGTACTTTACTTTCCACGCACCCGGGCGTCGGGCCTCCGTTCCAGAGCTCCACAGAAGGGGGACTTGCTACGCACCCGGGCACCCGGACCGTCTGAAACGGCCGTCTGATTACCACGCCGTTCATCATCATTATGCTAAAATAGACACGGCGGAGGCTATTTTTGCCAGTACTACGCCCCGAATGTTGATGAATTTCGTCTAGGGACGTCGACAGCTGATCCATATCTTAATTGGGGTAGCTTGAGTCGTGCTCCTAAATGCTCTGGTAATGTTCCTGAGAATATAGTACGATAAAGTGTTACATAACCTACGATTTAATCGCTAGCTGGTGATCGTTTCTCCATCTGATTATTGCAAGTTCCATTAGGTGATTTCATTAATTTGAAACATACCACCCAGCCCTCTTTCATCCGACTCGCGGTCTACCGCACCAACTCCTGGCATGTGACCAAAACGTTGTGTGGCTGTATTAGGGGCATTGCCATTAGGTCAGTATTCCTCATCTGCCATGCACCGACGCGCGAGTAGCAGTGGGCTATTGTCCACTTCCAGGAGACCGACTGCCGACCGAAACCAATCGCTGTTTTAGCGAACGGCCTGAGACGTGTTTGCTATTTAAGCTAAATGTGGCTAATTGTGTGGATATTATATAGTCACTGGTCCCTGTGGGAATTTAGGTGGTTTGGATGGCTTGCTTCTGATAAGTGTTGAAATCTGATGACCCGACGCTTTTACATATCAGTACACTCAGGTCGATTTCTAGGCTTGTCGATAGGATGTACAAACGAGCCCCATTGCGGCGGCTGCGCCACCATCGGATCCCCGTTGTCACCGGGCCGCCCGTCTCTGACCATATCCCTTGCTGCGTAGGTACCCGTCGTAACCGCCGCTCTCCGTCCCCGTCTTCCCACAGAGCTGGGGCGGCCGAGAGAACGGCTTCGGCCTGGCCGACTGCTGCCGTGACGTCCCCGTGTCGGTACGTACAGTCGGAACGACAGGCTACGACGCTCGCTATCCGCTCTGACTCTGTCTGACGTGTCGGGGAACTGTTTGGTTTCTCTGGGGAGTGGCAGCGGGGGGAGGGAGGGGTGTTGATAGTGGTGTGACAAAACTGCTTTGCGCCAGGTGTGTCAAGTGTGTCTTGTCCTCTTTGATTTATGAGTTATGACAGCTGAAAATGGGGGAGGGGTGCGATATAGGTGGCGAGGGGGGGGCAAGGTTTATCAATTTGTAGTCTATCTGATGTCAAAACGCCACAGGCCCACAGCTGTTGCCCATTTTACCCTAACGACCGACTTTTCATCTGTCTTTATCAGTTGTGCCTGTCGCTGTGTGTATTGGTTTGTCCGCGTGTTCTCTGTGTCAGGAGCAGTCTGTCCGTGCGATGTCGTGCCGCGGTTTCCCGATGCTCTATTTATCGTGTCCCGACCCGCCCTGACCCACCGCCATTGATCTGCCGAGTCGGCCGACTACTGGTGAACACGCACCGACACCACCGTGACGGCCGCGTGGAGAGCCGCGCCGGGGCGTCACGTAACGGCACGACACGCCTCCCGCCCGGACACGGGCTGTCCACCAGGGGGGGGGGGGGGGGGGGGGACGGCACAGTGTAATCCCCCGCATTGCAACTGCTGAGGACGTTAATGACATGTTACTGTGCACGCTACGCGAGAATATGTCGTTTAGTTCAAATGCATCACAGCTGAGTCCTCCGACATAACCACAACTGGTTCGAACTATCTACCTGTCGAGCAGCGTCAAAGACTCAACGAGCTCTTCACTGCCGCGCTGCTGAAGTGCAGCGTGCTGCATGTCCCCCGCGGGGCCAGATCCGACCCCAAGCCCTGGGCCATGGACCCTGAACTGGAGGAGGCTGTGCGCGACCGCCGTAGCGCGAGGGCAGCACTGGACGCCGCTCCCGGATCGACAGATGCCAGAGACCGCTGGGTGGAGGCGAAACGCCGCGCAGCGAAGATCGAGGAGGAGGCGAAGGCGCGCTCTTTCAGGAACTTCGCGACCGAGGAGCTGAACCGGCCTGCCAACATCGGCAGAGTTCACAAGATTCTCCGGAAGATGGAGGGGGCGGAACAAGCTCCGCCCGGCCAAGCGCTCGGGGACCACGGACGTCGCGCCGTGGAGGACCGGACCAAGGCCGCGGCGTTCGCCAAACAGTACGCCAGTGTCAGCCGACAGGTCCGGAATAAGCTCCAAGACCGCAAGACGAAGTCCGAGCTGACAAGGCTCCGCGCCGAGCCCTGCGTCTGCTCCGATGCCCGTACCGAGGCCTGTTCCTTGTTTACGCCTCAGGAACTGGACACGCAGCTACGCAACATGAAGTGTGGGAAGGCGCCGGGCCCAGACGACATCTGCGCCGAGCACCTGCGCCACCTGGGCCCGGGTGCCAAGACCACTCTCCTCCGACTGCTGAACCTGTCCTGGTCCACAGGCCAGGTGCCGTCTGCGTGGCGCCGGGCGACCATTATCCCAGTTCCCAAAGCTGGGAAGGACCCAAAGATGATCGCCAGCCATAGGCCGATTGCGCTCACTAGCCACCTGGCGAAGCTGGCCGAGCGCCTAATCGCCGCCCGCCTCAACCATCTGGTAGAGCGCGATGGGCTCGTGCCGCCCGAACAGGTCGGCTTCCGACGAGGCAGATCGGCTGAAGAGAACCTGGCAAGACTGGTGCAGCGGGTCCAAGATGGCTGGAACAAGCCGAAACCGAGAGGACGACCGGAAGAGGGCAAGACCGCGGAAAAGTTTGTACTCCTCGCCTTCGACTTCTCACGGGCGTATGATGTCATCGATCACAAGATGCTCCGCCTCAAGCTCCTCCGCCTGGGGGTGCCCAAGTGCATGTCCGCATGGATATGGGCGTTTCTCCGGGACAGGAGAGCTGCGGTCGAGGTCAACGGCGCCCGAGGAGGCGAGCGCCCGTTCCGGGCCGGACTCCCGCAAGGCAGTGTTCTGGCCCCAACGCTTTACACGCTGTGGTCGGCCGACCTGATCACGGCGCTCAAGACCGTGCCAGGCACAGACATCTTCATGTATGCCGACGACACGGCGACGCTCAGCAGCGGCGCCTCCGTCGAAGAGGCCGGCCGCCGAGCCCAGCGAGCTGCGGACATCATCGCCAGCTGGGCATCAAGATGGAAAATGCGGGTCGCCGGCGAGAAAACACAGGCCCTCGTCCTATCCCAATGGGCCCGCGACGCGTCGAGCTTGAGCATCAAGGTGTCTGGCGCCGTGGTGACTGCCGGCCCCTCCCTCAGACTCCTGGGCGTGACCTTTGACCGCCTCCTTCACTTCGGCGCCCACTGTGCCGAGCTGCGCAAGAAGGTCCGCCCCCGTGTCGCCCAGCTGCGACGCATGACCGGGAGGAGCTGGGGACTGGGCGAACGCCAATTGAGGTCGGTGGCCAACGGGTACATCAGGGGGGCCTTAGAGTACGCGGCGGGGGCGTGGATGCCTGCGGCCTCCGCTTCACACCTGGAGCTGGTCGACAGGGAGCTGCGGGCGGCGGCCCGGGTGATAACCGGCTGCCCCGCCTCAACACCCGCCTTCGCCCTGCTGTCGGAGGCGGGCATGCCCGCCGCATGCACGCGCCGCTCGGTGGTGGCAGCCAGGCTACTGGGCCTGGCGATGTCCCTGCCAGAGGGCGACCCTCTCCGAGCCCTGGCGGAGTCGACCCCGCCGCGCCGCCTCAAGACGACGACCGGATGGAGGGACCGCGGTCGCGAGGCCCTAGCACGGGTCTGCCGCGGCGGCGCGCCGCTGACCTTTGAAGCGCGGCTAGCAACCGCCGGGCCGCCGTGGCGCGATGTCCCCGGTGTGACCATCGTCCTGGAGGTGGGTCCCGGGGGACGCCGCGACTGCCACCCGGACACAAGACGAGAGGCAGCGGAGAGCCGTCTGGCGGAGCTTCCGGCCGAGGCGACCTGGATATGGTCAGACGGCTCCGCCGCGGATGGGGTGCTGAATGGAGGAGGAGGAGCCACCATCATTTCCCCGAACGGCGACATCAGGGAGGTGCGTGTCGCGGCAGGCGCCCTCTGCTCCAGCACCCGCGCGGAGCTATTCGCCCTGAGAGCGGCGCTGGAGGAGCTCCTGAACATGGATGGCCGTGACACCTCCCTTCCGACTGTCGTCTGTACCGACTCGATGGCGGCGCTGGCCCTCCTGCGGAGCGGCCCGGCGGCCCAGAGGACTCCGCTGGCCGCAGATATATGGAGGCTGCTGGCCGCGCTCACCGAGGGGGGCCAGCCAGTAACCATGCAGTGGGTCCCTGCACACTGCGGGCTCCCCGGTAATGAGCGAGCGGACGCCCTCGCCCGCGAGGCCAGCGCCCTACCCCAACATGACACTCCGATCGACGGTGGCACGATATGCAAGGCCGTTGCACGAGACGCTGCGCGCGCCTGGCAGCAGAGCTGGCCGGACGGCTGGTACCGGGCGATATGGGCCGACCGCCGTCCCGGCCCCGTCCTGGAGGCCGACCGTGCCGTCGCGGTTGATATTCACCAGCTCCGAGCAGGACACTGGAGCGGCTCGGCGCAGTACCTGCACCGCATCGGCCGCCGTCCCGAGGCCGACTGCCCGCAGTGCAATGACATGGGCTGCCCTGCTGCACGATGCCGCGTCTGCCGCGAGGAGGCGGACACTCCACGACACGTCCTGCTCCGATGCCCGGCGCTGGCGGGACGCCGCCTGCGGCGCCTGGGTAATATTCACCTGGAAGCGTCTATGGCAAGGGACGACGGCGCGGTGGCGGCCTTGGCCGCCGGCTACCGCGCCCAATTGAGCCTCATCGGCTACGCCCCCTAGGGGGCTGGAGGGAACAACAACAACAACAACAACAACAGCAGCGTCAAACCTGTTTAAACAGATTAAACCAACATTGAGGTGGGACCTCCTCCTGAACAACGTTAGAGAATGATAGCTATATTCATCCTGAAATCCGGTCGATCTGGCATACGCTTCCCATTGTTCAGATGCTCTCCATTCCTAACACCCCACTGCTCTCGCCTCGGCAGAGTCTGTCGCCGAGTGCCACCACGCTGCACTTTGAGTACTACCTGGAGGAGGGGGACGCGCGGCCGGGCGCCGCCCTGCAGGTGATCCACCTGCCCAGCGTGGACCAGCACAGTGACCAGACGGCCGGGCACGTCATGGAGAGGCTGCTGACCACCCACAAAGTGCCGCAGAGCAAACAGGTACGCGCTGGGGTGGGCGGGGAGCGTGGTCTGGTGTGTTTGTGGATGGGTAAGGTAGTTGTTGGCGAGCGTTAACTGTTGTGTTAAGTCATATGATAAAGGCTACTAAATATTAAGCCGTCGTCAGGTTATTTGGTTATCTAATTATAGACTTACCAGTTCGACAGACAATAGGGCCTGTTGTGAAGCCATCGAAGTAATTGATGGGATGATTTGACACTGATTAACAATGACATTGATCGAATGACATCATCAGTTGACATTTTTAGTCCCGGGCGCGGTGTTGTGCTCATCGATTAATTGGCTTGTATTAGCTGCTGTGTGGCGTCGCGGCTGTTCACTGTTGATCGCCCTCCGTGTACATTAAGCTGGCTAGTTCTCGGCTCTGTTAAATAGCTGCAGTTGTTCGCTGTCGCTGACCGTAATTATCCCTCTGTGTGCTCTAGGTGATGGTGTTCACGTACCTGCGGCTGGCCAAGCTGTTCTCCGACTATCAGTCGCGACTGTGCTGCGTGCAGGCGCGCCTACAGGCCATCTCTATCCTCATCTACTCGCACACGGTCCAGGTGAGGGCGGCGCGAGTGGGACGTAGGTGAGGGCGGTGCAACGTCCGACTGTTAACTGAAGGACGATATAGCGAGGAAGGAGCGCAGGGAAACACTGGGAGGGGATGTGGGTGGTAAGCGTGTGCCCTTACACTGTGGAAACACAGAAAGTGACGGGTGATATGACTATCATAGATCGTACTGAAGAATAGTCATGGGGCTCACTATCGTATTAGGCTTCTTCTGTGCTTCCCGGCTTAACCTGGTCGCTGTGACCGCCTCTCTCAGCTGTGACCGCCTCTCTCAGCTGTGGCCGTGCGGTCCAGTTCTGACCGCCCGTCCGATGTGGTCTTCCCCAGGACACTGTGCACACACTGGTGTACGCCGGGTTGCTGGAGGAACTGGTCGAGATCCTCGAGATGCCGGAGAAGGAGCTGGTCGAGATCAAGGCGGCCGCGCTGCGCACCCTCACCTCCATCACCCACCTGGAGCGCACGCCTAACCTGCCCAAGTGAGTGTCCGGTCACCCGACAGTTAGAGGGATTGGAGACGTCAGTGAGGGCGGGAAATAATTGGAGGTCTGTGGTGTTTCATTGGTGCCTGTACAAAATAAGAGTGCATGGATAATCGATTTGGTGATCGAATGCATCGTATGCAATTTAACGATAAAACTGCACACGTGAAAAACATTCCCATTGCGATTTTGCATCAGTCGATAATGTATTTGACGAAGGCAACAGGCCTTTTCAGATGAATAAGCTCCGTCAAACTGGCAGTCTGGCCGTCTAATTGAGACAATCAGCGTAAAGCGTTGCACTGTGTTGACTGTGGTGTGCCATCTGGCACTTCCTACTATCGCCCAGCGCCACCTACCCGCCTCCCCTTGCCTGAGCGCCCTCCAGTATCTGACCCGCCTCCTCCCCTTCGGCAGGTTGAACACCATCATCGAGATCACGGGCGCCAACACGTTCCACGGCTTCCTGCCGCAGATGGTGCGCTCATGTATCAGCTACCTGACCATGGGCGTCGACCACCCGCTCAGCAGTGTGAGTATGGGACGTATGGTGCGCTCATCTATCAGCTAAGTACGGTCGTAGTAGGACGTATGGTTCGCTCATGTATCACCACCCGCTCAGCAGTGTGAGTGTGGGACAGCGGCGGCGCCTTTGGTAGCGTGTCTTCGCTTGCCCTACCACCCCGATTGGCCGTTCATCCTGAGTGAGCGACTCTGATTGACCTGCAGTGCCGCGGGTCGTCATAGATATGTGGAGATTCTCGTGTGATTCTGCTTGTAGATGGTGTGACTGAATGGTTGTGATTGGTTGAATGAGATGAACCTGTTTTGATAGATCAACCCTACTCTTTTTTATGGATCTTCACTATATTCCCTTTGTAAATAGCAGTACGCGAGTTGCCCATGACGCATGGCGCCAACCATTCTTCTGACCGCTCTGACCTGACCAGTCCCCTTCTCTGCGCCCACAGTCGGTGCTAACGACGGCGCTGTTCTCGTCCTTTTGTACCCTGACCTGGTCTGACCTGCGCTGACCTATCCCTTCGTCTCTGCGCCCACAGTCGGTGCTAACGACGGCGCTGTTCTCGTTCCTCTACCACCTGGCCAGTTACGAGACGGGCGGCGAGGCGCTCGTGCACTGCGGCATGATGGAGAGCCTGCTGGCGGTGGTCTCCTGGGCCGGCAGGGTGCCCGACCACGTCACGGTGAGTGCTGGCGAGGGAAGAACAGGAGAGAGTCACTCATGGTGTGCAGGGGAGAGAGGAGTGGGGGTGGCCGGTGGCGCAGAGCCGCCCGCTGGCGCCGGCTGGGCGTGCGTTATGGGGCTGTGTGCGCTGCGTCGCCACCTAGCGAGATATGCTCAAGATCGTTGATAACGTCGAAATTCTGAAAGTTTCATCTTCTTTCGTTAACTATTGTGAAATTCCTTGTTCATTTCATGCAAGCGCTTTTGAAGTAAAGGTCATTGCCATGACTGCAATGTCGATTGACTGTCATTCCTCGTAACGCATATGACCTTGCTAGGCTCGTTGCAGTGAAGTGCAGCCATGCTTAAATTGAGTTTAAAAGAATTACTCTTAAACCATTATTTTCTCAATAACACGGTCCTTAGATCCTCCAGCCGGGACGCTTGTCCACCAACTTGACCGGTTGGCGATGGCTGGAGCATGAGTCATTGCCGTGTGACAGCAGTATACCTGAGCGGCAGCCACCGTCGTGCCCCGCCCCGTCCTCGGCCGTCTCTGTGTGCTGACTCAATATTCGGCCGATGGACTCCAGTGGGCGCCACGTGGGGCCGACACTCGCTGTCGCTCGGACAATTTTATGTCGAGCCCGATGCCTAACCAACTTCTATAAAGTATCTGGTACAAATTATCAGCTAATGATCAGACCCACAACCTTACCAGTAATCTTCTCACCATGCACTGTGTCCAACATTTTTTTTTCCTCATGCGTATCATGCTTGCAGTCGCAAACGATTTCCGGGGCTGCTGTACGCAGGATTCAATCTTGTGACACCGACCTGCCGCGTACTTGTCCCGCTGTACCAGAAGACATGCCATGGGATTACCACCCATGGCTTCACTCCGTGCATGTTTATTGGTCAATGGTAGCAAAGGCAAGAGTCCCTGGTGTACGAAGACGTGCAGGGCAGATGGTTGGACAAACGTTTGTGGGGGAGAATCTTTGAGGCGCGCGACTGAAGATGTGGAGGTGAATCAGAAGCCAGCGTGCTGCTAGTGAAGCATCGGCACCGACCGGGGCCTCGTTTCATAAAGCAAGTCTGTAACTTACGCCGGTTTTTGGGCTTGTATTGCAAGCGCATGTGAAGCGATAAATTTGTTTCCCCATCTCCCTTCTGTTCTTGCTTGCAAAATAAATGAATTCCACTATCCAAACTATCGTCATCGCTTCACATGCACTTGCAATGCAAGACCAAAAACCGGCGTAAGTTACGGACTCGCTTTATGAAACGAGGCCCAGGACTCGTTATCACATCTTCCCGATCCGCATCTCAGGTTACCCGGTCACGCCACACAGCGAACCAACCACAAGCACGCCTACAGGGGTGGCGTGACCTGTCGACCGGTCGCGCCGGGCGACTTAAGACCCGTGCCAGAACGGAAGGAGACGCAGCTTTGTGGGAGGACCTCCGCGCGGAGAGCGGACATAAGCAACGGCAAGGGGAGATATTCACTATTCAGCCCAGCTGACCAATGACTGCGACAGAGGCCGAGATCTGTAGCTGTGGCTGCCATCAGTCACGAGACTGATTGCAGGCTGGCATGGACTCTGGTGGGGGGAAGGTGGTGGACGTTTCGGAACCCCGACTGAGGGAGGGGTTGGTGCTACCCATGAAGGTTCTTGTTTCTTAGCGATTGCTGGGAGTACGATACAGAAAGAGAATTAAGTCTGGTATATCGGACGTTTGATTTAAGTTGGGGATATTGCACCATTGATATTTTCCGGTTAGGTCTCGTCACTAGCCTATAAACCACAAGCGAACTTCTGTATGTTGAAACATGCGACTTTGTGACGTATTCAGTGCCCGAGTGCGTCTAGCAGCGGAATGAAACTTTCGGAACCAGTAAGCTTCCGAGTTATCATCGCTATCTTGTTCATTTTTCATGAAGTAACCATCGCTCCATCTTGTAAATCACAACCTGACAAGTTTTTTTTTGGCGAAGGTCTAGTTCAGTTAGGGCCAAAGATCCTTGATTGAGGCCGGACATATAGAAAACAGGTACGGCCAGGGCGAAGATGCCCCGAGACGAAGACGAGTGGCGGAACCGCAGGTCTGCTGGTGCAGTGAACGAGCCCGCGATACGGAGGCTCGGGTGACGGAGTCCGGTGTCCCGTCCGGTTCAGGCGTCTGGTGTCCTGGCCGCCCGGTCCAGGCGTCCGGTGTTCCCTGGTGTGCACGGGTGCAGTGGACAAACCCGCTGTACGGTGGCCGGGGTGACGGGGTCCGGTGTCCCGCCAGGCGTCTGGTGTTCCTCTGGTGTGCACGCTCCAGGTCCCCGACGCCGCCCGATCCACCGGAGCTCTGCACTGGTGTCCAGGCCCGCAAACCTAACAGTGTGGCGTCTGTCACCAGGCTACCGAACATGCTGCTGATTATGGGCGAACTTCCGTGCATTTCCCCTTTAGGTGCGGGTCACAAATTCTGCATCAATCTTGGAAAAGACCACCACTGTGATCTTGTAGTTGAAAAAGTTAGATATGTGGAATCGCGGGCTTTTGCAGCAGTTGATTTTTTCTTCTGTTCGCTGATTGCTGATTGCTATTCTCGTCATTACTACGTTCATAACCCATTTTGTGCTACGGGCATAATGACAGTAAACTCGACTTCCGCTGTTGATCGGAATCACTGTGTAATATTAGAAATGCAGCATTGTCATTATACACATCAACTACATATTATACGGCTCTGTAAGCGTGGCTTTGCAAAAAAAGCAACCTTTTATCGGGTACAAATTCATCGTCTCACTCTTAAAGTATTCGACGCTGTAAACTAGTGATGTCAATTACGGAAAATCGTGATACCGATACCAAACCAAATGCCAACAATATCCATGAAAAAATACCGAAACCAAACCGACTTGGGAATATGAGGAAAATACCAACTTTTTACCAAGTTCTCAGCCTCTTTTACATTAGTGAGGATTCATAATACCAACAAAATACCAAATGCACTTGCCTTGAAATACCAAATACCATGTTGGTATCGGTTTGGTATCGGTATACCAAACAGTTGGTATCCGATTGACATCTCTACTGTAAACTGTCCGGTCGATATTATGTGAGTCAGTTTGTTTTACTACAGGGATATTCCACGTATCTGTTCGATTAAAGGTAGTGTGCCAGCTTTCTTGGACCGTATGGAGTTAATGGCCCTGATAAGGAGAACCGGATTTTTAGAACTTATCCATACCTTCAAAACTCATGGAAACGTCTTAAATTCTTCAAATTTTGAGTACCCCAGTGCGAAATTCGCCCCGACGGGTTGTCGGTCGTACCCCAACCACATTTCACACCACTATGAACAATAAATGCACACACTGAAATCGCTATTACCGATATGCTCATCCAATCAAGTTTCGATAAACCCGTTCATCATCATCTCCTGCGGTTTCGAACACGCCTGTTAGGTGGCTTCTGATGCTCGTCGAGGTCGGAATTTCCAAATACGCGTGGTGCGTCGGGCCGCGCGCTCTGACTTCGGCCAAGAAAAATGCGTCAGCTGATCATTGTCATTTCTGCCACTTGCGTGTGGTGAAATGGGGTCATAACTTATAAGACGGCTTTTTCATATCAATTATTTTACATAAAATCATATTTCAAGGCTCGACATTGTGTTGTCTACGATTAGACAGCTGATAACTCATTCCCGTACGTCGTATGGTCGTAACACTATAATGACCTTTGCTTATTGTCACAAGTGCGCCGCATTCGCGATTGTTGCCCGACGCCTGTTTGCAGGTGAGCCCACTACAGTTGTTATACATATCTAAAAACCGAAAAACTTTTAGGCGAAAAAGGCACTATTCCAGGCCCATTTTTGATTTTTTTTTGCGATATTAGGTAAAAACAGAAGCTTCTTATCCTAGGAAAAATAAAATGGGAAATCTTTCAAAGGTGGCACACTACCTTTAACAATCGCTACTATCTTGAGTCGGTCTGCGGCTAACCTCATTGCATTTCTGCTCCAAACACTTCCCCTTTCCTATGGCCTCGTTATTTGTGGCGTTCCACTGTGCATATCACTGTCTCGGTCACTGCACCCCAGCCATTGCAGCTAGTGCGGCGGTTCGTGGAATCCGGTACTGCCAGGAGATAGCCTGGAAGCGGATGGAAGGGACAGGTCAGGGCCACGCTCGCCAGTCCCCCGGTCCGCTTCTGTCGCGCGGCCTCCTTACCGGAGGGGAGCGCCGCAGAGGGACTCCTCCGTATCACTGTTTATCGACCCCCGACGGAAGGAGGCGTGTACAGCCGGGTTGAGCTACCGACTGCGAGCTGTGACCCGCCGGCAGCGCGCGGCCCGCGTCCCCTCGAACCCGGACCCGCAGCCGGAGCCAGCGGCCGGCCTGGAGCCCAGCTTCCGTCGGCTGTCGGTGCCGTCCAGTGAAAGTCGTCCCGTCTCCCCACCGCACCACGCGGCGCCCGGGCGTGACCACTGACCGTGGCTCGTTTCCGCACCGAGGTACTCCCGGTGAACGGCCGGAGCCGACACCTGACCCAATTGCAGGCCGACCTGTCCAGACATGATCGGCCATAGCCGCGGATCGCTGCTAACCGGCCCGTCGAAACAGCGAATGGTGTCCGGCTTATGAGCGGGCCGACACGACACATGCACGTGCGCAGCCGCAGCCGCGGCAGAGTAAACCGCTGGAGGGAAGCCGCCGGCCGGCAGCGGAGGGCGGGGCGCGAGTTACCTAAGTGTGGAACTACCTAGCGCCGAGCCGGCCGGATGACGTCACACCACGGCCAGTGCCGGCGCGGCGGCAGACTGGCCGAGATTGGCATGGTCTTAACTTGGCGAAGAGGCATCGGACGCCAAACTTCTGCTGTAGCTATTAATCACATTTCATGCGTTTCTTCCATGTGTATGAGCTATCAAGTCCTTCGAATACCTAATGTGTAGGTGAGCGTACCTGCATTTAGCAGTGTGTGCTATGTGGATGGGCACATCCGACAGTCGACACACTGCGCAATGGATTCCGATATTGCTTGGCTGATTCTGGCTTTGTGTCTTCGAACGAACCATTGAAAGGGAGGACGTCATTTTTAAAGGTTGTTAGGTGCACTCAAACGTTTTAAGATAAGCAACTGCTGATTGAATTTCTGGCGAGGGTTGGTGGAACGCTCTGTTTACAAATGAGTATCTACCTACCTAGTACCTACCTGCAGTGGCAAATAACTGGGTCGCGGTCAGTTAGGCATGATTCACGAAGTCCCTTGACCCTTATCTTTTATTAGACTTATTAAGCCCAATGTGCAACATTTGCGTCTTTTCGCGTTGTATCGGGTAGCAAATGAGAAAATCTGCTTCTTCTCCACAGCCCTCAATTCAAGAAACCGTCCTTTTCCTTATCGCATCATTTCAGAACATAATTTTCAAACATGGATATCTTCCCCACAAAAAACTGAAGCAGTTTCCTTCGGCTCCAATGCGCCGCTCGCCCAGGGAGACGGAAGTGTTATATTCTCGGCGGTCCAGTCTGCATTCTGCAGCACACTCAAACTTGGCGGACCCCCAGCGCACGACTGAACGATTCGTATTGTTGTGAGTGACTGTGACAATTCACTGGTGGTTTCGGAATAATTAACAGGCGGCGCAGCCCAGTGCCTCTTACAATGAATTACAGTGGCGAATGCACTATTGCAGAGAAGAAATGGATTGAGCAGATGCCCAAGCTCGCTGTATTATCAATTAAAACATTAGGTACGCTTTACATTTTAATCAGGCAATCTAAAACAAACGACTTGCGAGTTGCGACCCTTCCGCCTTACATAACTCGGCAGAATGCCCCTGAGTCGGCTAAACTACACTGCATCTCTTCAAACCTTAAGTATTTTACAATTTACCACTCAGCTATGCAACAGGCTTATAATTCACTGCTCAAGTCTCAACCCCTTTTTCCCTATCATCTTTTTGGCACCGTCAATCGCCATCTGCGCTGCCCACTGTCCAGCAAATAATCCGGCCGTCTCCAGTTCTCTGGCAGGGGCTTCCAAACTCAAGCGAACTCGCCGAAGTTTCGCCATTCAATGCGCAGGATCTGTACAATTGAGTTTGAGAGCCTCTGGGTTGGCTCGGCGCGCCTGCGCCGCGCCGTTGGTCCGGCCAAGTACGCGAGTGACGTCATGCTATAAGCGTCATCCCCCGACCAAAGTCACCAATCAGAGCCCTAGAATCGACTTGTAGTTCCACACTTAGGTAACTCGCGGGCGGGGCGTGTCCCGGTGCCGGCCGCGGCCCCCGATTGGCTCCGTGGGTCGGCACAGGTGATGAGTCACCGGTCGGCGGGGGCGGGTCGGCTCGCGCGCGGTACGCCGCGACTGAGGAGACGACGGTGTCGACGGCTCTGATATGGGCGCCGCCAGCCCCGCGCCCGTCATTCGCGGTCGGAGCTCCAGCGAGCCGGGCGGGCCGGACTGGTCTGCGTTGGCCGCGCCGTCCCGGGAATCTGCTGCTTAGTGTTTGGAGTTCGGTGCTCAAACGGTAGACGTCTTCGAGATTTTGTACACGAGGTACGAGGAAGTCTTAGTCTGTTGTGGTTGTTCACGGTTAGTTGCCTTAGAGTGATCCCACAAGGTTGGTTGATGTTGACGTTTCTGGCTTGATTTTAGGCTTGATTACTTGACTTGAGGATTTGTGCTTGCAGTAAAAAAGGAGCTGTCGCCCTCATTTTATTGACATTGCTGTTATTTGCCGGATGCCTGTTATTTTTTATTCAAGAAAATGTACACTATCTACACTATATATGTAATCAGCGAACGATTCTGTTATCTGATTCATTTTGACATTGTTCTCATCGGACCATCCTTTCCTTTCCTGCCACAAAATCGACGCCACGTTCTTCGTGACGTCTGTTTCGTCTCAACGCGTGTCGTACATTTCTATTGTTCCTGTCTTTGACGTACCATGCCACTCTCCTCCGTTTCAGTTCGTGACCCGGGCAGTGCGAGTGATTGACCTCATCACAAACATCGACATGACAGCCTTCCAAGCTCACAGCGGCCTTCACAAGTTCGTCGAGCGCCTCGAGGTGAGAATACGAGTATCGATCGTCCGTTCCGTGTTCCAGGCGCGTCGCTGGCGAGGCATGAGTCATCTGTGTTACGATATGCCGTCATAGTGTGTTGACAATTATTGCGTGTAAGGCACTGGGTGCTTGAGCATTTAAACCAGCCGAAAACCCAAATCACCACCGCAGCTCACGATACACTGCGCTATAAATTAAACGTGCTTGCCGATTGAAGACATTCATCGAATAGTTATTCTCCGTAGGTCATAGCACGTTGTTAACATTGCATACTGTTGGTCGGTTTTTGTGTAGGGATTTGGTATTATTGAGTGGATGTCGTATTAATTGCTGTGGAGTCGTGACGGAATCAAGTTGAGAGAAGGGCGCTTGAGCAATTCTGTTTCCTAGCAAAAGTTCGGCTTGTGCCCTAAAGCCGCAATAAATAAAAAGGAGCTTTCAAGTGACACAAGTTATAGCCGACATTAAGAACTAACGACTTAGGCATGGCACAGTTTTGTGCTGAGTTCCTATGCACGTTTTGTTAGAGCTTAGAGTTTGAGGAAGTCTCCCAAGAATCATTCTGATTTTAAGTCGTCATTGTAGCTCGCTTCTGATATGCGTTGTTTTGAGCATCTGAGACTGAAGCGAGGAGTGTCGAGCTTAACTTCTTTCTCATCGGTAGTTCCTTTGTTGTAGACATCTATCAGTGGCGGAGCACGCTAGCTTTGTCTTTGTTGGCCATTGGACGGCACTATCAGCGCGGGGACGTGACACGTCACCCCGGGTACGGCCCAGGGTGGTCCCTCCGGTCAGATCACCGGGCCACTTGGGTTGGCCCGGGACCGGCCGGGCTAACCCCGGCGGCGTCTCCCCGACGCGCTGAGTCAGGACGGTGGGGTGTGCGTCCACCGACTGAGCGTCTGCCGTGGGTCCGTGACGCCGACCCGGTCTCCGACTGAGGGGGGAGGGGGGGGGGGTGATAGCGCGACACCGGGAAGGGAAAGGAGACGGCAACCATGAGTCATAGTGCGGGCTAGTAATTGAAAACGACGCTGCACCGGCAGTTATTGATAGCGTGCCGGATGAGAGTGAAAAGATACCTAACATTGGGATAGGGCATATTAAGGGGCTTTGTTATGGCACGGTGCTGCATTTGCGTATTTGTTTTATGTCTCAGTGGTATCATTTTAGGTGTGTATGCCGAAACTAATCTTTTAGTCTTTGTTCGGCACCTGGGCTCTATTAGTTGGTTGGTTTATTGGTATGTCCGCTGTCCAGTGCCTGTCAGCAAAATTTGCTCTGTCTTCTGTGCATTGGTTCCTTGCTTCTCTGAACCCTCCTTTACTCTGCCTTTTGGAACCTGAAAACTCGAGTAACGTTCGACGATTAGTTTTGCTTATTGCCTGAATCACATGACACTTTGTTCTTTGCATTACGTCGCCTTACCTTTTCCTTTGGCCATCTCTAAATTTTGAATCGTAAGCAATTGAAATGGGTCCTTGATCAACAGTCATGTTCCGTATGATCGATACAGTGGCAATACAGTAATACAATAGTGTATGTCAATATCCAAAGTATTGTTTTCATTGAGTTACGTGTTCCCTTGTGGCCGATAGGATGGCGTCGATACCCCTTCATAAGCTACCTCCCGACGCCATTGTCACACTCCGGACATATCATGACGTAACGCGACTATAAATAGCGGCAGTTGGCGGGGTGGTTCTGAGAATTCCTGCCTCGCTTCACTGTACCGACGTGATATGTCAGCTCGATGCAGCGTTATCATGCGGCGTCAAAGAACTGCAAACTGTGTGTAGAGTTACAAATGCAAACTAACTCGTCCAAGAGAGGCTGACCGCTGGCGGCTACCGTCGTTGTCTCGAACGCAAATGTAGTGAGCTGGTGTAGACTAGATTATTTCGAGGTTACATTGACGTACATCTGTTGTGCTCTCAGTGACAGTAGGTTTAAATCTTGCATCACATACCCATGTGTTATGTATGTGTATCGTTTGAGGCAGGTGGCTGATTCGAATTGTCACTCTGACCCCCGTTTCCTCTCTGTCTCAGGCGGAGGTGAACATTTGCCGCCGTGAGCAGCCGTACCAGATCCCGGCGCGTTCCACCGCCCCGGCGGACGGTGCCGGCTCCAGCGCCGCTGCCGCTGACGCTGCTGCCGCGCCGCCGGCCGCCAGCCCCGAGAGCATGGACGTGGACCCGGCGGCGTCAGCCGGACCCTCCGCCGCCGCCGCTGCCGCCCCCGCCACTGCCCCCGGCCCCTCTGCCGCCCCCGCCCCCGTCGCCGCCCCCGCCGCCGCCGCCGCCGCCGCCGCCGCCGCCGCCGCCGGAGCGCCGTGTGGAGAGGTGACGTGCCTACCTCAGCGGAGCGCGCTACTCAAGTCGATGTTGAACTTCCTGAAGAAGGCCATCCAGGACCCGTCGTTCAGTGACAGCATCCGCCACCTGATGGAGGGCAGCCTTCCCAACTCGCTCAAGCACATCATCAGCAACGCCGAGTACTACGGCGCGTCGCTGTTTCTGCTGGCGATCGACGTGGTGACGGTGTACGCGTTCCAGGAGCCCTCTCTGCTCAGCTCGCTCCAGGACAATGGTCTGACGGACGTGGTGCTTCACGCGCTGATCGTGAAGGAGGTGCCGGCCACGCGCGAGGTGCTCAGCTCGCTGCCGAACGTGTTCAGTGCTCTGTGTCTCAACACGCGCGGACTGGAGGCCTTCGTGGCCGCGCAGCCGTTCGAACGGCTGTTCCGTGTGCTCCTGTCGCCCGAGTACCTGCCAGCCATGCGGCGGCGGCGCGGCTCAGAGCCCATGAGTGATACGGCTACCAAACTGGGTAACGCCATGGACGAGCTGATGCGACACCAGCCGAGCCTACGCGTGGCCGCCACGGCCTCCATCATCCGCGTGCTGGAGAAACTGTGCGAGATGGGCCGTGACCCGCAGTACATGTGCAGCCGGGCGGCCGGGAAACCGGAGCCGGCGCCCGGCGCCTCCGTCCGCTCCATGAGTCAGGAGGGCGGCTCCTCGGACGAAGAGGACGATGAAGAGGACCTCCCCGGAGACGCCGGCGAGGGAGGCGAGGGTGGTGAGGAGCCCTCCGCGCGCGGCGCCGCCGATAAGGACGAGACGGCTGTCAGCTCGCCCGCTGCCGCCGCCGACGTGGAGAAACAGCACGTGCCGCTGATCGACTATGTGCATAATGTGGTGAGTGGGGGTGCGGGGTGGTGTGGGGTAGTTACGAGCGAGCGCAGCGAGCGAAGCGAAGTCTTTTCAATATAACGGAAAAATCTCAGTATGAGCGGCCCGGCCCGGCCCGGCCCGGCCTGTAACGCTTTTGAGAGGCTTATATCTCAGCAACCGCTGGACCGATTGGCCTGCGGTCTTTTTTGCTGGGTAGCCCCATCCCTTCTACCCCGTAATTGACTACTTTTGATGCATCTCAGTGACCGTCGTGGCACGTGCCACGTGAAAAGTCAAGGGTGTTCAAGCAGTTTTGCAAAAGTAATGATTTTGAGAGGCTCATATCTCAGCAGCGGCTAGAGCGATTGTCTTGCGGTCATTTTTATAGGGTAGCTGCATCCTTTCTACCAAAGGTCGGATACTCTTCATCTATGTGAGTGACCCCCACTGCACGTGCAAAATACAACAATAAGAGGTGCCAAATTTGTTCCCATTTCAGTAACTCGGTAATTACTGGGGCGATTTCGGTGAAACTTGGCATACAGGTAGGCACCCACCAGGCAATGCATTCCCATGTGTTGCGGTTAGGGTGCTACTGCACGTGCGCACGTGCAGGGGGCGTTTCCAGATCTCGAGAACGGCTGGGCCGATTGCGCTCAAAGTTGGTACACGGTTGGGGACCGGTTAGTAGGGTGCCGTGCAAAAGTCATTTTGGACCCCGTTTGCACGTGCGCACGTGCAGAATGCCGCTTCCAGATCTCAGGAACGGCTGGGCCGATTGCGTTCAAATTTGGCACACCGCTAGCGACCGGTTAGAAGGGTGCTTTGCACAAGCCCGTTGGTAGTACCCTCTCGCCCTTCCGCACGTGCAGGGCTCACTATCTCGCTCGCTCGTTCTTCGCCCAAAAGGCGTTTTACTGGTTGTTATCAGCTTACTACAGCTGGTGATTAATGCATGATGGTAGTGACGTGCCCGGGATGTCGTGGATCTTGGTGAAGAGGTGACGTTTTGTTGTAATAATTTTGTACGTCCTTGTGGTAAATCGAATCGGTTGCCGATCGCAATCGTTAACTTGCCCTAAACTCGGCAGTCTGTGTTAATGATAGCAGCCGGTATAAACTTGATTCTTTTAGCGTTAATTGTCAGGCCATTCGTCTAATTTCACCTGGCCTGTAGCCTCGCGGAATGATCGCATTTCCGTATGCTTTTAGGTGGAAAGAGAAAGGAGAAACTTTCCAAAAGTGCTTTTTCCACAATTCTAGCCATGCTCATATGTAAATCAGCCGAATTGGACTCTCGCCCCTCGACCCGTGTCTACCTTGCTTCTGTCTCGTTTCAGATGAAGTTTGTGGACGCCATCCTGAGTAACAACTCGACGGACGACCACTGCCGAGAGTTCGTGTCGCAGAAAGGCCTGGCGCCACTGCTGGGCATTCTGGGACTGCCCAACTTGCCGCTTGACTTTCCGCAGACGGCGGCCTGCCAGGCAGTCGCGTCCGTGTGTAAATCGATCCTGGTGAGTGGGCTCGTGTCGTAAACATTTTGTGCAGAACGAGCCGCATTTCCACAAGCTCTCTAGCCGAGGGAGTTGTGACTGTTGAAGCTGTTTGGTGTACTGCCACATAAGGATCTCCGCGTGCTTTTTAAAATTTGTCCGAATGGGTGAATGTGTGGCTGCTGGGTCGTGTCTTCCATTCGATGTTTTCATGAGCTGATATTCTGTTAACATCGGATGATGCGATGTTGGATTCATTGCATTAGTAATTGTTCCTTATGGTGAAGTCATTGATTCGTTGAAGGTGAGCTATGGCTAGTTTGAACATGATTATGAATATTATGATGATAGAAAATGACCTTATGCTCATGATACAATGAAATGATAGTGAAATAAGTCCAAACATTTTATTTTTATATAGTATATAATATTATATGTTTTTTATACTTATTTCACGATTATTTCATTGTATCATGAGCATAATGTCATTCTCTAACGTCATAATATTAAGTCAATGATTTGCGTAGGTAACGGTTTTCTTTGACATTTGCTCGTTCCCGACTCGGGCGTCTTTAGATCTGCTTATAGTCAAATAATCTGCTCACGTTCGCATAAAGCACCATTATTTTGTACATTTACTTATGATTTGTCAACCTCGCTGGGTGGTCTTTCTTCTTACTCCATTTTCCGTTCTACCCGCAGAACCTGGCTCACGAGGGTCAGGTGCTGCGCGAGGGTCTGCTGCGACTGGGCGAGGTGCTGGTGGCCCTGGAGCCGCTGCACGTACCGCCGCCCGAGCCGGGCACCTCTGTACTGCTGCGCGAGCTGGCGGCCTCGCCGCCGGGCGCACCCAGCTCGCCCCGATCCACGCCGCTGCTGCATGCCATGAGTGCGGCGCACGCCTACATCGCTACATTCATACACATCTGCCGGACCAGTCAGGTGAGAGAAATAGGGGCCCTTCATACACATCTGCCGAACCAGTCAGGTAGGGGACAGATAAAGCGCCAGTCCATACTCATCTGTCGGACCAGTCAGGAAGGGGGAAGATAGGATGACGGGGTCCTCCATACACGCCCGCTGAGCCGGTCAGGTAGGGAGGGTGGTGAAATTGGGAGAAAGCCGATATCGGAGTGGTTGGAGGCTTACACGGTCCTTAGATCCTCCAGCCGGGACGCTTGTCCACCAACTTGACCGGTTGGCGATGGCTGGAGCATGAGTCATTGCCGTGTGACAGCAGTATACCTGAGCGGCAGCCACCGTTGTGCCCCGCCCCGTCCTCGGCCGTCTCTGTGTGCTGACTCAATATTCGGCCGATGGACTCCAGTGGGCGCCTTGTGGGGCTGACAATCGCTGTCGCTCGGACAAACATTAATTAAGGCTTTACGTAGCTTGAACTTTTATTATATATCTGTTGCCTTTTTAGAGCAATGCGTCTTGAAGAACAATCACTTGATAATGAGGGCTGCTATGCTAATAAGGACACGCTAGTGCGGACATAAGTTTCCTCATTGTACCAATTTATTTGTAGTTCTTGCTGAATTGCGTATCAATTCTTATCTTTCTTCTAAAAACTTATTTCAGTTTTTCTCGCAGTTCAGTGGCGATGCTGAGTTTAACGTAAAACACATACATTCCAACGCATCGATTCCGTCATGTTGCATTATATCACGACACTTCTAGCGCACGTCGGGCTTATCCCATTGAAAACTGCGATGCTTTGTACCCACCACTGACACTCCCCCGTCCCCTCTCTCCCACACAGACGGACATTCGTCAGGTCAGTGTCAGCAGCTGGGGGTCGGAGCGCGGCCTGGCCGTGCTGCGCGACCTGTCCCGGCTCTACACCAGTATTGTTTGGGAGAGCACCGTGCTGATGGCGCTGTGCACGCCCAACGGACTGCCAGCCGACACGGCGTTCGCCCGGGACGACATGAACCGACTGCTCGAGCACAAGGTGAGGATGGAGTGGGGCAGGGAAGGGCTGAGACAGTAGCTGGGCTGGGCAGGGGGGACTGAGTGCTGCTGGATCGGCCAGCTGTTTGTCAGTTTGTTTGTATATTTACGTAGACAGGTAGCGGTTTGTTATGGATAGTGGAGAATATGTGGCAGTCATGGTTATTTCTGACGAATTGGTCCTAACGGTCGGCTGTCGTTTGCGGTAGCGCATGCCATGGTGTACGGAAGTGTTTGAGAGGTCTGGTCCCGGTCAAGGTTAACCACGGGTGGGAGGCGATAGGTTACTTTTTTCTTTCCGGAGTGTTCTCAATAACACGGTCCTTAGATCCTCCAGCCGGGACGCTTGTCCACCAACTTGACCGGTTGGCGATGGCGGGAGCATGAGTCATTGCCGTGTGACAGCAGTATACCTGTGCCGCAGCCGCCGTCGTGCCCCGCCCCGTCCTCGGCCGTCTCTGTGTGCTGACTCAATATTCGGCCGATGGACTCTAGTGGGCGCCACGTGGGGCCGACACTCGCTGTCGCTCGGACAAAATATCGTATCTTGAATTCGTTCTTATTGACATTGTAGGATGCCACCAATTTTAAGTGTTTCTTTAGTGGCACTATTAATTATCACCGTGTTGCGAGGTGAGTTCTCAGTTGACGCAGCCGCCGGTCTGTCCCTCCCCAGCAGACGGATGTCGTGGCCATGGATGAGGTGGAGGACACCAAGGTGCCTCCCAGTCTCCAGTACCAGATAAAGGTCATCAAACCGGTCCTGGCATCCACCTCCAAGCTGGGTCGCGCCATGACCGACCTGTTCGGCCTTCTGGTCAAGGTGAGCGACAAGACGGGGCTGCTGGAGGTGTCGGGGTAGATTTTGTGCCTTTTTATGGCATAATTACCACTGATTGTGTGCTTTTGAGTTTGGTGCTGGGAAAGTATGCTTGCTTCAAACAACTATTCTGTTTTATGCAAAGATGAAAAAGGAGTAGTTGCACGATCGGTAGGCATATCGTTTCCTCCCTATGACCATCTACAAGTTGGTATACGCATCGATAGGTATGCCGGCTTGACGTTAAGTTCAGTCGGGTTCGAGATATCAGCCCCGTGGCCGCAGAACTCTGCCCTATTACCCCATTCCCCCTACTACCGTGCGTGCTCCGCTGTTCACCATTTCTAACCACCCCTCCCCGGCCCTTCCAGCTGTGTGTGGGCTCCCCGATCCGGCAGCGCCGAGGGCAGCAGCTCAACAACATGAACCAGATGGTCTCACCGGCGGCCCGCAAGGTGGCGCGTGAGATCAACAGCCTGCTCACGGATGCCATCGCCTTCAAACCAAAGTGCTGCGTGCCCACGCCCAAACTGAGGTCAGTGGCGGACGGGGGCAGGACGTATGGCCAGGTAGTGTGGTCGTATGTGATAAGGTAATGCAATCGATTTGCAAAGGATTGTGATATGTATAATGGAAAGGAATGAAAAGAGTTAGCTTAAGATGTATGGTAGTATTCTTGGGAGCTTATATAGTTTTTACACGGTCCTTAGATCCTCCAGCCGGGACGCTTGTCCACCAACTTGACCGGTTGGCGATGGCTGGAGCATGAGTCATTGCCGTGTGACAGCAGTATACCTGAGCGGCAGCCACCGTTGTGCCCCGCCCCGTCCTCGGCCGTCTCTGTGTGCTGACTCAATATTCGGCCGATGGACTCCAGTGGGCGCCATGTGGGGCACACACTCGCTGCCGCTCGGACAACTACCGTTTAGACCTCAAATAACTGAATTTGCTCATGCCATTTTTAGATGAATATTTTCATTGTGTTTTATATATTATCTTTTTTTTGTATTTTTTATTAAATTGAAATTGTCCTCTAAATTTTTTCTTCATGACTAACGTTTGCTTTCTATACCGAGCTGACTGACTATTCTCTGTGCCGTCAGGTTGACGTTCTACACATGCTCTGTCGGGTTCATCTCGTCGATGCTGTTTGACGAGAAGAAGCTCCCCTACCACCTGATGCTGCAGCTCTTCAGGTCCATCGGTGGCCTGGACGCCTTCTTCGAGTACGTAACCGAACGGGACGGTGTTCAAGGCGATAGCGCATATTGGCTCGCCGCGGTTGTTTTTATTATGATGGACTGTATTTTTTTTCGTTCATGTATTTGACAAAGCAATACACTTGGTTCAGTTTTGCATTCACAATGCCTAGTGTATTTATGACTACCGGTATGTTTTTTATCTCTGCAGTGGGTACGCCCTACGATCTGGCCTGTTCACTGTTCATATTCTAGTAGTGCGTTCCCAAGAGCAGCGCGCGGCAGCCCTTAGGCTCTGCCTGTTCAGTGTCTACCTGCACAGCTGCTGTGTTCGTCTTGTCTTGCTCACTCTGTCTAACCTCTGGTGCTCGCCGCGCTCACAGGACGTTCCAGTGGGCGCTGTCGATGGACGGCAAGGTGCCTGCCGAGCAGGGCCTGGAGCACCCGGAGCTGCCGGACGGCACCGCCGAGTTCCTCGACTCGTGGCTCGTGCTGCTGGAACGGCTCGTCAGTCCCAAACAGCTGCTGGAGACGCCGCACACGCTGCCCAAGCTCACCACCGAGGGCACCTTCGCCGAGCCGTTCGACCCGCACAAGTTCATGGCCAGCATTCACAAGGTGGGGGTGCTGTCAGATGCAGTGCGCTGGCGACGAAGATTGAGGGGAAGGGCTAATGTAGAATGATAAGTTCGAAATGGCTGCCCGAGCTTAGCTAATATAGACGTATCGATGTTGAAAAAGCATTGCTGCAAAATGTGTCGTTCCTCTACAGTCTTTACTCTTTTTGACTGTCATAGATTCTACCCGATGTACCCGATATCAGCGTACCAATCAAATCATTGGCAATTATACCACGGATGATTCCTGCGCTTAGCCCCGGTCTGACGTCCGTCACCCCCCTGTCGCGTTTCAGTCGGCGTTCCAGTCGGTGATGCTGCTGTGGAACCGGCAGCCGCTGGACGGCTACGGTAACCGGCTCTCCATCTCCATCCTGGCCATCCTACGGCACGTGCTGCGTGGCGAGGTCATACTCAAGGAGCGGCAGGCGGCGGACGCGGCGGCCGCTGCCGGTACCTCAGGTGGACCGGACTCGGCCGCCGCCGGCCCGGCTGCCACGGACGCCGCCGCCGCCGCCGGCAGGACGCCCGCGGCGGTGTCGGGAGCGGCGGCGGACGGTGCGGCGGCCGCGGCAGCTGGCCCGTCGGCCGGCGAGGCTGTGGTGATGGTGAACACTGACCAGCTACAGCAGCTGCTGGACATGGGATTCCGCCGGCAGGCGTGCGTCGAGGCACTGCAGGTGACCAACAACAACGTGGAACAGGCCACCGACTACCTGCTCTCACACCCGCCGCCTCTGCTGCCGGAGATCGCCGGGGTGAGTACACACTGCGCGGGAGCGACTGGACAGGGAAATGAGCAGAGGCTGGGACTGAGATGCGCTTATGAATTTCATCGATTGATGGGGTAGACCTTGTGGTTGTTTTACACGGTCCTTAGATCCTCCAGCCGGGACGCTTGTCCACCAACTTGACCGGTTGGCGATGGCTGGAGCATGAGTCATTGCCGTGTGACAGTAGTATACCTGAGCGGCAGCCACCGTTGTGCCCCGCCCCGTCCTCGGCCGTCTCTGTGTGCTGACTCAATATTCGGCCGATGGACTCCAGTGGGCGCTATGTGGGGCCGACACTCGCTGTCGCTCGGACAAATGCATGCTTAATGGCTCAGATATTACTGCTGAGTATATATACTCGCCGATTCAATCCTTAATTTGCTCTAACCTGGGAGCTTGTTTACTTGGTTAGTATCACCGCGGTGATGACCAAAACCGCCCGAGCGCTCTTAAAACTCAAACATTATCATCGTCATCTTGGTTGAGTATCCTGATACGCTGGGCGTTCATGACAGTTCACAGTCGCCTACCGGCACCGCGTGTGCCTATCCACCCCTCCCGTCTCCTAACACCGCCCCGTATCCCGTCCTGCCGCCAGGTGATGCCCGAGTGGCCGGAGGACGGACAGGTGGGGCGCGGTATCGACATGTCGCTCGGCTGTGAGCGCGACACAGCCGAGAAAATGGACACCAGCGAGCAGCGCCCGGCGCCCGCCGAACAGCGTCAGGTGGGGAACGGGGGGCACGTCAGGTGGGGAACGGGGGGCACCTCCACCAGAGGGCGCGGGATACGAACGGGCGAGCGGGGACTGGCGTCGGGAGATTCCGGGGTAGAGGAGGTCGCCTTGCTTAAACGAGTAACGTTGTTAACCTTTGATAGGCTTTGCTATTCATCTAAAATCATTTTGTTTACAGCTCATTTTAATTCTTGTAGATCTGTCTTTTTTATTTTATATCTTTTTATGGAGGTTAAGGAGATATTTTTTCACCGGACATCAGCTCCGAAAGTGGCTGTTTGAATTCAGCAGATGTTTTGCTAATTTTTAATACCTTTTTGCTACCGTTTGCGGTTTGTAGCCTGCTCCTGGCTATGGCACTCGCACTAGATATTGCAGTGACCTGTGAGTGGCCGTCGTGTCATTCCATCTCATTCCGTTACTCACCCCGCCCCGCCCCTTACGCCAGGTGACGGACGACGAGCCGCTGTCGGCCGTCAAGCTGGACACCTTCACCAGCAGCGTGCTGGACGGCTGCCTGAAGCTGCTGGACGCGCTCAGCGACACCGTCTACCGCACCTGCGACCTCATCGTCACCTGCATCCAGCGCAACGGGCCAGAGTGGCGAGACCAGACGCTAAGGCACCTCGCCTCGCAGGTTAGCTGATGGTGGTGGAAGGTTGAGGGATGTCATGTCATATGTGATAAGTCGTATGGTGGTTTTACACGGTCCTTAGATCCTCCAGCCGGGACGCTTGTCCACCAACTTGACCGGTTGGCGATGGCTGGAGCATGAGTCATTGCCGTGTGACAGCAGTATACCTGAGCGGCAGCCACCGTCGTGCCCCGCCCCGTCCTCGGCCGTCTCTGTGTGCTGACTCAATATTCGGCCGATGGACTCCAGTGGGCGCCATGTGGGGCCGACACTCGCTGTCGCTCGGACAATTGATTCAAACTCTGCAATTATTTTAGGGCGAGTGGTACACAATAAACATGCTGTCCTTCGCTTGGGCTAATACATATCGCATTTTATGTTTATCTCCTGTTAAGTATCATAAATTGACTTGATGTTCGAAAGCTATGTATCTGGCGCGTTCCCCGAACGTATCGTTTCGTTCCCCTGCGCTGACCGGCCGGCTCGCCCGCCAGGTGTGCCACTACCTGGAGGAGCTGCTGCGGATCTCTGAGCTGGCTGCGCCGGCCGAGGAGCGGCTCACGCAGCTCACCACTCTGCCCTGCGCCTCCAAGGCGGCCGTGCGCATCCACCTGTTCTCCCTGCTCTTCGAGGTGAGTTACCGACGTGCCTTGTGAGAGATATGCACCCCGCTGAGATAGGTCTGCAGGTGTGAGACATACGTGCTGATGTGAGACACGTGCAGACTGCTGCGAAAAAAACATGCTGAGGTGAGAATAATATAGACAGATCGCGGTGAGAAATACGTACCGTTCCGAGGCTAACGTGCGGAGGTGAGCGAGACGCACTGCGATGAGAAAGACGTGCAATGGTGAGACAGACATCATGAGACTGCACGGACGAAGCTTTCACTCGTCGTAGAATTGTGAAGTGTTGTCAGGGTTTGTAGAAACCGAATTACGGATGGTCGGTGTTGTATTCATGAGTATCTGCTGGGCGGTAGGCTAAGTACGATGCGACGCGTCGTTAAGCAATAGCTATATGGTAGCTGTTATTGCGGATATGTTGCGGAAGCATAGAAATTAGAAGGTTTATGCTTCGTCAGTCGCTTGATTGCACGGTCCTTAGATCCTCCAGCCGGGACGCTTGTCCACCAACTTGACCGGTTGGCGATGGCTGGAGCATGAGTCATTGCCGTGTGACAGCAGCAGTGCAGTATACCTGAGCGGCAGCCGCCGTTGTGCCCCGCCCCGTCCTCGGCCGTCTCTGTGTGCTGACTCAGTATTCGGCCGATGGACTCCAGTGGGCGCCACGTGGGGCCGACACTCGCTGTCGCTCGGACAGACAGTATTCGATTCGACAAAACTTAATTTCTGGGATAGCGTTTGTATATTGCGCGCGCCAGTGTAACATGCCATCATCACTGTTCTGGCTCAGTGTTTCACAATGCCTCCCTCTCCTCCCCGGCAGGAGATGCACATGCCGTGTGCTCTGGTGGCCACCTCCACTCCGCTGATCCCGCTCTGCATCCAACTGCTGTGCCGCACTGAGCTGCTGCTGGCCAGCTGCCCGCGCCAGGCCGAGCAGCTGGCCTCGCCGCGCTGGCTGGCGCCGCTGGTCGTCTTTGTTGACCTCTGCGAGAAGATCGCCGTGGCCTCACAGCGCCGCGCCGCCGTTGCGCAGGTGGGTAACACCGCGGGGTGAATTTGTCTTGGGCTCTTGGTGTCTGGTGAATGAATTAATCGTCGTCTCATGTTCATTTTGCCAACGCCCTGAAGTGAAATTAATACGATACGCTTTGGGGTTCTCCACTTGTAACAGCCTTGTTACAGTGTAAGGTTTAAATAGATTACGTCCTTACAGAACCCCTGCATTAGCTGAGGAATGGCTTATTTCTTCCTCCATCATGAAATGGTTTTGTCGCTGTTTCATTCTCCCATGACCTTCCTCTGTCCCCGCCCTGCAGATCACGGGCCACCAGTGGCGCTGGTTCGACCTGGGCTCGGGCAAATGGTGCGGCTACCCGTCCGCCAACAACAAAACTATCGACGACGCGTACTGGGCCGGCGAGAACCAGGTTCAGATCGTCACCGGTCGCAGGAAGTACAACATCATCTTCAACACCATGATCCAGGTATGAAGCGATCAGTGTGGAGCGAGCGAGACGGTGGATGGTGATGGTGAACTTGCTATCTTGTCGACACACGAGTTAAAAAGTGCGGTACCATTATGAAGAATATTGACGGTCCGTCTGGATGTTGACATATAGATGTCATCCTGCTGCAGTTACTCTTAGCTAGCGGGTTAGGTATGTATTATGACTACGGTACTGCGCCTTGGTGAGATGGGTAGCTGAATATGTTTGCCGTATGTTTAACCACAATGCCATCTTGTTATTTGCACCTCAGGTGAACGAGGAGACCAACAACCGTCGGCCAGTGATGATCTGCCTGGCCGACCGGCCTGCGTCCACCTCCACCGCCACCTCTGCTACTACTGCTTCGTCTGCCACCACCACCACCACCGCCTCCGCCGACGGCTCCACGGCACCGCCGGCTCAGCAGCAGCAGCCGGCGGCGGCAGCGGCGGCTCCGGCTCAGACGCAGCAGGGCCAGGACGCGCCGGCGCCGGCCACCGTGGACTGCCTGACCGACAGCCAGTGCTCAGAGATCCTCTCGGCGTGCGTGGGTCTGCTGGCGGCAGGTGTGGATGCCGACACCCTGCAGGCGGTGCTGCGGCTCTGTCTGCGACTGACGCGCCAGCACAGCCTGGCGGTGCGGTTTGCTGAGCTGGGAGGTATCCGACATCTGCTGGCGCTCCGCCAGGCGTCCAGTTTCGCCGGCCTCAACACGCTGGCTACGTTCCTGGTGAGACACACCATGGAGGATTCGGCCACGCTGCGTTTCACCATGGAGAAGGTGGGTCGGCTGGGCTATTTGGGTGTGGTGTAACAGGAGCTGCTGGTCTGTCGTATGGCGACCATTTGGTAATAGCACGGGTGTAGGGGGGGGGGGCAGCACTTACAAATCTACAGACAATTTCAATATGGCTTCTTTCCAAATATTTATTACACAAGAGTTAATATCACAGTACGTCTGTTAAGTGTTCAGTGTGCTGACCTTACCAATAACTTCGAAAAGGCATATTTAGATGACTGGTCAGTTCGCACGCCCTACATTCTAGCCATTACTCTGCGGAAATGTTTTTCTTATAACGTACCTAACGTGTCGTTTGTTTTGCCACCGCCCTCAGATTCTGCGCACCGCCACCATGGCCAACAACACCAACTACCGCGAGTTCCACTACATGCTGCGCACCATGGCCCCGGCCGCCTGCCGCGCGCCCGACGACTTCATCGAGGTGGCCAAGGAGACACTGCGCGTGGACCTCGGAGTGCCGCCGCGCAGGGGTGAGTTCCCGCGGGGACCAAGACGGACGGTACACGGTCCTTAGATCCTCCAGCCGGGACGCTTGTCCACCAACTTGACCGGTTGGCGATGGCTGGGGCATGAGTCATTGCCGTGTGATAGCAGTATACCTGAGCGGCAGCCACCGTTGTGCCCCGCCCCGTCCTCGGCCGTCTCTGTGTGCTGACTCAATATTCGGCCGATGGACTTCAGCGGGCAATATATGGGGCCGACACTCGCTGTCGCTCGGACAACGTTACAATCAAGTTCGTCTTTCGACATAGATGCCAAGAATGTCTGTACTGCACTGTCGAGCGTTCCTCAGTTGCTGTTGATGATGGTTTTCTTGCGATCTTTTCCTTGGCCACTCGATGTCTTGTGGCGTTGTGGTACAGGATAACACAAATAGATCGTGAAACTAGGCTACATTAGGTTCACAGATCAGCCCACATGTTGATACTTACTGTATAGTCCATTCTTGGCTTAACTCCCCCACCCCGTCGCCTCGCAGCCGGCGAGGAGGACCAGCGGCTGATCATGAAGGCGGTGCCGGCGCGGGCGGCGGCTGCCGTCGCCCCGCCCTCGGCCTGCGCCCAGGCGGTGGTCGAGGCGCTACTGGACGCCCTGGTGGTGCCCACACCTCGACCGGAGCCGGAGACGGAGCCGGGAGCCGAGGCGGGATCCGAGCCGGCCGCAGGAGCCGCCGGAGCCACCGCTACCGCCGCCGCGGCGACCGCTGGCCCGTCAGATCAGGTGAGAATCCCTAGCCTTTCAACCTAGCCTTTTACGTTCGTTGAGCTTAACGCCAGGACGTGGTAGCTGGCTCTCAATGGTTGCTCGAATTAGATGTGGTTACTGGTAAGTGGTATGCCTGCTTTCCCGTTATCAACGATCTGTGAGTATTCAGTCGCATCTGGTCTTGAAAGCCCGTGACCTATCTTGGCACACTTGTTCATGTCGGAGTTTATACTTGACGCACAGTATATGGTGTTCGAAGCTGACCAATCGAAACAGGATTTCACGGACTCTCCCACCCCGTTACAGAGTACCGACGCCAGCAAGGCGGGCCCCTCGTCTTCTGCGGCCACTGCAGGGAAGGACGGTAAGACAGCCGCTCAGACTCGCGCCGAGGAGGCGGAGAAGCGGCGCCGCCCGCTGCTGGCCAAGTCGTCTGTGTGTCGGCTGCTGGCAGAGCTGGTGCGCTCGTATTCGACCGTAGCAAAGATCGTCACCGAGTACACGTACACGGTCGGGCCTGACTCGGAAGTCACGGAGGTGAGAGTGAGGAAAGGGAAGAGGAGAGGTAGCTCTGGTAGATACAGGGTGGGCGAGGCGCATCACGTTCCGTGGAGATAAAGGATTGAACTTTTTGTCGCAGTCTGATGCTGGGAGATGAACGTAAATGGGAGTGCTTCGAGGAGTTCAATGAAACCACTTCTCTGGATAGGACACCATGATCTTTTATCATTTCTTGTTACGATAATTTCTCATCTTTAGGATCATACGAGTATGCATCGTTGTGTGCCTCAATATACAGAGGTTTATCTGGCAGCTCATAGGATCCGTACTACGTAGACCTTTCAGCCTTTTTCTGTCAGAGTTTCACCATCCCCTTCTCCGACACTAGGACTGCCCGCCGCTGGCCTACATCCTGGACCGACTGGTGGCCTCGGAGCCGGGCGGCGACAAGGAGTGTGCCAGCTGCTGCCGACTTCTGGTGGCCGCCATCGCCGCGTGCAACCACTCGCCGGACGCTCAGACCATGCTCGTGGCCGAGGTAGGTGCCGTGGCAGCTCCGGTGACACGAATGGATGAGACTGAAGGATTGAGGACCAGTTTACAAAGATGTTTGAGTGATTATATGTTGTTTTGGGTTATTGTCCGTTATTGTTTTCATGGGTAGCGAGTATTGGGTGATCTTACGTTAAATTGGTGGCGTATCTGTGAGTGTGAAATGAATGAAGTTAGTGCTTCGGTATGGCGCGCCGTGGTAGACCATTGAGTCCATCTTCTCATCTAGATATTTCAGTGCCACTCCTGCGGTGTTCCCAGAGCGACGCTATCCGTTATCTGACGGTCCGTGTGTGTGCCGTGCAGGTTCGGCAGGCGCTGCTGCGTGCTCTCCAGCTGCCCGAGGGCGCCGAGAAGCACGGCCGGCTGCAGGCGCTGGCCGGCCTGGTGTTCACCATGATGGACAGCTGTCCGAGCTCGGGGCCGCCGTCGGCCGCCGCTGTCCGACAGGGCCTGCCGGCCGCCGTGCGATCCACCAACCTCGGGTGAGGCCGCGTGGCGTGCAGCGTCACAGTGCACATACCCGAATCGTGTACTGGTGCGGACTTTCATTCAGCGGCTGGCATAATCCCTGCAGTCGCCAATCAGCGCCAACTTGTTTGCAATAGTTAAAATCGCTTTTCCCCTTAGTTACCTACGGGCTGCGAGTGTATAAATGCAATCCAAATTATAGTCACCTTTTTGTTGATATTCATAGCATTCATAGGGTGACAGATAAATGAAATGAAAATGAAATAACGTTTAGATATTCGCTTGTTTAATTAAAATAAACGCATCCGCATTTCGCCAATCACCAGAACACATTTCACCCTTCCACACATCTCGTCCTGTGGCTCTGACCCCACTCGCCACGCCCTCCACCAGAATGAACAACATCGCCAAGATCATGGTACGCCGCGGCCTACCGGTGGACCTGGCCCGCATCTCTCACTCGCTCGACCTGTCGTCGCCGCATCTGGCCGCCACTGTGAACGCCGTGCTGAAACCTCTGGAGCTGCTGACGCGAATGGTCAACTCTCCGTCGGGCGCGCCGGCTCAGCGCCGGATCAAGACGACCTCGGCCAGCCACGAGGCCACCCAGCCGACCACCGAACGTGAGTGGCGGGGCGCGGAGGGATCGGGGCAGAGTGGAACGGTTAGGTGGTGTTTGAAGAAGTTTTCGGTCAACGTAAGTTTAGCAAGGGAAGCACTGTCACCTGAACTTCAGCTGTTGAAAGTGAAACATGCAACTGTTAGATAATGGAAAGTCGGATGTATCCATTCTCATGCACCTGGGTTTCGACTTGACGAAGTAATGTTTGCTACTGTAATCGCCGTGCTGAAACACATCACTTCAATTTCAATTTTATTTTTTTATAACTCATAGTTTTAACGCTTTTTTGTCTTCTAACAGTTCTTGGGAGTGTTCTTTAGAAGCATAGATATATGTCCATCTAAGCCCCACCCACCTTGGCTCTCCCGTGGTGAATCGACCATGGAACTGACTCCACTCTCTGTGCTCCCTCAGCCACGTCCAACTCTGAGGCGACGCGCGCACAGGGCGAGTCAATGCTGGAAGACCCGGAGAACACGGAGCACGACATCTCTGTGACAGAGGCGACGTCCGAGACGCACCCGGCCGACGGCGCCGACGCCGACGATCAGGACCAGGACGAGGTCTTAGAGGAGATCATGGACCAGCTGCTCGAGAGGTGCGTCTTATGACGGGAGAGGGGGCAGGGAGGGGCGGTCCTGACACGGGAAGGGGAGGTGAGGGATAAGGAATGGAGATCAGGATCATACTACTGGAAGGGTTGGTTGTTTACTGAGGGAGAGGAGGTCTAGACTTATTATTGACTGGCGTGAAGGTGGGAGAAATTGGCCTGGGCAGATGGATCGTATGGGACATCTAACTGGGACTGACCAGCTCTCAGGTGACCAGCTGCCTTTTTGCCACAGCCACTTTGTGTCCAATGTGATGTAAAATATATACCTGAATGTCCGATGTTCATATTTTGGGGTTCAAGATAGGTGTGTCAGTTTTCTTGCTTTACAATCAGCTCTCATTATTTTGCTCAGCTATCGTTTTGACAAACAGTTTTGGTCCTCCTTTTAACTCCCTGTTCTCGGTTTTCTCTCTGTTGTTTCTCGATGTCCTGCCCAGTCCCGCGGTGGCGCTACAGATCCAGTTTCACGTTCGGCCCGAGGCGCGGCGGCCGACCGCCCAGGCTCGCGCAGGGGCGCACTCATCGTAAGCCCACCTTACTCTTCTGTCCTATCCCGACCTTTCCCCTGCCCTGGCCTGTCCTGAGCCGTCCCCTTCCGTCCACAATTCAGAGGGAGGTCCAAACTGTTAGTTTTACGCACTGAAGTTCATATTGATCAGGTTCATATCACATATGAAGATCAGGGTTCATATTAACGATTGAAGGCTTTGCGCCTGCCTAGGATGCATATTGCATGCAATGAGCCGTTTTGATTGCCATCGAGTCCCGGGGCTGCCACAGACATCGTCTTGAGTTTCACAATGGCAATTAGAAAATCCATAATAAGAGTGGAGAACCCACAACAGGCACACACGCATGTGTCTTTCATTACAGCACTGACTTGAAAAAAAAAATGTTACTGCTTGGTGCAATTTGTGTCGTAATCGCTACTATGTTTGGTGTTTGATACCAATAGAGTTTATCCTGTTGTATTTTGATTGTGTTTTATCCCCAAAGCTGCTATACAGTCATTCTTTGCACATGAGCAGTTTACAAACTCCCTAAACTAATTTGTCGATGGAATCTGTGGTCCTGACTTATTTCCCCATGCATCGTAAACAGTTTGCGCACACTGAATAAAACGCCACCTCTCCATTTCATGTCGCGACCTCCACCACACCCCGTAACCCCCCTCCCTTCCCCCTCCCTCTCCCTTCAGGAACCCTGACGGTCCCGGTGAGACGATCCTGGCCGAGGCGCTGATCCTGGACGGCAGCGGCGGCAGCGGCGGCGGCGGCAGCGCGCGCATGGAGACGGAGGAGGGCGCGCGCACCGCCGAGCCGTCGGCCGCCGGCGGCGAGCAGCGCGACAGCGACGCGGAGGAGGACGCCGACGCCGGCGAGGAGGAGGCCGAGGAGGAGGAGGAGCCCGAACAGGACGAGGACGAGGAGGAGGACGAGGACGAGGACGGTGGGTGGTTACACAAGCGATTAGTTTCGGTACATGTTGAAGGACAGCTTTTTTGTCTCTGATCAGCCCGGTTTTGATTTGTCTTTTCTTTGCTAGTGAATCGCATTACTCTTCTAGGGGCTTTGCGGGCGAAACTGGCTTATTTGAAATTATTTGAAATGGCTGGCTGTGGACCACGGTGCAAGCTCTGATAACCACTTATTTAATTACTTTGATACCTACTGCGTTTAGTGGCGTAGCGTATCACCTGGTTCTCTCGGCTCTTTTAAGGCGTTCCCAGTTAGAACATTTACTCCTCCTTCCTGTGGTGTAAGAAGACGATGGTATAGTTTCCGTATATGTATGAGCATTTCTTCACTGTCTTTTCTCCCGTTCTTCAGATGAGGAGGAGGAAGAGGACGACGAGGAGGGCTCCAACTATGACGAGGACGGAGACGACGCCGATCTCGAGGAGGAAATGATGATGATGATCCAGGGCGGCACCAGTGGTCAGTAGCTGCTAGTTGCTTTGGCGTGAATGTCTATGTGCGTGGCTTTTTTAGGTTTATCGCTGTATTGGTAGCATAGTGTGTTATGAGATCAACTCCGTCCGAGGTTATTTTAATCGGACCTCACATCTCGGTCATAGTGGCCCTATATCTCTGACCTCACCCGGACCATCTGATGGCTTATCCCAGCCGTATGGCCAGTGGAAGCTCGATGCCACTCTCTCGGTGTGACCGTCCCTCCTCGTGTCTTTAGGCCGTATGATGGAGCTGGAGGACCTGTGGATGGTGCACCCGGAGCCGAGTGGCTCTGCCTCTGTGCTGTTCGGCAGCGACCAGCCGGCCGCGGCGCGCTTCATCCCCATGGCTCCCGTCGGAGGGCTGGCCGTGGCCGACGACGCCGCCGCCGCCGCCGACCCGGGTAAGGGATCAGTCAGGGGGACGGGGGATGGGTGGGTGCTCACTGTTCATTCAGTGGGTGCACGCCGGCGGATGAGATACCCGGCCGGGGAAGGCTCGCAGATGCATCGTAGAGTTGTTTATTTGGGAGCCGCCAATGGTCTTATTTGAGTTGAGGACTAACTGATCATGATAGACATGGAGTGTAGTACTGTAGTCATTTCAGCAAGACAGTGGTCTACTCTTAACTCTGACTTTGCCAAATGCGATTCTGTATGGTGATTGATGACGCTGTACCGGTCATGTCTCGCTCCGTCCTCGCCTCGACCTCTCCTAGACTGTCCCCTCGTGGTGTCTCCACTGACCAGCTATCCTCATGTCTCCCCTCTGACTGTCAAAATATGTCTGTCTCCTCTGCGGTGTATCCACTCTCCGACTAACCTTCTGTCTCCTTTGCACTGTCATAAGCTCTCTGACCGTCTCTCCTCTCCCCGGCAGCCCCTGCGGCTCCGTCTGGCTCGGGCCAGGTGCTGCCCGTCCACCCGCTGCTGACGGTACGGAACAGTACAGACGCCGTCCTGCCTCTACAGCGGTCGCGCCGCGCCGGCCACCAGCGCGGCTACCGCTACATTCAGGTCAACACGCGTCAGCAGTCGCCCGCCATCTTACAGCGGTCAGTTGAGAGCGAGTGAATAGGTGGTAGAGTGGGAATGAAAGGATGTAGGGTTGATTATTATCTTTGCTGTAATGTAGTAAAGCTTGATTTGCTCGTGTGCCGAATGTGCTCAGTGCGCCATGCGTCATTTGCTCGGTGCCCAACTCATCGCAAGCACCAATTGGGATCGAGATCGAGCATGTTGATCTAAGATCTTAGTGTCCGATATTCGTGAATTGCTACCCGCGACATGCGAGGAATGTGTAAAAGACGTTGCCTTCGATGCTGATGATCTTCATGGTTTTTGTGTACGTAAATTCGTAATATGTCCCCAAATCATAACCAGTTTTAGCTCTTACTTGTACTAATAAAGCTCCCTTTGACTCCTCTCCAGGCTGCTGGGTCCTAGCGCGCACGACGCGCTGCAGCTGACGATGAACTCTGGCTCTCTGCGCGACCCTCCGTTCCTGCTGAGCGACCCGCAGGACTTTCGCGTCATCACACACCGCTCCGACGAGGACTGGCTCGATCTCACGGTACGTAACAGGACGCTAGTGGGAGACGTGGCGGGCGGGCGGGGGTCTTGAGGGTCCTAGATTGGGGGTTTGATGAAGCCGCCCAAGCTACCTAGTGTGTTACAGCAGACTTACTTAGAAGCAGTCGTCTTTCTTGGCGTCAGTGGTAGGCGCATCTGCGGTATCTTCTTGGCTGTCAACGGGGTGCTCGCATTTGAAGTAATCTGTTTGTGCGGGGGCCGCGTATTAGCGTGAGACTAGTCGGTGACCCCTGCATATTTAGATACTTTCGTCTGACATGTCAAAACAAGTAAAATCCCAATGATCTGTACCACGCCCTTCCCTGTTGCCTGTAACTGACCCGGCACTCGCTCCTCTGGCAGAGTTCGCTGGGTGGCCTGGTGTCGGGCGCGCCGTCCGGCGGCAGTCTGGCCTCCATTCCGTCGGCGCTGGCCCGCTGGACGGAGGAGTCGCGCGTGCTCGACACGGTCGGCATGTACGACTGTGTGACCGCCTGTAAACCGGAGGTGCTCGCCCTACTGGAGACGACTCGCGACCAGGAGCTGGCCGAGCGGCGGAAACAGGACGAGGAGCGACGGAGACAGGAGGAGCTCGCCGAGACCGGTTAGTAGAGGATGTGGAGCTCGCCGAGACGTGAAGGTGGTAGGTGTAGGCCCGGTTGAGATGGGTGGGCACTGGGCATCATCTTTGCCTAGCTTTGGGTGATTGTTGCGTTTTCTAATACTTTGGTTAGAGTTGGTGCACTATACATTCACCTTGCGTGTTCCGTTTTCAGCGTCGGCGCCGGCGTCGAGTGCCGGCGGCCCGGCGGCCTCACAGAGCACCCCGGCCGTCTCCACCGCCGGCGCCGGTCAGCCGACCGCCGCCACGTCCACGGCGTCCGCATCAACAGTGGCGACGGCAGCGACGACGGCGGCGGCGGTTAACGTCGGCGTCCTGGCCTCCACCGCCGCCGCCGCCGCCACCACCACCGCCACTGCCACCGCGCGCACCCCGGCCACCACGGCCTCGTCTAGCGGCGGGCTGCGCGTCTCCGTGCCGGCACACCTCAGCTCCGTGTCGCGCTACGTGGAGTCGATCCTGTCGCCGGCAATGCTGGCGTTCACGTCGTCGGCGTCTCAGGCGCCGCCGGCGTCCGTGCTGGACACGCTGTCACGGCTGCAGAGCACGGTGGGTCAGCTGCCGGCCTCGTCGTCACCGGAGGTCATCATGGACACGCTGCTCTCCGAGTTTGGCGCCACCGGTATCCGGACGGGGGCGGGGGCGGCCGCCAGTCTGCCGCCGCCGCCGCCCGACCCGGCCGCCGCCGCGCAGCCGGCCCCCGCCGCGCCTGCCGCCGCCGCAGCGCCCGCCAGCAGTGCCCCGGCCGACGCCGGCGCGCCGGCCGCCATGGACACACAGGGGAGCGAGGCGGCGCGGCCGGAGGTGCCGGAGCCGCCGGCCGACGGCGCCGAACCTGCTGCCCCGGCCGCGCCGGCCGCCGGCGAGCCGCCGTGTCCGGCCGTCTCCTCCGAGACCGAGCAGTCGGCGGCGGCCGGCGGTACAGAGACCGAGCCGCCTGCGGCCGGCGGAGAGACAGCCGCCCCGGCCGCCGACTTCTCCTCTATCCTGGGCGACATGGAGATACCCGAGGGCGTGGACCCGTCGTTCCTGGCGGCGCTGCCGGACGACATGCGTCAGGAGGTGGTGGCCGAACAGCTGCGACTGCAGAGGATCCGCCAGCGGTTCCGGCAGGCGCAGACCTCGCAGCAGCAGCCTACCATGGAGGTGAGTGAAGCGGGCCGTCGGCGACCGTGAAACATCAAAACGGCATTGGCTCAATGGCAGAAAAATGAATGGTGCTACGCTTCTTTAGACTTCTAACTATTGAGTCATGGGCCATCACGCTTACTTAGTAGCGTCCACCTTGAAGTCATTTTCGCCTCACTACTTACACTGCGAGCAACTGTCTTTGCACAACAAAGCATGTCTCCGTTTCCCTCCTGTTGTATGACGCTCCTCCCTCTGTCCGCTCTTCCCTGCCAGGTGAGCCCCGAGTTTCTGGAGGCGCTGCCGCCGGCCATTCAGGAGGAGGTGCTGGCCCAGCAGCGGATGGAGCAGCAGCGAGCGGCGGCTGCCAGCGCACTGCCTGAGGACCCGGTGGACCCGGGAGACTTTCTTCAGACGCTGCCGCCGCCACTGCGACAGACGGTGAGACACGGCGCGGCAGGGACGGGGTAGGGGTGATTGAAAGGCTTTACTGCAGGACGGTAAAGCCACAAAATTTGAATGGTAGCCGTAGCTTTTAGCACCAGTACATATCGACACCTTTTTTTTAAACCCCACATCTGTTCTCCGGTGAATTTCCGGGAAGCACGAAAGACCTCTTTTTAGAAGTGTCCAATCGTCCGATCCTGATCAAATTTGTGTGTTCGTAAGCTTGCTCTGGCATTACTTGATCTGCCAAGACGGACAAACTTGAGAAAAATCGAGTGACTGTACCTTTTTTGAAGGTTTCTAAACAACTTGTTTGAACTTCACGGGAGAACAAATGTGGGGTTTAAAAAAAGTGTCGATATATGAGTCCGGCAGCCGGGTGCTTGGGGTGAACTATTCGATAAATTGCGCGACTCAACTAACGTTGTTGACACATTTTTACCTTTCATCTTCACTCTCGCTCATGTACCATATTGACTGATTTGCTTCTTGTGAGACTGCCGACTTACGCGTTCGCTGTGTGTTCAGATTCTGGCGGACTTGGAGGACAGCCAGCTCGGAGTACTGCCGCCCAGTATGGCTGAGGAAGCGCAGACGCTGCGCCGAGAGTGGGAGGCGCGCAACCGGCAGCACCCGTACGAGCCCATCGACTACTCTGTTCGCTGTGAGTACCTCCCGACCCTCCCTCCCTCCGTCCGTCCCTCCCTCCAACTGGCAGGACCCCGTACCAGCCCATCGACTACTCTGTTCGCTGTAAGTACCTCCCGACGGCCCTCAGCTCTCACCCTGAAGGCGTTCTGCCTGTAGTGTATTGTGCTGTTGTCTCAGCTCCTTTGTTTGATTACTGCCGACCAGCGCCCCATCTTCCCGCCCCGTTTTAACCGTGTTTTCTATGACCCCACAGCGCGGCTGAACCAGCGTTATGCCTACCACCTTTCGTCCTGTTCCTCCACCCCCACACCCACCCCCACCCCCCACCCTACACACACTGACACTCTGCCTCTGATTTCCCACAGCGCGGCTGAACCAGCGGTATGCCTTCCACCTGTCGTCCAGTATGCCGCTGTGAGCTGCCCCCCCCTCCCCCCCCCCCACACACACTGACACTCTCGTTTCCCACAGCGCGGCTGAACCAGCGGTATGCGTTCCACCTGTCGTCCAGTATGCCGCTGCCGGGCATGCGGCCCTCCGGCTGGCGCACGCTCGCCTCGGGCGGCGGCGCCGGCTCGCGCGCCGATTCGTCGGCTCACCTCATTCGGTCAGTGCTCACTGCCCACCTGCTTTTACTGCGGAGGCTTTGAACTTCCTCTAGTCGTTTAAGTTATTGAGTTCAAGACCGACAGAGGGCAAGCGTCATGACAGATGGCTTGTGTACATCTTAATTGTTTTGCAAACATATTTTACATTTTCTTTTGATTCGAGTGATCGGTTTTCTTTACGGACGCGGTGTTAGTGACATGATGCCTAATATCATGACTCCCCGCTTTGTTATCTAATCGCCATGTCTCTATTTTTCAGCCTTCGCGGCCGCCAGTTGTTGGACCAGGAGTCCATTACCTGCCTTCTAGTGTTACTGTTCCTCGATGAGCCCAAGCTGCAGACGTCCCGACTGCACCGGGTGCTGCGCAACCTCTCCTACCACTGTCACACGCGCGAGTGGGTGGTCAAGGCGCTGCTCTCCATGCTTGACCGCAGCGACGCCAGCCAGTCGGCGCCGGCGGCGGCGCTGCCGGCCGCGGCCCCGGCCACCCCTCCGGCGGCCGGCCGGCAGGCCAAGCGGCGCCAGCTGACCTCCACACCAGAGGTGGTGGACGTGGTGGGCGTGACGCCGCAGCGCGAGCCGGCCGCCACCGGCGCCGCGGCGCCCAGCTGGCTCAACATCAGCATGGACGCGGCGCTGGGCTGCCGCGCCAACGTCTTCCAGCTGCACCGCAGCGGCCCGGCCACGCCCGTCGGCGGCGCCGTCAAACGGCTGGAGCGCGCCACACACATGACCGTGCACCCGCAGGCGGCGTCCGTGGTCTGCCGGCACGCCCTCGACGCGCTCATCTCTCTGGCCAAGAGTTTCCCGAGCAACTTCCTGCCGGCGGCGCGTCCCGAGCGGCCCGAGCGGCGGCCGGCCGGCTGGCGGCACGCCGATCTCTGGGAGCTGCTGCTGAAACTGGACGCCCAGGCCGGCCGCGCCTCCAAGGGCAAGAGCCTGGCGCGAACGCACAGCGGCCAGGCAGCCGACGGTGACGACGCGTCCCCGCCGGCCGGGCTGGCCGCCTCCGCGTTCGGCCACCTGCTGGGCATGCTGGACCACCCTGTGATAAAGAAGTCGTCCCAGCTAACAGACCTGCTGCTGCGGCTGCTAAGCTTCATGTCGGCGGGCGTGCGTGACCTGGCCGACCGGCCCGAACAGCTGGGCGACCTGTCCCAGATGGAGCCGCTGCTGGGCCGCGCCGTGCGCGTGCTCACCAGCAAATCGTGCTCTGAGGAGGGCATGGACGACGCCACCAAGCTGCTGGTGCACATCTCCAGCGGGCCGCCCCAGATCAGCAACATGGTGAGTGGTGTGTCGCTCGGCCTCGCTCTTTGCCGAATGGGAGTCATGTGGGCTTCGGCGCTTGACCCCCATGACTTGTTTTTGTAATGCCTGTCTTGTTTTGTGTTTATTCCTTACTGAGTTCATGGCTGGCTAAAACGCTTCAGTAAGATTGTGTTATTCGCTTGATCACAAAGTTCCAACGAGATATAACTGATTGCTGTAAATTTCAGTCGTTACAGTCGTTACCACCGGCTATGTTTGTAAGAATTGGTAGGTATGTGCCGATAAGTAATGACCAACCAACGTAGTTTGGTGGCTGACCAATCACCAAAGGTAGTCCGCGCGCCCTTCAGACCCACTTATATTTGTGGTCGACCCCACACTAGACTCACACTTACTAACATCCGTCTCTCTTCGCCCACCAGGTGATGGATCTCCTCCTGGAGGGCGCCCGCACGCTGGGCCGTACCGTTTGTGAGCACATCGAGCGGCTACGGGGCGAGCTGGACACGACGTGTCCGTGGCTCGAGGCAATCGCCGAGGAGCCCACGGACCTGGAGCTGGCTGCGGCCACTTCCGAGCCGCGGACGGCGGAGAGGATGGACCACGGCGTCATACAGAATCGGTCAGTGATGCGGGGCAGCGTTCGAGTATGTTGGGGGGGGGATGTCGATATTTGACCGAGTTCTGGCGAGAGTTTAGGTGGGAGTAGATGCTGGAATCTGATGACTGATGAGTACTATAAAGTGAGCGCTGTCATGAACGGAGATTCATGAACGTGCACCGAGAGCCGATTGTGACGGTTCCGTTTCACCGGCAGCTACACCAGCGAAAACATCGTCATCAACCCATCGAAGCGACTCAAGTCTTCGGCTGTGGAGCTGCGCCTGCCTTCCATGAACGCGCTCACCAGCAAGGGCTCATCGCAGCAGTTCTTCTTGCGCATCCTCAAAGTGATCATCCAGCTGCGCAACTCAGCCGCCGCCAAGGCCGGGAAGCCGGTGACGGCGGCTGGCGGCGCGCCGAGGGCGGCCGCTGCCGAGTCGACTGAGGCGGTAGCCGGCACGGCCAGTCAGAGTCACAGTGACGTGGCCGTGGCCAGTGAGGGGGCGGCCGAGTCGGAGCCGGCAGCCGACGGCGGCTCCGAGAGCACCGTCAGCGAGGCCAGTCCCAACGCCATGGAGGTCGACACCGGTGAGTAAAGAGCGGGGCTGGTGGGGAGGGAAGGGGGACGTGGGGACTGGCTGAATGGCGTGATAATGAAGCGGGAATGGTATAATTTCAGCTGATTTGAGTAGCTCATACGGATTTAAGGATAGATCGGTACTTGGTAGATATGGATCTGTGGCCGGTTCTCCTTGTTATCAGAGTCAGATCTTTCAATTACAATTATGGTGAACAATTATGGCTAATTATGGCTAATTATAACAATTAATTACAATTATATTGAACAATTATGGCTTGGGACTAGTAATGCTGCCATCATCATCTAAATTGCATCTTTGTTACAATTTAGAGTGGCGTTTGTATTATTCCACGTTGTTAATGGCTTATGTTCTCTCCAGGTGCGACGGCTGGCGCCGCCGCTGCGTCCACGGCCGCTGAGGACGACGGAGATCCGGAGCCGGAAGCGGAGCCGGAGCCGGAGCCGCTGCCGGCGCTGAGCCGGCTGCTGGAGCTGCCGCAGCTCTGGGAGACGCTGAGCCAGTGTCTGCGTGCCCTGGAGCACACGCCCGACCAGCATGCCGTGCTGATCCTGCAGCCGGCCGTCGAGGCGTTCTTCCTGGTGCACGCCGCCGCCGAGGAGCACACCAAGCGGCAGCCGCAGACGCGCCAGGAGCAGCTGGCGCACATCGCCGACTCGCAGCCGCTGTCGCCGCTGCCGTCCAGCTCCTCGGAGCTGCAGGCCAGCGCCAAACGAGACGAGGACGACGACACGCGCAAGTTTGTCCAGTTTGCCGAGCAGCACCGCACCGTGCTGAACCAGATCCTGCGCCAGAGCGGCACCCACCTCTCGGACGGACCCTTCTCCGTACTGGTCAACCACACGCGCGTGCTCGACTTCGACATCAAACGGCGCTTCTTCCGCACGGAGCTGGAGCGACTGGACGAGGGCCTGCGCCGCGAGGACCTGGCCGTGCACGTGCGGCGCGCGCACGTGTTCGAGGACTCGTACCGCGAACTGCACCGACGCACTCCCGAGGAGTGGAAGAACCGGTTCTACATCGTGTTCGAGGGCGAGGAGGGCCAGGATGCCGGCGGCCTGCTGCGCGAGTGGTACATCATCATCTCGAGGGACATCTTCAACCCGATGTACGCGTTGTTCTGCACGTCTCCCGGTGACAGGGTGACCTACATGATCCATCACATGTCGCACTGCAACTCGAACCACCTCAGCTACTTCAAGTTCGTCGGCCGGGTGATCGCCAAGGCCATCTACGACAACAAGCTGCTCGACTGCTACTTCACCAGGTCGTTCTACAAGCACATCCTGGGCATCTCGGTCAAGTACACCGACATGGAGGCCGAGGATTACGAGTTCTACAAAGGTGAGTTTGACGCTAATGGCATCCGGTTCTTAACGCACCTCTAACTCAACTTATGCAAAGGGTTGATAGAAAGGAAGGATAAATCCAGTCGATAGCATTAGTTGCAGGTAGCATTAGTTGCATGCTGATAGTTTTCGGGATCTCGAGTCTTTCATAGAATAGATGTAACAGTGCGTAATTTTCAATAGCTATCGCAGTTAATGCCGGGTTTTCGTTGTTCAATATTCCAGCTTTACGGCAGGAATATTGAATTCGTGAAGGATATTTGTGAGTCTCATTGTACTTTGTCCATCCAGCACCGTTTCCTGTTCTGACGTACCACCATCTCGTTCGCAGGTCTGGTGTACCTGATCGAGAACGACATCTCCGAGCTGGGCTACGACCTGACGTTCAGCACCGACGTCCAGGAGTTTGGCGTCAACGAGGTGCGCGACCTGAAGCCGCGCGGCCGCCACATCAAGGTGACTGAGGAGAATAAGATGGAGTACGTGCGGCTGGTGTGCCAGATGAAGATGACTGGCGCCATCCAGAAGCAGCTCAAGGCGTTCCTGGAGGGCTTCTACGACATCATCCCCAAGCACCTGATCTCGGTGTTCAACGAACAGGAGCTGGAGCTGCTGGTGTCGGGCCTGCCGACCATCGACCTGGACGACCTCAAGGCCAACACCGAGTACCACAAGTACCAGCCCAACTCACTGCAGGTCCGTGACGGGAGGCCAGGACAGCTTGGCTCTGTTCTCACCAATGTGTATCGCTATCAGACCTCTGTCATGTGCCGCTGGGCGTATTGTAAATTTGAAGATGAAATTTTCGTTTTATTATGCGTGCATGATGTGGATGATCGTTTTGTTGTGCACAGGGTTGTGTCTTGTGTCCCCAGATGAGCAATGCGGAAAAAGTAGCACACTGATAATGCCAGTAAGCAAAGCATGGTTTTGGGCTCGAGACTGGTTCCGCTTTACCGAACGAAGAGACGATCATAATATGTGTGACCCTCTGACCCGCTGACATGCTGCTCTCCCACAGATCCAGTGGTTCTGGCTGGCGCTGCGCTCCTTCTCAAACGAGGACCGCGCCAAGTTCATCCAGTTTGTGACGGGCACATCGCGCGTGCCGCTGCAGGGCTTCGCCGAGCTTCAGGGCATGAACGGCGCGCAAAAGTTCCAGATTCACCGGGACGACCGGTCTACCGACCGACTGCCGTCCGCGCATACATGGTGAGGCGGCGATCGGGCCGGGCTGGGGAAGCTGGATTCAATGGACCAGCATTCGGATAGTACAGTATACAGGATTCACAGCTGTATGTGGCAAAACTCATGGCTTGATTCGGATAGTACAGTATACAGGATTCACAGCTGTATGTGGCAAAACTCATGGCTTGGATGCTCACTGATGTTAGCCGCTCACTGCCTGTTTTCTGCTGTTTCAGCTTCAACCAGCTGGACCTGCCAGCGTTCGAAACGTATGACAAGCTGCGCGAAAACCTTCTGAAGGCCGTCCAGGAGTGCTCGGAGGGATTCGGCTTCGCCTGAGCCGGCGCCGTCGACACCCGTCCAGCCGAGCGGGGCGGGACACCGCGGGCGGCCGGCCGACCCGCGGCCGAATCCAGTGGTATTTTTGTTGGGCTGCCGGGCGCCGAGCGCAGTGTGCGCCAGTGCAGGGGGCTGCGGAGCGCGCCGGTGGCTGACTGGCCGGAGGGGGCCGGACCGGGCCGCTGGGCCGTCCCAGTCTCTCAGTGAACTGCGCCCGGGCCAGCGCAGCGGCGCCGCCGTCGGCCGACGACCGTCTCCGCCTCTTTGTGTGAGGCGAGGGGCTTTCAGTGTAAACGTCGAATGGACCGTAGAACGAGGTATGTACCATCACTTGTGCGCCGCGCGACTGTATCAAATTGTGGTTATATTAATAAAGTTCCCATTGATTTAGACCGTGCGTTTGAGGTGATGCTCGAGGTGATGCTCAAGTTGAGTCGGTCCTTGGTGGCGCCTGCTTCGAGCGTGGACCGTCAGATGAATGTTGTATTGAAGCACTGTTACAGCTCACAAGTCATGGTACACAATATGATAAACAGAAGCGACCTCGGAAACAGAAGCACGCCGATAGCGGTTCACCCCCGACCGGCCGACACGAAAGACCCGCGTGCTGGGTCGGCCATGACCCACTGACACGCGTCACTCGACTGGACGAAATAAACAATCGACTCTGATCGCGTCGCAGCGGTATGACGGTTATATAAGACACAGAGCGCAGCGAACTGTAACACCACTCATACAAAACCCAGGGCACCTCGTTTTCGGTGGGGTCATATGAAAAGTCTGAAGATACGTCTCTGCATTAATTTCAGATCAGTCCATTGCACATCGTCCCGTAGTTCATTCAGAACTAACACCACAAAAAATATCCGCCGCGCACATATCCCTCGATCGTACCCTCATACCTTCAAGCATATTTTGAAACAGTCTGTAAGTCAAAGACTTTGCCCGTCGCACGTCTCATTGGCCATTTCAACATCAATATCAGACATCAGTATCAGAAAATCATATCGACGGTGCCAGACAGCAAGTTCAAAGTGCTCATCACTTCGCCGTCTTCCTTCGTCTCCCCACCATCTTCCCATCCCTTCCATCTTCCTGTCTCTCCCTCCGTCTCCTCTCCACCCTCAGCCGGCGGCACGGGCCGGCTCATCTCCCTCAAACGGCGAGTCGTACGCCTCCATGGGCGGGCACGTGCAGACCAGGTTACGGTCGCCGTAGATGTCATCAATGCGGGCCACTGTGGGCCACATCTTGTTGCCGGGCTGGACGAAAGGCGCTGGGAAGGCGGCCTGGCGGCGCGGGTAGGGTCGCGACCACTGGTCGTTGAGCACGGCCGCTTGGGTGTGTGGAGAGTGTTTGAGGGCGCTCTCGGCCGCCGGGATCCGGCCCTGCTCGATGTCGCGCAGCTCCTCACGGATGTCTGTCGGGGGGAGAGAGAGGAGTTTGTTAGGTACGTCACACATTGACATATGTTTGCCAGAAGGAGATGCTGGCAAACACCACAGCGATCAAGACGACCCAGGGAAGACAAGAAGCATTATCGATGGCACAATACGAGCAGAGAATTCTGCTCGTAGAATTCTTTCCATTCTACAAAAAGACGTCGCAAAGTAATGTCATTCGGGCTATCTAAAACGCAACGGCTACCTAAGTATTGAAATTACCGGCCCCAAGGGTGCAGAGCCACAGCTGGAGCCGGAGCCGGCATATTTTGCCCGGAACCGGAGCCGTGAAACAATATAGCCCGGAGCCGGAGCCGGACCCTGAGCCGTCAAAAAAGGGGGCGACACCGGCTCCTTTTTTGAAGAGGAAAAATTATTGACCTAGTTCCGTTTGACAGTTCAAGGCAGTAAAACATTGCGGTATTCAAAATATGAAAATAGCCTCGTTATGCAAATACAGAAGCAACGTGCGCCAATCACATCGTCTTTTTTCTTCCACCCGTATTTAATTGCATAGGGGATGTGCTGAGTATTGGAGCCGGAGCCGAAGCCGGAGCCGCCGGAGCCGGACCATTTTACTCGGAGCCGGAACCGGAGCCGGAGCCGCCAAGGCAGTTCACCCGGAGCCGGAGCCGGAGCCGGAGCCGATTTTTTTTCCGGAGCCGTCTGAAAATTCCACGGCTCCGCATCCCTGACCGGCCCTATGTCATATGTCATATGTCATATGGTTGACATGTCTCATAACTGTTGATGCTTTGCTATGGAATATTTTACCAGATAGATCACGGTGTACCAGACATGGGCTGCGCAGTTCAGAGCCGAAATCAAGCGAATCGCCAGTTATTTATAAACTAACCGAACTCCGAGAACTACTCTCAGTTCACTACGACCCTTGGCGCCCGACTGGGCGATGCGCTCGCGGCGATGAGGCCAAGTCTATTTATAAATGCATTGCATTTCACCGTTATAGGCAATATGCTTTGTAAATACACCTATCGCTCAATTCCATCTTCTCGACCCGCATTTGAAACATAAAATAGATTTCATTTTTAACCCGCGACCGCCTGGGGGGGGGTCGGATCCGACCCCCCCCCCTCCGTTTTTCCTGAATAACTCATGAACCGCTTACGCTATCTACTTGAAACTTGGCATACCTTCTCCCCCATCAATTTGACGTCCTCTGTGCAATTTTTAAGAAAAAATTCAATTTATTTTAAGATATATCGATTTTAGTGATGTAATTACCCAGTAAACATGCCGACGTCGGCCCGACGTCGGGCCGAGGCTCGGCCCGACGTCGGCCCAGCGTCGGATCAACCTCGGCCCGACATCGGCTGGACGTCGGATATGCCCGCATGTTCCGACGTCCAGCCGAAGTCCAGCCGACGTCGAACCGACGTCGGGCCGAGATCGTTTGCCGAGGTTGACGAGATCGTTTGTCGTTGGACCGACGGGGCCGACGTCGGCATGTTTATTGGGACAACGCGCCAAAAATATCAACCGGCGGCGGGATTCGAGCCCCCCAGTCGCCGACGTCGGCATGTTTACTGGGACAACACGCCAAAAGCATCATCCGGCGATGGGATTCGAACCCCGTGTCATTCGAATGCGAGGTTAGTGCGCTAACCACTACACCACGCAGCCAGCTAACGAATTTGGTTTGTTTTGTTGGCTTATGTCCTTTCGGTCTGACAAGACCATTTCAGAGCCGGAAGGATCATAGGATGGAGACATTGGTCTTCTTGGCGAGCACCCTGGGTCCAGTTCATATAGTCCCTGGTCGCATTGCTGTTACGTGACACTTATTGGAAAGGGCGACCCCACAATGGATTCATATAGCCACTCTTACACACCTGCACCAACGTTTCCCAAAGTGTCCCTTTGGTAAGTGGCACTTTGGCAAAGTGACACTTGCCGACTGGCCTTTCTATATGAACTGGGCCCGGCCCTGGTGAGTTGCCGGGGCTGAGCCTGACCAAAGGATAGGCCGAGCAGCCCCCAAGCACTCACCGCACCCGGCTACGGGCGAGCTCGGCTTACGGGCTCGCCCGACTGGCAAATGGGATAAAGTTTCCCGTCCAGTCCGGATCAGGGGGTTGCGGCGTGGAGGAAGATTTGAGTTTCCTGAGGATATTTTGAATACAGAAGCTCTTTATGAAACATGAAACATGTATTTTATATTATTTTAACGGTCAAAACAGCGGCCGATGTCGGTCCGACGTCGCCCCGACGTCGGCCCGACGTCGGCTGGACCTCAGCAATTGATCTCGGTCCGACGTCGGCCCGACGTCGGCTGGACCTCGGCTGGACGTCGGAACATGCGGGCATATCCGACATCCAGCCGACGTCGTGCCGAGGTTGGACCGACGTCGGGCCGACGTCGGCATGCTGATGCCGAGTTGCCGACGTCACCCCGACGTCGGGCCGACGTCGGCATGTTTACTGGGTACATGGCGTTTTCAGTCAAAAAATGGTAAATGTTTATAAAATCGCCAAAAATCGAGATTTCAAGCAAATTGCAAATTAAGGACATGAATAGACGCATCTCAACGAGTTCTTTAAAATGGCTGTCTCGGATTTTCCATAAAATGCGTTTTTACCCCTAAAAATTCAAAAAACTATATTTTTTTGGAAAACAGCTAATACAATCCAAAATTTTGGGAATTTCCAAAAAAAAAAACAGGAATATATGTTATAGACCTCTATTAGAACATTAGATGTCCCAAATTTCAACTTTCTATCTTGATTTTGGACCCCCAAATTGTAAAAAATAGCTCCAACATGCATAGGGCATGGTGACGTCATAAGCATTTTCGTGACTTAGAGGCACTTCTGAACATCGCATGTGAAAACAAATGGCACCACTAGATTCCTGGGACAAAGCTCGTCTAGAAAAGTGCATTTTTATGTCAAAAATAAAAAGTTCAAAAATTGACTTTTTCTTGGCCTCGTTTAGTTATGTATGGTATAAACGATTTTTTATGCTTTCAATGCACACTTATCACCAGCACAGTGACTTGGGGTCACGTATAACCACTACCATCGGATTCGGCGTGAAAAATAAGCCATAAAACATGTGTCGCACCGCGCACGCCCATGTAGCAGAAAGTGAAAACCGTGACCTTTCGTGACCTGACCTGACCTTGACCCGTACTTAGTATGACCCCTATACGCACATGGTACCTTCACTAGGCCTTTGGGGTCATTTTTGGTGAGTTTCGAGCAGCAGCTATTGATTCCGCTGTCCGTAAGCCTAAACCATGCAAAACCCCTGAATTTGACCTTTGACCTGACCTTGACCCGAAAGTTGACCTCAATCCCAAAATCTTAAGAGTGCTTTGGGAAGGTCTCGTAGAGACCTTTCGAACGACCATTGGTTCTCGAGATAACAGGGGGGGTCGGATCCAACCCCCCCCCCCCCCCCCAGGCTGCCGTGGGTACGGAAATAGCCCAGGCGGTGCCGGGTTAATATCATAAAGAGAAACTCAATGGTCCGGTAGCCCGCAGTAAAGTAAAAACAATTTTGCGGTAGCCCGGCAGCTGCTGTTCGTACACTATCCCGTCCCTAGATGGCAGCACGGACGGACGCCTGAAGGTATGCTGTACCGCACGGCAGCGTGAGCGCCTGGAGGTATGCTGTGTCGCAAGGCACCGAGCTCGCGCGATCGCCGAAAGAACGCGTTTATCGGCTTAGCTCTGGTGATATTTCAGCCCCCGTCGAAACGACTCATAACTTGAACGAAGCAGTTATCTCATCGTGTAAGTACGTCTATTTTAATTACTTATGCTATTGACGCAGCATGTGAGCGAAGTGACGTCACTGTCACGAGCGACCACCGCCGGCCCGGGCGGTGGGTGTGTCCTGACCGGCTGAATGTTGCTCTTGGAAATGGCCGTCGTTATGGTTTGGTCACGGTTTGGTGCAGCAGCCGACGACGAGCCACACCCCCGGGCAAACAGCTGGCGCTGGCAGCCTGCCAACCACCGGCGGAAAAATCGCGAGAAACTGGCCGCGACAGTGATGAAACTTAAGAGGTCTGGTGCACGAACTGACAAATTTACACACGAGAATCCCATGAGAGATATATGAAACATACGAATTTAATGGAAGGATAAACTTTGCGAATACCTGTGCGATACGTGACAAACGTTAGACTATCCGAAACTGTTGCGTCGTGGGGAAGTAATAGTATCACTTCTGGTCCTACCCGAGCTTGTTTATCTCGACTCGCCCCTGCGCAGGGATCGTTCTGTCGCGTCGCAAACACCAATGGCTCGTCGCCAGCCCACCTCATCACCGATCTACGTAGTACTCTGCCTTCTACGCTTTGGACGAGCAGTGCCAGTAATGTGTCAAACCACGCTTCCTATCGCAGTGCATGCCTTAGCACTTATTTACCGACTCAGTGTGTATAAACACAAACGTTTTTTATGACATTCGCCCGTTTGCGGTTACTTATTCACGTACGTCAATCGATCGACATATGGGTCACGCAATTAGGGAATCGGATGGCGGCCTGGCCGTACCGACCTTAGTTTCCGAATAACATTGTTTTTGCCGAGGTCGCCTTGGCAACAACAACGATCACCGATGAACGCTCACACAAAGGTGCCCTGTATTCGGTTGGTGCCAGCGGGGCTGTTTTGAGGTCGGGGCAGAGGGCAGGGGGCGGGAGAGAGTGACTCACATAGGAGGGCGTCGCAGAATCTGTCCAGCTCGTCCTTGTCCTCGGACTCTGTGGGCTCGATCATCAGGGAGCCGGTCACGGGCCACGACATGGTCGGCGCGTGGAACCCTGCAACGGAACATTCATGAGCGGTGACGGCGTGACGGTGTACGCTGTGACGGCTTTGTGGAGCTCAGGAGGACAAACGTGGCGCGCGGATGAAGGTCTTCTATTATTTACACGAAAAATATCGTTGTAAATTACGTAAAATGTATCGCCGTTAACCATCAAGAAAAGACTGATAAAAAGTAAAACATCTAAGCGCGCACCAGTCAATGCGCACCAATAATTGTTCAGCAACGATTCATCGTTGATTAATCTCTCGTCATTTGATTTACTGACCGTAGTCCTGTAGGCGCTTGGCGATGTCCACCACCTCGATGCCGGCCGACTTTTTGAACTCGCGGCAGTCGACGATGAACTCGTGGGCCACCATGCCGGTCGGCCCCGTGAACAAGATCTTGTAGTCGTTCTCCAGCCGCTTCTTCATGTAGTTTGCGTTCAGAATGGCGACCTGGGTGGCCTTCCGCAGACCCATGTAGCCCATCATCTGGAGGGCAGTGCGTCCGTCATTTTTCCGCTCTAGTGCGTCCAAGTTGGGCTGTGGTCAGTTCGGTGCGTTGACTTCTAGTAAATCAAGAACAACATTTATCTCTTAGCTAAGGAAGGCCGATATATCAAACATAGAACCGTTCATCTATTTTCGTTTGGTAATGTATAACTCAAGCGGGAGGGTGGATATCTTTTCTGCCTCTTGTTTTATCAATGCTGTTATGGACTGTAACCATTTATGTACAGTCATTCAAGTAAAACTGTTTCCGGTACTAATGGCCAAACCACATCTGTCAGTATTTCCTGGACAGGTTGCCGTCACCCTTACCTTGATATAGGCCCAGGAGATGGGTAGGATGAGGGCAGAGCCGTACGGCGCCGCCGACACCACGCCGAAACTCTGGGCGTACTTGACCCCGGCCATGGGGTCAACGACCGGGTGCGAGGGCAGGAACGGTGCCAGGTGCTCCTTCCTGGCAACACGGGGAGTATATTCAGACACGGCGACCTTGACTTGGCCCGACAACACCCCCCGACGAGCTGTAAATAACCTGGTAAACAGGAAAAGCTTGAACTGGAATGGCCCGGACGCGTATTCGCCAATTGTATTACACGAATCGGCCCATCAACTAGCGACATCTCTAGTGCGACGTCATAGCCATCCGCCGCGACAATGCATGCATTGAGGCTAGATTTGAGTTGGGACTTTTTTTGCAATTGTATATGGCTGTCAAACATGCGTGTGCCGCCGTAGCCGAGTGGTTAGAGTCTCGGTGTGATGGACGAAAGGTCGGTGGATCGAATCTTGCTTTAGCGGTTCTTTTCTCTTAAAAAGAAGTCGGTCGTAGGCGCGCATTTTTTGCCCCTACGTTCGCACACCAATATCGTACGCCCAAAAATCTCTGACAAGTATTCATCTGATTAAGAAATAAGTTGCAAAAGAACTGCAGTTGCAGTCTATACCTGAACTACCAATTTTGTTACGGCACTGTCGATATTCATCAAAGTAGGAAGAGCTATTATGAAAGTAACACACTCGAATGACAACGGATTCCTGATTTCATCGATCAGATAAGGCATGTATAGAGATAAATTGATGACAGCCCGCCGTGAGCATGCAACTTAACAACCAGTCCCAAGTTATCTTCATAAACGTCTAATATAAATCTTTTTGACTTTAACTAGATTCCAAGTAAGGGGACTTAGGTATCCCCCTGGCGGCTGAAATGTAAAAGTTATAGTTAGGGCATAGCTCCTATAGATGACGCTCTAACGGCTGGAAACTGATAATCTCTTCCCGTGATTACGCTAACAGCTATGCCGAACTTTTTTGTGCATGGTGATTCTTACACGAAAAGCTATCTAATAGCCTGCTTACCAGCGTGCGATTTTTACTTTCCATCTTAGTTTTCGCTACTTTTTTAGGTACTTTACCTTGCCAAGTGCCCACCTACTTTCAAAATGTCAGCGCCGCCCCTGTCAATGCTGCGTGCTAACACCCATTTGGCAGTGAGAAATATTGATCAATGAATGGCCATCGCCCAGCACCATTTGTCTTTCCATTGGCTACGTTCGCATAGTATGCACTATGCATTAGTGATGTCAATCACAGAAAATCAGAACACCGCTACCAAACCAAATACAAACAAAGACCATTGGAAAATACCGAAACCGAACCAATCGGTTGGACTGCAAATATCTATCTTATGCAACATATTCATTAGAAGAATGACTACGGCTGATTTCTTAGGTGCACGCCGTTGCAAATGTATAAAAAAAAACGCACAATGACAGATGACACGAAAATCGAAGTCGCCGAGTGGATTCGAACCACCTACCTCTGAATCTCAAGTCCGATACCCTAACCACTTCACCACGGCGACAACATGGTCCAGGTAGCTTAAATGTCATTAAGTTAGCTTCAATAGACGCCACCAAGGGTGAGGACCGAAAGTATGACGCCACGCTGACGTCACTCAGGAGGCACGCTATTGGTCGGCCGATTCGTGTAATACAATTGGCGAATACGCGGCCCGGACGGCTATCGATCGGCTGGGCTGGCTGCTGCACACTTGTTGCTGCCACAAGATCAGATGGTTCTATTATGCATATTGTGTCAATGTTGGACTAGTCCTAGTGCATAACTTATATTTCACCAAAATAAATATTAAATATCAGACTTCATCTTCGAATGATCATAACATGCGAGTATACGATGACAATGTACACTTTTAGACATCGGTCCCCATCATGAGTGGACCCATACCTCTAAGCTCACACAGTAATTGATCCCATACTTGACGCACTCCCACCCCGATGGGCCCCATGTCAGGCTCATCCCACTCACATTCCGATGGGTCCAATACCAGACCAAAATCAAATGCCCCCACTCACACTCCGATGGTTCCAATACCAGACCCATGAATGCCCCCACTCACATTCCAATGGGTCCCATTCCAGACCAAATGCCCCCACTCACACTCCGATGGACCCCATACCAGACCCAATGGCCAATGCCCCCACTCACACTCCGATGGGCCCATGCCGGGCTCAATAATTCCACTCACACTCCAATGGGTCCCATGCCGGGCCCGCCGCCGCCGTGGGGAATGCAGAACGTCTTGTGCAGGTTCAGATGGGAGACATCCGATCCGTAGTCGCCGGGCCGGCACAGGCCCACCTGGGCGTTCATGTTGGCACCGTCCAGGTACACCTGGCCGCCGTGCGCGTGTACGTCGGCGCACACCTCAGCGATCGACTCCTCGAATACGCCGTTAGTAGACGGGTAGGTGATCATCAGACAGGCCAGGTCGTCCTTGTGCTTATCGAACTGGGGACAGGCAGGGAAGGTGAGTTAGCGGGATGAGACCGAAACTGGACAGGGTTACAAATGTGTAGTGACGTCAGCAAGATGTTTTTAAAGTGGGTAGTGGGTACCCTGTAGTTTCAAGTTAAAGTGAAATAGCACCCTTTTGGCAACAATATGGGTACAAATTACGAAGATCGTTCTTTCCCGGCTACATCGGCTCATTGATACTGTGCATCTGTTACCAGGCAGCTGTTCTCGCTACTTCACCCCTCCCTGTCGCCAGGACCTAGGTGATCGATCACACCACCACCCCCTCTCTCCATTCCCCTGGCCACTCTGCCCCTGGTCACTCCACCTCTGACCGTTGGACATCGTTCGTACCACGTCTGTCAGGGTCCTTCGGCCACAGAGAGGTCCGGCCGAGGCGCCCGGTCCAAAAACAAACATCCCACCCCAGTGACACGGGCCAGACCAAGGTCACCGTTCGGATGGACAGGGAGCCAAACCAGGGCGTCCCTCGGGACAGTCGGTACCAGGACCGATCACTGCAGTGGCAGATCGAGGCGGGTTGAGCTAGGTAAATAGGTTACGCAAAGCCCGATATTTCGCAGTTGACTGGGACAAACTTTGCCGATGTTTACTCTTTGTTAGTAACTTTTGGATACCTACATAGGTTATTATTGCGGTTTGGTTTGTGTAATCTTGGATAAAAACGTAGCAATAATCCTCGACAGCTCATGTTCTCGGTTCACTCACCTTCGACTTCAGCTGGTTGAGGTCGACACTGCCGTCCTTCAGTACCTGGACGGCCTGCACCTTCATGCCGGCCATCTGCGCCGAGGCCGGATTGGTGCCATGCGCGGAGGTCGGGATCAGGCAGACGTTCCGGTGGCCCTCGCCCTTGGCCTTGAGGTAGGACATGATGGCCCGCAGGCCGGCGTACTCGCCCTGGGCGCCGCTGCAGAGCACACGCGCAGACGGTCAGTACACCACCTTCTAGTCCCATTGCTATTCTTCGGTAGTTGAGCTTCCTTCGTTATAAGTCTCAATTTTCAATGAGGGTACGATCTATCGTTTGACATTCGTATCAGTGGGAAAAACAGTAATTAAATACAATCGGGTAACTGCAGCCGGACACATTTCTCCAAGGAGCTGTTAAATTAACGTCATTTAACGAGGGTAACTGATTGATAGCAACGCAAAAACAGCGGGTCAATTTAATGTCGTACGTTAAATTGAAGACCATCAAACAGACTCAAATCATCACTGACTGAGCTCCGCTACATTTACCCGTTCCCCGTTCAGTTTATCCGTCCCGCACCCACCTGTTGGGCTGGAAGGAGATCTTATCGTAGCCGGTGATCTCGCACAGATCGTGCTCCAGCTCCTCGAACAGCTCCTTGTAGCCCTGCGCCTGCTCTTGAGGACAGAACGGGTGCAGCTCGGTGAAGTGAGGGAAGCTGCACGGCTGCATCTCTGTCGTGCTGTTCAGCTTCATCGTACACGAGCCCTGCAAGGCGACGGAAAGGGGAAAGGCATCAGACGGTCAGCGGTGGCACAATGTACGCATGTTCGCACTGGAAGAATTAAAAATTCTTATTAAATGCATCTTATCTAAACATGGGATGTTTGGGGCGTAAGCCGAGAGAGAGTTTCATTCGTTTTACTTTTTATGGGTGAAGCAAAAAGTAAGCACAATGTTTACGGTCCAAACGGCTTCCACTGATGTCGAAAGTTCACAAATTTATATCGCAACTATGTACTGTCTGAAATGAGTATTGTTGTCATTCACTATCGATCAAAACACACCCAGACCGCTCACTTACCAGTGGGATCATCGAGTGCACCAGGGACACGTCCTTGTTCTCGAGGCTCTTCATGTAGCGGACGATCTGCGTCTCCGACTGGTGCGCGCTGAAGACTGGGTGCTGCAGGTAGGTGGACGTGCGCCTGAACTCGGTGTCCATCAGACTCCCCTCGATGTGCTCGGTCTCCACCAGGGCAGCTACGTCGTCGGCCGTCTTGGACGACTCGAACACCCAGAGAAGGTCGTCTATGTCGTGGGCCTCCACCGTCTCGTCCATCGACAGGCCCACCTGATGAAGGGAGATAGGCGCGTATTTTGGCGACAGCGTCCGCAATATAAATGGGAAGTAATGTTTTATTCGTGCCGAAATAAGATTCATGAGCCAGAAAGCAGCGACTTACTTTCGACTTTTGAGTGATAACAGTTAGGGTGCCCACAGGCTGTCAATTAGGCCGTCAAAGTCAATCGTCAACCATCAAACATCAATTATGAGCTGTGCAAAGTGCATTTTCTAATCATTACATCGTAACCCTGCCTTCACGCTATATTTCGGTCGCCGTTTCACTTACACATCCATCATCGTAGTAGCGAAGGTTGATCTCCTTCTGGATGGCCCGCTCCCTGATCTCCTGGTGGGAGACCTTGGGTTTGATCTTCAGCGTGTCGTAGAACAGGGGGTTCAGAATCTCGTGGCCCTCGTCACGAAGGCCCTTGGCGAGGAGCAGCGTCGCGTTGTGAATTTTCTTTGAGATCTTCTCGATGCCCTGTGAAATGATAAAAAATGAGCACATGTGACATATAGCTTATAGTGTTATGTGTCACTTTGTATAAGCCTTTTTTGCAAAACGTCTAAGCCTTCAAGTGATTATAACAATGCATTTATATCATTATGTACGTTATTTGTTCGTACAAATAACCGGCTTTGCTTGGAAAACCGGTGCCTGGATACCATCTCCAGAGAATAAACACGTCAGTTAACACCCCCACCGCCCACCTTATTCACGACTTCTCACTTCTCAGCAACGTTGGATGTTGCCACCACTGCCGTTCAAAATAACGCTCCGTCTATTATGGCGTCTCCCACGCTCTCCCTCCCACCCTCCCCCTCCCTCCACCCTCTCTCTCTCTCTCTCTCTCTCTCTCCCCCTCTCCTCCCTTCGCTCCCTCTCCCTCTCTCACCGCCGGTCCGTGGTAGACGGCATACATGGCAGACATATTGGCCAGCAGCGCCTGTGCCGTGCAGATGTTGCTGGTCGCTTTGTCCCGCTTTATGTGCTGCTCCCGGGTCTGAAGGGCCAGACGGTAGGCTACCTTACCCTCGGCGTCCCTGTGGTGGAGAGGTTTGCGGGTTAGCAATACGGTTCACAATGCTGCAACAGCAATTAATACTCCCAATACCAAGCATGAGCCATTTACAGCGGAAGTTTTGAAAAGGCATCACTCCGACACGCCTCTTCAATGCATCAACCTCCAATATGGTTCAGCAAAATCAAGGAGCACGCCCAACGGTGCCCCGGTGTTCCCCTTCTGATATGGCAATACAAACAAAAATAAGCCGTTGTATAAGCAGATAGACTTGATTAAGACGAATTCAAGAAAACACCAGACACACAAAGCGACGTCCATGGTTTATCCAGGCGTCATTGATTCTAAGAGACCCGGTTCTTTCCGAAGCAGCCTGTACGGAGGACTCAGCAGTGCACTGCGGCGGACCTAAGGACATCACCGTTACATTATCCACGCGTGGTCAGCCGAGGCGTCTGTTTATGTTCTGCTGAGCAGACACAAACAAACCAAGGGGCCTGGTCAGTCGCCCGAGAGCTGGCCCCGCCCGGTGCGGTGTCCATTTTAACACCAGGCCCACGCGACTAATGGACTTAAAAAGTCGGGACACCATGCTCTGAGCTAACAGATATGGCGACATCTTGCGTGGTAGCCTTGATAAACTTCACATATCATTTTTGATCCAGCTTTCCCCTATTTTCTGGTGACCCTGACCTGACATAACCTCAGCGTCACTGACCTGCTGACCCCGCCCCCACTGACCAGATGACCCCGTCCCCACTGACCTGGTGACCCCGCCCCCACTGACCTGGTGACCCCGATCATCCTGCCGGGCATGTTGCGCACCAGGTGTGCCTGACACGCGAAGAAGCCGGCGTGGGGTCCTCCGTAGCCGGGGGGCACGCCGAGCCGCTGGCTGGTGCCCAGGGCGATGTCGACCCCGAACTCTCTCGGGGGCTTCAAAATGGCCAGTGCCATAAGGTCCGTGGCGCAGCACACCAGCGTCTGCGGCCGGGTCAAAGGTCAGGGTCATGTGATAAGTGAAAGGTCATAGGCGATACTAGATAAAAAGATCCGATAAGCGAAGGCCCATGCAATGAGGGCGTTATCCTTGGCGTTATCACAGGTTACATTTAGAAGAAAGATTATTCTGTTGAAATTCGCTTATTTAATTAACGTAATAGGGTGGCCTTATTCGACACGAAATTCAACCTAAGAAACCGTTTGTTATCACCTTCCCCTTCCCCACTCTGGCCAGTCTCGCTATATCACTCACCCCCGCTTCGTGTGCGCGCCTGACCAGCTCCGAGTGGTCCTCGATGGAGCCCTCTGTATCCGGATACTGGAACAGGATCCCGGTCACATCGCCGGCGCTCAGGTCCATAGAGGCCAGGTCGCCTACTTCAATGTGCAGACCCAGCGGCTGGCACCGGGTCTTCACCACGGCGATGGTCTGAGGGTGCAGCTTCTCGGAGACCAGCACTCTGCGCCGCTTGTTTACTCTGTGGACGATAGGATAGGTTTGTTCTACATCACTATCGACATTCTGCGTTACCGCGGTACTCGCACATGTTTTTTTTTTTGCTCGGTGAAACTCATGGGCCGTGGTGAAAATATTTTTTTTTTGTGATAAATCAAGAAGAAACTATAAGCGTTTCTGTATGCTAGTGCTTAAGAATAGCAATGCAACTGCTGTGCTGTAATGTAATGTGCTGCAATGTAACTGTAAATGTAGTTAACTGATCAGGCTAATTCGGTAACCGTGCGCGCTGTAACTTCCTCTCCACAGGTGTAGGTCAGGTAATCGGTCCACCTGCCAATGTCAGCTCAGCTGCCAACTAACTGAGCTGCTGACACAATGGAGACGGCGTGGCTGCCAACGGAGCCGGTGGAGACAAACAGCTGAGCGGGCCGGGACAAACAGCTGAGCGGGCCGGGACAAACAGCTGAGCGAGCCGAGACAAACAGCTGAGCGGGCCGAGACATACAGCTGAGAGAGCCGAGACAAACAGCTGAGCGGGCCGAGACAAACAGCCGATCTCATTATGACGTCGCCATCTCCAGTGCCTCTTCTCCACCATCTCTCAACTGGTGAAGTACGGCGTAAGTATGTGCTAAATCAGCCCAGACACATATATGTATGCAAGTACACTACAGTGAATTAACTTGAAGGTGGTTAATTGCGCTTGAGCCCCAGTGTTTGAGCCATTAACCCTATTCCTGGCGGGCTCCGCCGGGACAAGAAACTGGCGGGGGGGGGGGCCGATTCGGTCCCCCCCTGAGATCTCGAGAACGAAGCAAGATAGCGACAAGCGGTAAACGGCATCGGATACGCACGGCCAAGATCTACAATTTTTACAAAGGTCATTTTCAGGTCAGGTCAAAGATGACGTCACAGGGGTCGAAAAAGTCAAAATGGCGGCGCTAGATATGGAGAGAGTTTTTCTCGAATAACTTTCGAATTAGTCAAGATAGGAACAAACTAAGGGCATCATCGTGATCCTCTCGTCAATCCGCATCGAATGATATATATGTTGACCTCGAAAGGTCAAGGTCAAAGGTTGACCTCAGGTCACGTGACCTCGAGGTCATCATGTATATCATTCGATGCGTCTTGACGAGCTGAACACAATGAGACCATCCACGCGTCTGTATCTTGTTCCTGTACGGAGTTATTGGCCAAAAACCTTTGGTGACCTTTGATGACGTCACATGACCTCACAGCTGCCCAACAGCAAAACAGACCTCAAGGTAGTGAAGGTTGATCGTATATGAAGTCATGTATGGTATATGGGGCCATTCCGACCCGTTTTAGTGGTAAAAACAGGGAGTTGATTTTTCCCCCATTGACTTATAATGGGGAGGTCGCGAAATTGACCTGACCTTAGGTCACCGATATCAAAATTCCGAGATATACAAATTGCACATACTGGTACCCTAACTAAACCCTGAAGAGAAGAAATTGATCGGTCAAAAACTCTAGCTCTGGCGTGATTGCAAACTTTTCTGAGGTAGGGTCACCAAACCGCCTCTGGTGACCTGACCTGAGGTCAGATCAACTCAAAATTTTCAGACATGTTGCGTAGAAGCCTTTTAGGAAAAGTCAGAAAATTTGAGCTTCCTAGCTCAACGCGTTTGGGAGAAATAACCAAAAAATCTCAGGGGGGGCTCCTGAGGCCCCCCCCCGCCAGGAATAGGGTTAAGCGGCATTGTATTTTATCTTCAGTCCAGATCGACTGTGCCCAAATCTAATCGGCTACCATCGATCCCCAACCGCTTCTGTCCCCTTCCTCCAATAGCTCAGCGCCCACCCCACCCCTCCTCCCCCGAGCCGCCCACCTGAAGCACATGGCGATGGCCTCGGCGGCGGCGGTGCCTTCGTCCAGCAGCGAGGCGTTGGCCGTGCTCAGACCGGTCAGGTCGCTGACCATCGTCTGATAATTGAGAAGCGACTCGAGCCGGCCCTGCGCCACCTCCGGCTGGTAGGGCGTGTACTGCGTGGTCCTGAAGGAGTAGAACGGGTCAGACCGTACTGCAAGTCCGTATTCTCATTCCGCAAAACACGCAGTTCTATGCTGTTACCAACAGGAATGTGTGTTCATTGTCAAAGTTTTGGAATTAATTCAGGAAGCAACAGCTGAACAAATGGTTCGCTACTCACCAGCCGGGGTTTTCGAACATGTTGCGCATTATGGTGTGGGGCACGCGACAGTTGTGGTAGCCCATGCCGATGTATGAGCGCCAGATCTGATTCCGCTGCGCAATCTTCTGGATCCGCTCCAGCAGCTCGTGCTCACCTGAAATGGGCCGGGTCAGCGTCAGGTTAGGTCAGATCAGGTCAAGTTAAAATATGAGACAGTAAATATTCGAAAACGTAACTCCCATTCCACCTCGTCACTCATCAGGACAAAGCATACACGTTGCATATAATTAACGACAGTCGATCGATTAACTGCGATCTTAATCAGCGAGAATCGTCAGAAGGAACTCACTCTGGGGTTCTTCAATGTTGAGAGGATTTTTCAGCATAATATTCTGAGGTACGGTGTTCTTAATGAGCTCATCCAGTGTCTGCGAAGAACCATGAAAACGTTATCGTTATATGGAGCTCACGTCGGACAAAAACTGGTCATCACGAGGGCAAAGCTAACGGTTTAATTTCTAATAACGATTGATTTCTCTCATATAATATGTGCAAAAAATAAGATCTTTCACCGTCACAATAGCGAGGAGATGATAATCTTCAGCATCGACCAATAAACGGGAACCGGTTAAAATCGTTAAGAATTTAACCGGAATTGATCAATAAATTGAAGACAAAACGCATTATATCGAAAAAAACGTACGAAACATATGCATCCAGAGCTGTCAACATAAGGCACGCTTTAACCTTAGCATAATTCTGATCGGTAACAATCATTTTGTTTGCCATAAAAGAAAACAAGTGACCCCACATTCAAAACTTTAAAATTAAAAAAAAATGACCGACAGAAATATGTCGACACCGTACCTGGAATCCCAGCGAGTGGAGCATATCCCGCTGGTCGCCGTCCCGGGGGCCGATGTGACGCGCCTGGAAGTCGGGGTTCTTCGGTATAAACTTATCGGACGTTCCCGCGTGACCCACCGACATGGTTCGGCAGAGCTGCTGCAGGCGGCGCGGCCGGCGACGGGCCGCCACACGCACCCCGGCGGTCAGCATAGCTGCGGCAGCTCAGACGGGCCACAGTGAGCTGCGAGTCTAAACCCGCCTCTGGGAGCTGCGGCGCTCCTCTGAGCACCCCGTGAGTGACCGACGAGTCCTTCCGTCGGCGACAGTACGCACCCCCCGGCGGCCGGCGCGCGACTGCCGGCGGCGGTCGATGGTCGCCGGCGGCTCAAAACCGGTGCGAACCGCCCTGAGGCCACCGCCGGCCGCTGCCAGAGGCGTCACCAGACACCTGGGAGGGTCGGCTGCAGAGCACGAGTGGCACTGGCTCCTCTGAGCGCGCCCCTGACCTCAGTCGCTGCTGTTGACCTGGGCACGCCTCTGCTCTGAACCCGTCCGGTCCGGACCCCGGGTCCGGAAGGGCCTGACTGGGCGTCACGCCTTGGTCACGCCACACCACGCGGTGAGGTCTGGCAGCTGCGGAGGGGCCCCTGTAGACGTTGGACGATGACGTCATGAGTCTAAAACGGCTGCTAGGGCTTTGTTCGTCTCCGTGTGATCACGTCACATGCGCAGGCCGTCCAGAGTTGACCGAAAAGACTGTTACACCACTGTGAAAAATGGGCATAACCAGCTCGGTGTTGAACGCACATATTACTATAGTCTATTCTTATACTCCCGTTATACCCTGACAGCGACACCCACATTCCCTTAATTGAGCTGTCAACAGCCATAATTTGTTCAGAGGGCCTGTAAGTCGATTTGCGAGTTCATTGGCGAGTCATATTGTTTACGGTTGTGGCCCATCCGTCTATAAAACGGTGATGGTCCCCAGCCGGCGCGGCGCACGGGTCCGCTGGGAGAGGAAATGTCTCCATTAGCAAAACAGTCAGATGCTCAATAACATCCACAACGCCCTTGTTTCTTGGCGATCGATGTATATGACAGAGGTGCTTATGTAAAATCCTAATGACTGATTCATATTTAAGTAACCGTTTATTCGTTGCATGGGAGAAATGCTGGCAACCGGTCACATAAATAGATGGTTGCCTTTGCGGGACACGAGCGAAATGTCAAACATCCGTGATTAAATACGCCGCATTGAAGACTTTTTTTTTCTTCCAGAACCTGAAGAGATGCTTAACAACCTCTTTGCTCGATAAAATAGATTACCATGAAATCAGAGTAAAATAACCATTTATTCACATCAATTCAATAATAATTGAACCCGATGCTTTATAGCGCGGTTATTGCAACTGAATGACGTATGACTCTGCACAGCACGAACATTGATACTGGAATTGATATTAGGTATATCATAACACCAGATGTTCCCTCGCACACGTGACGCGTCACATTCACCCGTAACCCGTAAACATATCACTCTTCTGCCAGCCAGTCGTCCGTGAGCTCCTCACCAACTCCAGTGGGGCTCACTGCGCCGCTGGCGACCAGCGACTCGAACACTCTCTCGTACACAGCATTCATGGACGATGACTTGCCCATGAGCATGGAGAAGTTGTCTTTCCTGAGCCACGTCTCCGTGAGCAGGGGGTCTTCGGGCCGCACTGGTTGCGCCCTCTGCAGCACAAACTCCCACAGCAGGTCCCACCGGCGCCGCGGTAGGCGCGGGTCGCTCACTCCGCTGTCATTGTACCTTACAAAGAGGGCCACGAGAGCAGCCGTGGCCGTCAGAAGGTGCACCTTGATGCACTGTGCGGCCCGGTCGAGACGAACCAGCTCTGTGTCAGTCCGAGTCGCCAGCATGTTGATCTCGGACCAGAAGTAGCACGGCAGGCGGCCGAGACGGGCAAACTCCTGCAGGCGGGACAGGACGCGGAGGGCCATCGTCCGCACACCCTCCGCCTCCCAGGTGTCCGGACTGGCCTCCTCACACTCCCAGAAGAGAGCCATCTTCAGGTAGGCGCCCTTCACATCGCCGTGCGGCCCCAACAGCACTGCACAGCAGTGCTTGAGCACGGCAAGACAGTCACGCTGCAGCTCAGTCAGCGACTGCAGCATGATGTGCTCGTGCCGGGAGAAGGACAACCTCCACTGGTCAGTCTGCGAGGCGCTGCCCTCGAAGCCGATCGGCACCAGCATGGCGGGCGTTCGGCAGAGTCGCTCCACCAGCGCCAGGGGCGGCTGGAGCAGGGGCCGCGGCCGGCGGCGGAACTCGTCACACGGCCACCGAGGGAGGGCAAGGCACGGCACCAGGTCGGCGTCCGTCTGACCGTCGTAGCTGGTCAGCGCCGGCCCGCCGCTCGTCAGCGCTCCGAACCGGTGCCGCTTCAGCGGCTTCGTTTTGCCGATGTTGCCGATGACGCGTATGTTGCGCTTGATGGCCTCCCCCGAGAACAGCAGCCAGTCGCCGTGCTGGCAGCCGGAGCGGGGCTGGTGGCGCAGCAACACAAAGCCCGGCTGCATCGTCCGCTCCAGTCGTATGACCAAAGCATCCTCTGAAAAGCGAGCCGACTCGGCTGCTCCTTGGTCCTGTTGCGACGTTTCCTGCCCCGGCTGATCTGCTTGCAGAGTCTCCGGTATTTTGTCTTGTCCTTTCTTCTCAGCGCCTTTGGCCGTCCGGAGAGCTGCCATATCTCCGAGGATGCTGATTGGTCCCAGTCGTATCATGACGTCAATATCGGACCAATCATCACCGCCGCCCAGTCTCACATCGTTCCCTTCCCGTTTACTGCCTGACGGGTGAATTCCCTGGATGACCAGCCCGCTGAGGTCCTGACAGGAGCACTCGCTAAAATGCATCGGAAACGCCACCTCCTTGCAAAGCTCGGGACTAGGAGCACCACAAGTGCACTCAGTTTCAAGCTCCGCATCTGAGAATCCAACAAAAATCCGTTCACCAATCGTGAAGTTACCGATTCTCCTCACCATGGCGTCTTCTGCTAGCTTCTGTTTGAACGCCGGGCTGGAGAACCTGGCGTTCCTCCCGCGCATCTGCCTCCGGAGGATGTCCAGCAGCTCATCGTCCGAGAGTTCGGCATGTTTGTCTGCCTCAGCGCTGTCGGGATTGGCGCCGCTGACACCGCCGGCAGCTGCATCCCCTGCCATATGACCCGGGACAGCCGGGGCTTGAGTCACAATCACCTGACACCAGTGGCATCCGCTGCACTGCAGGTTTTAAATCACTCGACAATAGAAATCAACGATAGGGACGACTCAGTGGCCAGATGAAGTGATCGCCAGCTCACCAACACAGGGCACGCAGTAGGTACGCAGTACGCACGCTGGCAAGCGAGACTCTCAGCCTGGTGGGCCCCTCTCAGAGTGGCGAGCTGTTTTGAATCACGGACGAGTGACGACACACAGCTGGCTGTGCTGAGGCCGGACCGGTTCTACGGCAGAGTAGAGTGGGCGGATTTAGAGCTACAGACCCGGTCGTAAAGGGGAGAAGCGGCAGCGTTTGTAGAGGTCTCGCGGGTTTTAGCGGTAGGTTTTGCACCTAGAAAATTTAGTACACTTCAGGGTATATCTTCGCCGTCTTAACCCTCGCCCGTATTGTTTTTCCAGCCGCGAACGTATAAGGGGGGGGGGGGGTCCGTTGGACCCCCCTTGCAGTTTCGCTCCTGATCGAGGTAGAGATTCGCGAAAAAAAAAAACGAGCGTGTTGCCCGTGACGAGAGGAAGCTGATGGTACCCAATTCTAAGGTCCTCGGTCATCGGTTGACCTTCCAGGTCAGGTCAATGACCCAAAAGTCGGGAAAATCGGGACATGTTAGAAAGTCGTAAAGCGTGGCTGCTATGGGGTTTTTCGGGGTGCTGATCACGAATATCATGTTAGTTTTGATCACAGATGATGCCTTCATGCATTTAGGCCAGGTCGGGTCAGGTCAGGTCAGCTCAACCAGTAAGGGTATTCGTTGTAGGTGGCAACCGCCTCTGACAGCTTCGTAACATGTTACGAAGGTACCAAAACTACTTCGTAAATGTTCATATGGTTGCTAAATTCGAATTCAGCTCCATAAACGGGCCCATAAACATGTAAAACTCGAAAAAGTGAACCGAGGTCATCAAAGGTCAATGACCTGACCTGACCTTCCGGTGACCTTGACACCCACTCTAATGCATGGGAGCAACATCATATCCCATGTTTGAACGCTTAAAACCGAAAAGACTGCAAACGCGCGGCTAATGCGAGCCGACATCGCGAATCGCCGAATCGCGATTCCGGCCAAACATGGCCTCGAAAAGTTGGTCAAAGGTCAAAGGTCATTAGGGTCAGGGTCATGAAAATTTCAGAGTAGGTGTAAAATTGATTAACGCGAGGGTACTGAAAGTTTCGTCGCGATCGGCTGCTTTTTACGCGAGTTATTCGCGAAAAACCAAAGGGGGAGGGGGTCCGTTCGACCCCCCCCCCCCCTATACGGGCGAGGGTTAAAGGGACCCTCCCACCTTAACATTAGTTTTGAGTTGAGATAGCCAAATTGGTGGCCATGACCTGCAAATACCGGTTTGGACACTCACAACATCGAAAAATGCTTTAATTCGAAGATATGGAATTTCAAACTTGCAGTTTTCGGATTCTAAGGGGCTAATGCATTGGAATGCCCCCTTAGAATTTGTGACGTCAGCGGAGATCTAACGATTTTTAAATCTTAGACTAAAACCATCGTTAACACGTGGTGGTATACGCTGCTTTGCGCGCAACGTCTGCCGCACTTTAGGGCTGTCAAATTATTGCTTCCAAATAAAGTCGCTAGTAACAGGGGAGATCCCAAAAAGTAAACAAAAGTAAAACCCTAATATCTTGAAAACCAGTGAATATTTTTCGGTGAAATTTGGTAGATATTCGTTTTCGCTCTTTCTGAACCAAGGGACATCACTTTCATGCCAATTCATTAACTTTTTTGAAGGTGGGAGGGTCCCTTTAAGCTTTTAGATGTTGAAGATGCGATCGACTTGTTGGGTATAACAAGCCGGCCATGATCGTGTAAAATGGCTTCATCATGGATCGATTAGTTTCTGAGATATAACCGGAAATGTAAAAGTGCAAAACCTACCACTTAATCTCGCGAGAGCCATATGTAAGTACCATGATACAGTAACGTTTGCTTTGCTTTCGTGGACCAATAGACACCGATAGAGAAACATGCGACACGCAGCGATGCAAAACTTTGCATAGCTAATCATACATCAAAGGTTCTTGGTTTTAAGTATATATACTTATTTTACCTGGGTAAAATAAGTATATATACTTTTTACCGATTTTACCTGGGTAAAATCGCCCTTTAAAACAACCTCTAAAAATGCATCATATAACTTGACTATTAGAAAATGTTACAGTAATGAAGGGACCTGAATGTGTTCATTGTTCAAATCATTACGTGTCGATTTCTATTTGAAATGATTTTTTTTTTTTCAGTTAGTATTATGAGCTTGACCTGATTAAAATCCAAATTTACATGTTAAGGTCAAATCATAATTCATTCGGCGCGACGAGATAAACACGATGGTGGTGAAGCAAATGCTACACATAGAATCTGAAGGTATATTATACAAAAGATATTGCCTACACACATACACAATTGTAATGTCATATTGGTAAATTGTTTCCGTACCTATGTATGTACTAGTGGTGTCAGTTACGGAAAATCGTAATACCGATACCAAACCAAATACCAAACAAAACCGTGGGGAAATACCGAAACCAAACCAACCTGTGAAAATGAGGGGAATACCAACTTTTTACCGATTTCTTAGCCTCTTATACATTAGTGAGGGTTCATGATACCAACAAAATACCAAGCACATTACGATTGAAATACCAAATACCAAGTTGGTATCGGTTTGGTATCGGTATACCAAAAAGTTGGTATCCGATTGACATCTCTAGTATGTATGTACACTCCATCTCATTAGCGTCGCCACGGGGGGGGGGGGGGGGGGGCAAGCGGGGCAGCTTGCCCCCCAACCTCGGACCGGGCACCCCCTGAGATCGATACAGATCCGATGAGATTTTGGAGTCGGGAAAAAATGGGGGTACCTTTCTGAGAATGCCTGTGAGGTCAGACTCGTTCAAGCCAGAGTCGGAGTCGCAGTCGCCAACATCGTCAAAACACCGACTCCAGACTCGGAAGTGTCAATACTGTGATTCATTTCATGTTCCTCGTTGGTTTTTTATTACATTTTATAGCTGATTTTCATAAGTTTTGAAGTGCTGATACAAAATTTGCGTTCAAAGCGTGACACTGAATCTTCGGGCCTTTCTCAACTCTCGTCAAATGTCTGCGACAGACTCAAGTACCGTTCAAGTGCCACAGGGCTCATGACTGCTTGCTTTTCACACAGGCTCCGAAGGAGCTCCACTGAGCTCTAAGAAGCCTTCAGAGGGCCCAAACCGGCCTCTGAGAGTCCCACTGGTGTTCATATTCTCTGAGGGCCCATACAGGAATCTTTGAGGACCTTACACATGCGTAGACCTCTGAAGGGCCACACGGATCTTTGAGGATACTTTTAAATATTTCTGAGAACCTTAGGCCTCTGATAGCTCAGCCGAGCTTTTGAGGCGACAGATTTTGCTGAGCCTAAGCCTGCAGTTTAGGGGTCACGACTCGGGTGTGCCTCTGAGGGTCCCAGCACATGTTTCTTATGTCCCTATGTAGGGTCCTTAGGGATTCGACACAGACCTCCAGGGTTCACACTGCTATTTGAGGGCTCCCTGCTCACCCTGGGCCTGGTCTCTTAGCGCCCGCCGCCGGCGCCGCCCACACTGGCTTCTGAGGGTCCCACCTTGGGCTCGGAAAGCCCTAAAGCACCACGTATGTACACGTAACTATTTGGGGTGACCAGCGCCGATTTTCAGGATCCTAAGCAGGCTTCTGAGAGCCCACACTGACCCTGAGTGGCCTAAAATGGCCTGGAAGTCCCAAGCCTATCGCTAAAGGATCCCTTGCCGCTATGCCGTGCGAAATTTTGGTTCCGTTAAACGTCTTTTCTTCGCGTTTGTAGCGCTTCCCTACACACGAAAAACGAGAAACTTTTTGTTCACACTACACCTCCTCTCACTGGAGCAAAGATGAATTACTTCCGATTCACACTTCCGACATTCACTCTCCGCTGAAAGCCCTACTTAGCTTCAATCGGCGGCTGGGATAAGCCCTATGCATTTTACGTAGAACCTCTGCATGCATGCGTGAATGAAAGTTTCAGCAAGGTGATTCGCTTAAGCTGAGCGTTTAACCTTTTTATGATCATGAGAGCGATGAGCGTCTGCACAGGGGCTCTCCAGAGTGCGTCGGCAAGCGCAGCCATTGTGATTCTACCGGTCGTTTTTTGTTCAAAAATTTAAAAAAAAAATTCTGTAAAAAAAATGGCAAGTCATAGCTACAAGGAAAACCTTGTCACCATCGTATTCCTCGCACCATTGCGCGTTGAATGATATGTAAAATGAATGAGTAACGACTGGAGGAAGGCAAGATTTAACACAAAAGCTGATTTTGCCCCCCAACCGAAAATCTCTGGCGACGCCTATGCTCCATCTACTTAGGCTTTTTTGTCTTCTCTTGGCCAAACCGCTGACCTGAGGTCAAACTTTAGCTAGGACGTAAGTAAGACGTTAGACGAGCCGGTCAAGAGGTAACTGCCGTAAATTGCCCATCTCCGTGGAGACTGTCGTTCCTCGGGTGCCCGGCTCGTAGCGTCACCTGTCGGCGCTACGACAGCGCTGCTCGGCGGTGAGCTGAGGCCGGAGCTCCTCTTCGAGCAGGCACTCTGTGGAACTCATTGTCCATCGCAGACAAATATTTCGTCATTTCCAGCACCCAATATTTATTATCATGCTCCGGGTCACCTTCAGCCTGACTTCTCTTCTCACACATTTAATTTTTCTAGACATATTGCTGACGAGAACAAGGACACTTGCAAGCTTGGATGAGAAAAATCAAGTGCTAGCTTGTGGCTTCGCTTAGGTGACAGCGCTTTCGAGTTCTTTCGCTACGACACAATCAGTCTAAAACAAAGCACTGCCAGGCCCCGGGCATTCAACAGTCGTCATAAAGAAGTGGAAGCTGACGAGATGGAGAATAAGTCCATTGGTAGGTATAAAATAAACCCTGAGGTACGAAAGCTACAAATTATTTTCCTTGCTAAGTGCGACATACCTACCCATGGCTGAAAAGGCTACATGAATAATAGATGTGCCTACATGCTGAAATAGAGGCCTCCTCCGTTCCATCGTTCCATACTCAGGATAGTCAAATCCTTCTCCTCCACACCTCAGCCCCCTGATCCGGGCTGGAAGGTCACCTTTATCCCATGCGAGTATAGCTCCACCCCAAGAGTAGGCCTGCATAGCCGGGTGCAGTGACCGCTTTCGGGGCCATGAGTGGCCTGTCCACGTGATGGATTCAGCCCCGACGACTCACCAGGGTGCCCGCCCAGACCAATGTCTCCCCTTTATTCCTTTCATCCTTCCGCGGCTCTGAAATTGTCTCGTTAAACCGAAAGAGTCTAACCCAACAAAACAATGGAAGAGATGAGGTAGAATCCAAAGATACAAAAGTTGTTTGTCAGTTGATGCTTCACAAATGTTGTTTGACGTTTTTTCTTCTTTGATTTTTTATAATTTAATCGTGGTGTTTTACGGAAAAGGAAACCCTCAAGCATTTATTTTCCAGCATACTTAGGAAGGTAATATTTTTCACTACGGAATATCTGGCGAATGCACTTAACTTGACCAAATCTACACTAAATCTCTGTTACAATAAATATCCTTATATCAGGAATTCATTTCAGTGTTTTAATCGAAAATTATTTCTGATAAATTGAAAAATGAGGTATATAAGCTCCATGAAGCCCAAACTGATAACTTTTTAGAAATGCACAATGAACTTAGTTTGACCAAATCTGTACCAAATCTGCACCTAATTTGCATCTAATCAGTAATCTGCACCAATTGTGTACCAGATGATCGTCGTGAAAATGGTTTATGTTCATCAAATGATGAATACCACTGTTCAATGTTATACCTACACACTTTCTTCTACAATCGCCGACCAAATATGTATTGCATATTTTATTTTTAAAGGTATTATATTCGGCAAAATGACCAGAAATCACCTAGCTTATTGGCCTTGTGGCTCTCTTTTGACCATGTTTTACTGAAAACACGTCACTAAGCGAGAAGTAGCAGAAGAGTAGAGCTTGTGCCGCCATTAACTGTGTCGTCAGGCCCGACATTACAAGTCCTCGGGTATCACAGACATGGTAACCCGAGGCGGCACTGTGGCCGGGGCTGCGATCTGGTGAACGAAACTGTGCATTGCTCAGTGTCGAGTGTCGACTGAGTGGTGGACCACTTTGTTGAGTGTGCTCGGGCGTAAATCTTCTGAGCAGGCGTCCATTGGGGCCCGTATTTGTAGCCTGTGTGTGAAAGGAGAGCTGAACATAAGCTGCGGTAGGTTTGTGCCATCGCGGTGGCAAGCCGTCGGCTCCGGTTACGCTCCGTACTGTGCTCTCAGCCTTGTGGTCTGTCGGTGCGGGCGGCAGGTCGTGTATAAATACCTCTCTGTGTGCTTGTGTCTCGGGTCTGCGGTGGAGCAGCTGAAACAACTACGTGTGCATCAGCTCACCCACGTGTGTAAAATGACGCCATATAACCTTTTGGGATCTATTAACCCTATTAGTGGCAGGCTCCTGGCTACATACCTACCTAAGTTTTCACGGCGCACCTTGCTGAACTATTGATAAATACATACATATTGCGCACGTGGGAAGTTCCGCGAGCCTTCTCAGCTTTATGCAGAACAGGACTTTTATCGCGTCACTTCTGCCCACCACAGGTAATATTCCTGAGAGGATCAGTCCTAAAGTCCGGAAGCTGAGCAAACTATATCCCTTGAATACAGTAAGCGGCAAGCCTATTATCCTCACCTGCAAACACCAAAACATGTGTCTGCCGGTGCTGCCTACCGCGATGACTTGCACGAACTGAGGGGACAGTGGAGGATCAGAATGTCCCTGGTAGCTGTCGGTAAGAAGGACATGGATGTCTAACACTCATCAGAGCGAAATACCATGAACGCTCATATTTTTGCTTCATGGACTCTAAAATACACGAAACGTTCCCAGCGAGATGATGACTCGCAGGCGAACTGTCGAAGCGATCTGATACCTACAATCTACATTCTACACTCAACGATTGTTTTCTTATTGGCTGTAATAAAGTCGTGCAACATACAAGCGTGGCAATGGTATGGGTCGAGAAACGCATGAAAGGATTGCCAAGTTTGATGAGACTGTTGATCACCCGGAGTCGTTAGAGATATCAAACTGCTACACCCGCTTCAGTTATTGTCTGGGACAGAGCGTGTCAAACTTCGAGGCTCAGATCTTCAGCAGATTCGCTCATCCTTAGGTGTGATAGGTATTTCCTTTCAATAATCAATTTCAATTTCAGTGTTTTATCATATTTTCATTGTTATACGTCTTCCCTCAAAGAGCACAATATTATAAATACGTGTATTTTCACCCAGAACACTGAACAGTAAATGCATATTGCCTAGTTCACAGTGTGCGCTTATGTGCATTTTAATCATAACATCGTAGAACTGGGCTTTGGATCATTTCAAAGTGCACGTAACTGCCTAACGGACAACAACCTTTGAAGAAACATCGCCGAAGGCACAACAAACAGTTCAATGTCGTGGGGTATTTCGGTCAAATTTTACGCCAGGTAACTAGATACATACATAGGTACTTGATATTTTGCCATTATCGCAATGTGAACGGAACCTGAACAGTTAATTTTCTTGTTTTGCGAGGTAGAAAGGTACCTTAGCAGCGTAACTCGGGAGGTATTGTTGCGCACTCGTCCGATGTGCTCGTTGTGGATCGAAAAGAAAAAAAACGAACACTTCAAGTATACAATCATTTACCGGAAGAGCGAGCAATTACCTTCCTTGACATGCGTACACAATACACACGATTTACAAACGTATTTAACCCCGACCACCCTCAAAATGTGCATCAAACACGCCTGCAGCCAGTGCACGCTAACATATTACCACTACCTCATCAAACGTAACTCGTCCAGAGAATGACAGACCAGCTTTTTCCCCACCCCGAACCGGTACACTCATGACAGCATTTTCCCAAAAACAGAGCTGTGCACACAGGATTACACGCTAAGTCACAAGTCACAACCATAAGTGAATGCAAATTCAACGTCACCGATTCAGGGGCACAAAGTGAAGACATACGACGGATCGCATTAAAAGCAGAGCTTGCGGAGCTCCATGAGCATATAGAAGCCCAGCCCCGCTGGGATGGACCGCGCGATACACTCAGCCCGCCGCAACACGCGACCATAGCGGGCGCGATCCGCGCGCCCCGCGCCGCCCACCTAAACGCTACATGTGATGCCCGTGCCTGTCCTGGTTAACGGTGTCACTCTCTTTCACTGGCTCGGTGAGCACGTGCTCTGTCCTGAAAACACGCGCATTCGTCCGTCTTGGGCGCTGAACTCCGGGGTGGAAATTGCTCGGGGTCCGGGACCGTTTCTGTGATGTCCGAACTACTTGATGTCAGGATATTCGGATTGTTGAGGCTCAAACGTCTCCCCCGTACTCCACGGGCGGTAGGTCGGACGCTCCTCTCTAGCCATCAATGCTCGCCTCTTCCATTCTCTTGGCGAGAGCCTATTCATCCATCCCGTCCCGAGCATCTCTGGAGCTTCTGGCGCCCAGCAGAACCTCAACATCCACCTCCGGAGCAGCGCCCGGCGACTCTCCGGACCTCCGGACTCCGGATCTCCGCCTCCGGAGCGCTCCCGGCTCACTCGGCGCCGACCGGCGCGGCGGCGGCCGTGGTGAGCACCTCCAGCGTCTTCTCGGCGTACTCGCGCGCCTGCGGCTCGGCGATCGCCGCCACCAGGTAGTCGAGGTTGTACATGAGCCGCCCGCGCAGCGTGTGGAACATGTGCGCGAACACCATGCCCAGGTCGTGTCCGATGTTGGTCGTGCGCACCAGCTGCGTGACCTCGACGTGCTTCCCGGTGGCGTCGAACAGCCGGTCAAGGTTGCCCATGTTGGAGGTGCCAAAGTAGTGCGAGACGTGCGGCATCTCCTTGGTGTGCTGCCGGTGAACCCAGAGGTCGGTGCTGATGAACGTCTTCAGGAGGCGGCTGTACGTCACCGGCTGCATCTCCGTGTCCAGACGGTGCTTCATGCTCTGCACTGTGTCGCGCGCCAGCTCCCAGAACCGGGACCGGCCGTCCGGGCTCGACGGCACGCTCGCCTCGAAGAAGCCCATGTAGCAGCCGTAGGCGTCCTGGTGCTGCTTCTGCAGGAAGCGCCGGAAGTTGACCACGTGGCCGCTGCGCACCCGCAGCTGACTGAGCTCTGGCTGCCGCCTCCGGATCAGCTCGTGCAGCGCCAGCGAGGCTGCCACCGTGAACGCGGCGTGCACAGTGACGCCCTCGGCCTTACACCTGTCGGTGACACTGCGCGTCTGCTCGGCACTCAGCACCAGCGAGTAGGTCCGCATCCGGATCTCCTTACAGCCGGCCGGCGGCGGGTGCGTGGCCAGGTAGTGGTTCCGGGGCGCGAACACCAGGTCCCAGAGGTGTGACGCCAGGCTGACGACGTCGGACGGCGTGTACTGCTTCTCCTTCCCCAGCGGCATGTCCTCCAGCGGCTCCCGCAGCATGATCTGCGGCACCTCGGGGATCTCCGCCTTGTCCACCACCTTGTTCAGCACGTCCAGGAACTGGTTGCAGAACACGGCGTTTGACGATCCATCACTGATGGCGTGACAGAAGGTGAGCACCAGCATGGCGACGAAGGGGTAGGGGCGCGGCTCTCGGCCCGGCTCGTTGGCGTCGTGCGACTCGCTGTTGGCGTTGTTGACGCCGGGCAGGGTGAGCAGTGAGGCTGACCAGAGCGGGCCGTGCGCCGTGTCGAACACGGCCTGCAGCTGGCTCTCGTACTCTTGCATCCAGTCGTCGGCCTCCCGCACGGTGAACAGCACTCGCGGCCGGTGCATCTCGGCAAAGTAGCGCCGGCCGTACGCCTCCCTGATGCACAGCCGCAGGTTCTGGATGCGACTGGAACACAGAGAGGGGTCAGAGTCAGTCACAGTCACATTGGGTCACAGTGGATACGACTGGTCTTCCGGCATCGTCAGAATGACAACACATGGGCGGCAAGTTTGACTTCTGACTAGTGACATATCGCTTCATCTTTCATTCATAAGTATGCTAGGAATAATAATGAAGACGCCAACGATATTCAACATTGCATTGCACTTCAATTAGAGAGGCATATATTATGATCGTTCAACTAAAAAAAAAATGTTTCACAGCCAATGACGAGTGCAAATCGCATGAGCATTTAGCGCGGAACTAATTGCCTATTTCTTGATATATTAGACCTTTAATGTACCTAATTTGCTAGCGTAATATTTCTGTCTTTGTATAACATAGTTTACGTAGGTGAAATATCGTGTTTCTTCTGTTTCCATGATCAATACCGGTCAGCTTAAATACTCTGCAATGAATCAGTGCACCATTTTCGAGGGTCGTAAATCGTAATCCAGGGTCCTTCCGATGCTGAGTGCTGAGTCGCTGGCGTAACAACCAGCACCGTTAATTTACTAGCAACACGTTCAAATATTAATAAGGAAAATGTCAATGCGCATTCTTAGAAGTTTGCATTCACAACGCAGTGATATTGGCTATCGGTAACCACTAGCTGATGTAACTGACACGCTTTGCCAGGTGCCAGCCCGGGGGTGGCTGATGCAACGATGAGCTGCATTCATTTTTTTCAATGAAATATTCTTTTTTCTTCAAAATTAAGCTGTGCTAGAAACAGGAAAAAAACAGACTATATTCTCATGTCTACCGAGGACACAAGCAGTAGGGAAGCAAGCACGAAAGGCAAAAAAATTATACAGGTTCAACTTTTATGTCACCCAAATTTAGATAAAATTGTAGGGCCAGAGTGCCTCAGATTGTCTATATAGACCTTGAAAAGTGGTCCACCGCCGCATTTTAACACAATTACCATTTCACAATTAGCTCAGTACCCCTTGTTGAAACGGCCCAATCATCTCTTCGTCAGCTATCCACAATGCATACCACGTGGCTCGTTCCCATGTCCAATTGTCCGATTGCTCAATCTCACAAAACCCAGCCTGCCAATCCTCCCAATAACACCCCCTAAATGTGACCTCCACCCAGCTTCACTCCCGAGTTCAGACTCGATTGCCCCGAAGCTTGCGAAAATCGGCGTGACTTGCCGTCTCGACTGTTGGTGCCCATGCCCCTACCCACCGACCCAGTACGGTCACACGAGCGTTGAATGTCGTGTCCTGGGTGGATAACGCAACCTGTCGGGCCGTCGTGGTTGGAAAACCAGCTGGTGGTGACATAACCCCCAATAACAGCCATTTGGTCATGGTCGCCGATCAGAGGTCAGCACAGACAACTCTGGGTCGGTTGTCCCAAGGGCAAGGTCAATTGTTGTGAGAGGGACGGAGTGTGGGTGTGTGGGATGTGTGTGGATGATAAAAATAGCAACAAAAGGAGAGAGAGAGAGAGAGAGAGAGAGAGAGAGAGAGAGAGAGAGAGAGAGAGAGAGAGAGAGAGAGAGAGAGAGAGAGAGAGAGAGAGAGAGAGAGAGACCGCATCATCTGCTTCGGTCAGCATCTCGCATGCCATACGGATATGGTCACCGTGCCGTTACACTCGTGAGAGCCGGCCTCACGAAAATAGCCACAAATCTAGTGTGACATCTGATCACCCGAGCGCGGCACACGGCTCTGCCGGTGCCTGTCGGCTGTTGACCGATTCAGTCCGGTCCTAATTGCGCACTGGCGGGATTATATACCCCCGACTGGAGTATTCTCTGTCGTTGATTTAAGTAGCGTCACACCGGTGGGGCCGGTTACTCCGGCTGGAATGTTCTTTTGTTTGCCACTGCGCGGATAGGAGCTGGTTGTTGTGCCTTCAACAAGGACAGAGGCAGGGCGTCGGCCGCCGGCTCCGGCCCAGGGTCATCGGCTGCAACACAAACACTGCTCCCGCACAGAGAATGCCGAACAGGGGCATTAGTCACCCAGCAATAAACTGACAGATGGAATGTGATTTTGTTGTTCATTGGCATTCTATAAAGTCCAAACTCCTCCTTGCTTTGTTAGGAGCTGCCGACGTCAGTCCACGGGACAGGATGATTGGCAGGTTACGATATCGATCTCGATTCATCAAATTTGTTCCCTTGATGCGATCAGCCGTCAATTAACGACAGTATGTACAGGGTGTCCCATAAGTTCGTTCTCACATTATGTTTGCATGTGAAACAGAGTACATTGCGTTTTAATATATTTATGACCCCTCAATATGCTCCTCATTTAATAGGCAAACACATGAATACATGCTGCAGCATGCCAACCGGCATGTTTGGCTGCATAGTAGGCTTAAAGTTAACCCAGACTGACTTGACATGCGCCGTGAGCTCCTCGAGGCTGGAACAGCGCTACGCTTCGACGAGCCTCAATTTCAGCATAACCAACAAATTTTTATGAAATTTTGATCCAATGAGGTGCCTGGCATGTGATCTTGCCACAAATGCCTGTCACAGTCTCCTTGCACCGCTTTTAAGCTTTGCTTGACCTGTGCACTGATGCACTGTCTTGCCTGAAGATGGGCCTACGACCTCCCGGATGCCATTTTCTCCTCTATAAATATGTTCATACTCGCGCGAGTTCAGCTTGAGGGCTGAAACTCCTCCTAGATGTTCTTGGAAAAGCATTCTGCTTCCCAAAAATGTTTCTGGGTTGCCACTTGCAACTTGGTCAACTCCAGAACGCCTATAATCCCACAACACAGTGACCCTGACCTTTTGCATAGGAACATAACGGGACGAAACGGAGGCCTCCTCCTTCGCCCTTATGGGGTTGTTTTGGGGTTTGGACGGGTGTTTCCTTTCGAACGTGGACTAGTTAGTCCTGATGACCTGGTTGATGTCATCAGCCCTCTGTTTTGTTTAGCCTCAGGCATAACGAAACTCATGTTTGGCCATTTTAAGACGTTTTTGACTGTTTTGAGCCCTCCGGTAAGCAAAGCTTAAGTCACCTTGAGTTATGTACCCCGAAAGAACACTCTTAGACAGCTGGTAATCCATCCTGAAAAGTCTGCTTACCAACTTTGTAACCCTTTGACCTTTTGATGGCCACTTTGGCGCCACACAGTTTTGGCCACTTGGCTCACTCCTGAGGGCTGACTGGAAAGAGGATAAACTTGCAGTGACTGACTCCCGACAAATCATCGGTGTCACTTGCTGACTGTGCGTCCAGTTAGCGATGGACATTGGCTACAGACTGGTAGGCCTCAATCACCCTCAATCGTCGCGAATGGTCACGTGCTGACTAAATACTGAGACGTACCCGTATCGGAGACCTCTAGGTTGCGGCGTTAGCCGTCTCTGTAGGAAGCGGGCTCTATAGCAAAAACTATTTTGTCTACAGAAATTAGCTACTGTGGAGCATATTTCTACCAGCCATGGCAACCACGTAAGCTCAGTTACGAACCAATTTCAGCGTGCCTTTAAGCAAGAGAGCCTAAAAACGTAAAATTTAGGTGAGAACGAACTTATGGGACACCCTGTAGAAAGGTTGTAAATTTATGTAATGTCTTTGAGGCTATTACTAAGGTTTTAACTTCTTTGTCTTATCCCATGAGGTCATCTAATTCTTATTTCGTCGCGCTCATCAGACTAGCAAACCCAAAGCACAGCTTTATTTCCTTTCCCTCCATTCCGTCCTCATACCCCTGAGCCGGATACGATGCCGCCGGGGCGCGACCCACACCAAGACTGTGACCCTGACCAGTCAGCCGGGCTCGGTCCGAGCGGCAAACGGATGTGTCGACCGCGCCTATACGGCCCCGGCCTCAGACGGTATCAGCAAACAAAGGTTTCCGGCCGCAGGCCTATACAATTAGATCGGGCAACACACACTGCTGTAGACATATGCACTGGGAAGGTCAACTCTGGGTCAGCTGGCCTTCGGTAAAAGACTGCGGGCTGAAACGAAAATACATGGTCTGGAAGTTTGAGCCATGGTTGACGAGAAGGATGGCTTAATGTAGAAAAAGTGATAAGTGGTGCGCAAAGTAGTGGCACTGTTATACAATTGATTATCTTGTTGATCGTGTAAGTTTTTAAACATGAGTGCTAGGATTGATTATCTTGGATATCTCGAACAGTTAAATTTGCCTGAAAATAAAAAAAAACTTTAGAATTCACCCCCCAAAAAGATAAATAGTAGAAATGCTTACAATTTGCCTACGGATAGTCAAAAACACATACCTACTCATCGACAGCAGGTTAATGCTGCACAAATACCACCTATTCGAGCACCCGCACTGTCTCGTCTTCATTTCCATTCCTCCTCTTTGTCTCGGAGATCTCACTCCGCATACGGATCGGTCGGGAATCGGGCAGGGATTCCCACAGTCAGTCGTCTGGCCCGTCAAGGTGACCCGGGCGACCGCGACGGACCGAGGTGCGTAGCCTCGAGACCACTCGGGAGCGGCCGCCGGGAGTGGGCGGTGTAAACATGTTTACCGCTGTGGACCGGACCAACGGCGGGGAGGGGAGAGGGAGATTGAGCGACTGCGGTAAGACGGCGGATCGGGTCGCATCTGTGACCCATCTCTTATGACCCACCTCCTGTCGGTCTGTGACCCACCACCTGTGACCCACCTCTGAGGAGGGCAGGTGCATGGGGAAATGTGTGGGTTCAATGCATGATGCAGAAACGACCGATGTGAAGCACGATATGCGAAATGAAGAAGTTGATAGATATATGCCAGGAAGAGAATGCCAGGGCACCGTTACAGCGGCAGGTCAAGTCTTCTCGTAGTCATATGGCAAGCAGGCGAGATTTCGCGGAGCTCATTGAGGTTGTTGTTTTGGCTTAAGAGTAACGAGCCGTTATTCGAAACTTTTATCCATAACACTAATGGATTTATGGATTGGATTTGACGTTGGATATACGGATGTAATTTACTTCGGACATATCGGTTAAGTTCTACATATAGATACGTTCCTTCCTGATAAACTAGTTCACAACAACAGATATTACGTCATTGCGGACGAAATAGAGGAGAGAGAGAGAGAGAGAGAGAGAGAGAGAGAGAGAGAGAGAGAGAGAGAGAGAGAGAGAGAGAGAGAGAGAGAGAGAGAGAGAGAGAGAGAGAGAGAGAGAGAGAGAGAGAGAGAGAGAGAGAGAGAGAGAGAGAGAGAGAGAGACAGAGAGAGAGAGAGAGAGAGAGAGAGAGAGAGAGAGGAGAGAGAGAGAGAAAGAGAGAGAGAGAAAGAAAGAGAGAAATAAAGAGAGAAAGCAGAGTAGATACTAGATCAGAGCAGAACGTGATGGATGTAGTGAAGGGTTTCAGGTCACACCAACCAATGCAGTCATTGGCGCCCAGGCCTATACCATACCCTCCTGTCCCCAGCTGAACCGAGGCCTGAACTGTCCACTGTACTCCCCTCCTTCCCTTTCCCCGCTTGCTCCTCACCTTTGTATGATGGTGAGCGCCCGGAGGACGTCGTCTCCTTGCACCGGTTGCCGGCCGTGCATCCTCAGGGCGTAGACGATGTTGGACGAGCCGTAGGTGTGAGCCGTGGCTACGCCACTCTCCATGAAACCCAGTGGCCGCAGCAGAGTCGAGTCTCCATTCCTGGCGAAACACAGGTAGGGTTGGGTTAGGTCAAGTCGGGTCAGGTCGGGTTAGGTCGGGTCAAGTCGGGTCAGGTCGGATTAGGTCGGGTCAGGTCAGGTTGGGTCGGATTGTGCCAGGTTAGGTCAGGTCGGGTTAGGTCGGATCAGGTCAGGTCAGGTCGGATCGGGTCAGATCGGGTCGGGTATGTATAAGGGTAGGGTCGGGTCGGGTATAAGGGTCGGGTCGGGTCGGGTTAGGCCAGGTAAGAAGGTCAGACTGAAACAGGTCGTCAGGTCAGAACCAGGTCAGGTCAGCTCAGGACGGATCAGGTCTGATCGGACCTCGTATCCGATCAGGACGGGTCAGGTCAGGTCGGTTTGGATCACGTCAGGTCAGGCTGTAGCGGGTTTATAGGCTGCATCGAGTTCGGTCGGTCCGGGTCAGTAAGTTCATATCGGGTCGAGTCTGTCTAGGTTCAACAAGTAGGACGGCTTCTAACACGGTTCCATATGGCCGGTGTCACTGACACCAGCACCTGGTGAGAGCGAGTGAGCTCTTACCTCCCTGCCTCTCCCGGAAGGACCTAGACCTGGCGGCAGGCCAGCACATGTGAAGAAATCCACATACCAAATGCAGGTAGGAGCCGTTGCGACAGACATCGCTGGAGTTTGCGGATGACTACCGCGTCATATGCCTCTGAATCTTACGCATGTGCAATGTGCAACGTCTAATGTGCATTGTTCACTGTAGCGCCCGCACAGCGATAATGCGACTCGTATTTTCAAGTATTTATTCGGAAATATTTGTCACCATATTGAACCATTCCAGCGGTAAGCGGTCAAAGTTTGGTCAATAGCGCATAAAATTCCGATAGCCTTGCAATGTCAGCTCCAGGCAGCAGGCGTCGCCGGTCGTCCGTACTCATTGAACTTCCCGCAGAGTGGCAGGTTTCTGTCTGTTTCCCACTCACTGACCGGTCTGCAGAGTGGCAGGTTTCCATCCGTTTCCACCAGCTGACCGGTCTGTACAAAGCAGACCGGTCCAAAGCCATGCGTCATCCTGCCATTGCCCACAGATGACGTCACGTGTCAGTATTGCAACAGACGCGCCACAGTTGTCGCAAGAGACTCCTGACGGCGCTTTTTGTTGGCCTCACCGCTAACGCTGATGCCTTACCATGCCCCATTTAACAAGCCAGCGCGCCTGTGAGCCTTTTGTGGCCGGGGCTGGTGGTCCACCGAATGGCATTCAAAATGTGTTTTTAAAGCTATATGCAGTTTAATGGCGCACACTCGCTATCGTTACATTCCAGTCGACTGTTACATGGTATACCTAGGTGCTGGGTATCTTCCGTGGATGACCTCAAGGTGAGAGCCTAGTCTTCTTAGCAAATTTGCTGGAAGACTAGGCCTATCTGGTCTAACTAAGGCTAATGGAATTTTTCCACTTTAAAAGAAGTGCGAGCGAAGAGAAGTATCTACGCACAATGTAGACACTAAAATATGCGATAATAATGGAAGAAAATAGCCAAAACGGCGCGCTGCCAACCGGGCCCGTCTTGCCTGGTCCAGCTTGCCCATGCATCCCGGGCAGTGACGAGGTGCGGACTTTGCTCAAACTGTTCATGCCCCTGCCGCAGTGCCTAGTCATCATTGTTGACAGGCCTCGGGCCAGTCAGCTAGCGGCTCCAGGCACCTTGCCTAGTCACTGTGACGTCACATGGACTGCAGATGACACAGAGGGGGGGGGGGGACGGAGGAGTGCCGCGGGGGGCATGACTGGGAAGGCAGCGGTTACACCCCAGACAAATGGGTTTATTGACGTCGGTAATACAGCGATCAGAATACTTACTAGCTAAGGTGTCTAGGAGACTGTTTCGTCTAATTGAAGCAGTCCCACATAACTGATTCACCATGACTATGAAGTAGAAGACTGCTTGCGACACCGCTAAACGTTGTGCCCTTTTTAGGGTGTACCCCAGTTTCGAGCACGTGCTGTGTCTGCATTCAGAGACTAAGTCCGAGCTGTCACTACCGACCAGCAGTCGCCGACGCGTCCCTATTATCACGGCGATCGGGTCAGCAAGGGGGCCCGGTCGGCCCAAACCTGGCTCCCTTGAGATATTAAAACCAGGGGCTGGGGGAGACTGGGGCAAAGTCACAGAGCACACCGGAGTCATCGTAAATGCTTTGAATGGATGATTGTTTAGGCTGAAACGAAGTAGCAGACTTGATGGTACTGCCATAGAGAAGTGATATAGGCTAGCTAAGTACTGAATTAAACAATTTGTACTCACCATAAAGCTACAGCATAATCCTATAAACAATCGATGCCGGTGGGACGTTCCAGTCGTTCAAAGTTCTGGCCCCAAACCCAGCTGCGGATCCTGGGCTCAGCTCTGGGGTTCCACAGCCTCCAGATGCGTCCTCTGTTAGGGCCAGTGGCAGCGGGCTGGTGATCTTTGAACTTTACTTCCATGCAATTGGATGCGAATATATGTAGACATGCCACTTGCCAGCCGATGCAGCCGTATTTGCTTCAATTCCGCTTGCGATGCAGATTCCCATTGTTCAAGGTGCATGTCCCTGTTCAACTGGGTGCCGACTGCCAGTTGTGAGTGCCTCCTTCCAGCTCGTGGCTGTATTCATATCTATATCGAGCTTAAACTCAAGGCTAGCCAAGAGGTGTCACTGCACTTTATTTGCTCCATCAACTATGCTCCTATCAACTATTTCAATTTTAAAATTTAAGACACCATGGTGTGAGACGGTATTATCTCAACAATGTTTATTGAATCATGGCTCGCTGCAGATATACCACACGATTCATATGCCCAGCGTCCCATCAGCCATGAGTTTGGCCACCGTCTGGCCTCCGCGCGTCTCGGAGGCAAGGCCAGGACCTGGGCTGGACCGAATCCAGCCCAGGCAGCTTCGCCACGCCCGCCGGCCTCTCACGCCCCCGTCCAATAAACCCAGCCCAGGCTTCTCCGCTGCGCCCTCATCCCTGCCTGGGACGCACCCGTCCGAAGAGCCCAGCCCAGGCGCGGCACCGCCCCGCGGTGGCAGAGACAGACAGGCCCGACAAGAATGTCAGGGTCGTGCGGACACCGGCCGGCGACACGGCGACCCTGGCCAGTCCCCTTGCAACCTGCACCGGGAGCCTAAACATGCAAATCAATGCGCCCGCCGGACGCATCTCTGCCGGCCTCGGGCGCCCGAGCGCCATGAACCCAGACGGAGCGGTCGACGGGACTGTAGACTGGAGAGTTGACCTGTCCGCTCGGAACCTCCGGGTCAGTGGAGCGTTCAATGGATTCCGGCAGGTCGGGGCACTGTCCGGTACGAACTGTACAGAGATATGTGGCTGATCTGTCACAGGGGAGGGTCAGCTAATGGAATAGCGGTGCGTCCCACAGGTGGCCAATCTCTAGAGGTGCGGCCTTGATGGGCAGTCTGCGACGGCGACAGCAGATTCTGCAAAGTCATTCTGATGGCACTCCCACAGAGCTGTATGCGCTGGTCGGTGTTCGAAGTGAGATTGCGGTCTGCAGAGACGCAGACAGCTCACGTTCATCCATGATCAATGACCAAACTGATCCGGTGAAAACGTATTGAAACACCTGCGTGACGGGGAAGACATACCGGAACGTCGAACCGCGATCGTCCCGCTGCGGCGCTGACATTTCTCGCGGTCCATTCACCTCATGTAATCGAAACTGAATCACATGAGCAAATGGCTCCGTGGCGCAATGGTGTGTCAGACGGAACGTGTTAGAAGCTTACAAACTTCTTCAAAATGACAATGAATTGATCACGAACATGTCATATACTCCCGTCGATGTGGCAAATGAGAAAGTGCATGATGCATCCCAATAACTCTTCCGGAAAACTTGCTTTTCACAGTTATAGCTCTACTAATTTCGAAAAGCACTTGTATTTGCTCTTAATTTAATATCATTGACGGGTCTCTTTTAGGCACTCGTAACTGTTGTAACCCGTAACTTGTAACTGAGTATTGAATTTTGTTTGAATTTTTTTGCAGTGCCGAAGCGGTGCAGTGCCGAATTTGTTTGAATTTGAGTATTGAATTTCGCCGGTCCCGTAGCTCAGTTGGTAGAGCGTTGGACTCCGCGTGGTGAGAGCACGCGTTCCCGGTTACAACAGTCCGGGTTCGAAGCGCGACGGGCGCTTGACATTTATGGGCCTCCTGACAGGTATGGATGCGGTTGGTGGCAGGCCGTAGCCAGGCGATGTCAGTGAGGGGACCGGCCGTGCGCGGCTATGTGCGCACGTTAAACTTTGGACTCTAAATTCTGCCATAGAACTGGAATTGCGCGATCGGAGGGTAGAGGGCAGGGTCACCGCAACAAGCTTCGCTTAGCGGTGGCTCTGTCCTTGTGAATCCTTCCCATCAAAAGGTTCGGACTAAATTTATATAAAAAAAATTACTGCCATCACATGAGAACAAATGCGAACAACGTAAGGAAACGAAAGAGCCTTCTTTTTCGTTCAAGTCACAGCATTAGTGATGAGCCTAGGCTAAAATACATTCAATAAGTGCTCGATTGTGTTTTGATGTGTTCACTCAGTGTTCTATTGATTTCAGCAGCTTGGCTTCAGTCACATATGTGCCGTGATGGAACAATTGTATGCTTAAAACACTTGGTGCTGGACAATGGCTATGTTTTACAGTCGTTCACAGCTGTATTACAAGACATCCTGTTTGCTTTGATCTTAGCAAGCTTCAGTGCAAACACAGCAACAGGACAGCCGGGTCTCAATCTGATTCTGAGGTCGGCTCAGCCACCGTCACATTTAAATCGTAACTTCCGAATAAGCATCCTGTAAGATTTAATGTTGTTGAGCTGGTAAAAGTCTACCGGCCCGACGACTATAACGTTTAATGCTAGAGGTGAGACATGTGATCCTTTCATGCATCCTTCCATCCTTTCATGCATCTTATGTTTAAAGAAAAATTATGGAGATCGACCTCAAATATTTTTTTGGCTGATAAGT